TCGTACAAATGTTAGTATAATTTAAGCTATTCATTGTTTTCATCGCCATTTAATATTAATTAAAAATAATAATATTTTACATATTGTTTAGTCATGCATACCTTGATTAAAACAAAGGTCATGCTATCCAACTAAAGAATCGTATAAATAAATAAATAAGGAATCCGGACTTGTGCGCTCTCACAGGAAGAGAAGGATTCTCTACCCTCCTATTCTCATCTTCTTTCATCCCCTCTTCTCACACATTATTGTTTGTCTTATTATCTTTATCTAAAAAAATCAATATAAGATGTTCACGTAGCTTAACTGTGACCGTTCAAATAGGAGGGTATGGAAGGATAGAGAGATTAGGAGGATAGAGAATTCTCCTCCCTCACAGAAAGTAACCCCATTTTGAAAATAATTAAATAATTTGCTATTTTATTATTATTTTTTGGTCAAATTATTAGTGCTTCCGTTTGAGTTTTGACCAACTAATTCTTTTCGAAATTGTTTTGGCTGTGTGCTAGGTACACTAAGCATAATAACACAATTGCATGGCCGTGTGCTGGATACACTGAAAAATCTCTCTTTTTATTATATAATAAAAGCTTACATTGCAGCTGCAGTAAACTTGATCTGATAGGGAGGTAAATATTATGTCAATTTAATGGTGCAAAACAAATAGAAGGGTGAATTGAAGGCATTGTTCTAACTTGCACAACCTATGACAGAGACCTGCTTAAACCCACATTAATTTGCATAATCTCAAGAAATCCAAAGACGATCACGAAAACTGCTTCTCGATCTCACTTAACAATGGTTTTAGCAACACAATTAAGTCTTAATCTTTCGAAAAATGGCAATCGATTACTTATTATTATGATTAACTAACAAGCACAAGTTACAACTAAGTGAAGTGGTTGAGTGTTTAGAATCAACCAACCAACCAACCAAGAGAATGACTTTTTATCCAGAAATCCAACTAAATAGGAATCTGAAAGTTCAACAAACAACCATCAAAACTAATGGAGACGGAACCACGTAAGAACCCGAAAACAGAGTTTTACATTTCGTAGGGGAGAGCTCAAAGCTATCTGAAACTGTCATACCAGGGAGAGATTCTACCGTGTAACCGGAGATATACCCCCTTCTCTCTATCTCACTAATAACGCGTCTTACACCCTAAACTATACCATAAACTAGAAAGTTCAGTCTTGTGTCCAGCAACAATTCAACATGGTCTAGTGGATCGACCTTGCAGCTGCACGAACGGGGGTTTAAGAACTGAAACAGATGCTCAGTTATGCGTTTTGAAATGTTCTAAGAACTCCCTACGAACTAGTGACAAGTATAGCGAAAGAGCGGAATCAGAATGAAACTTAAGCGAATCATTTGAGTCCAACCAGCAGCATTTTTGTTCTTAAGACAGGTGCAAAATCTTGTGTAACCTGAGCAACCTAGTACTTTCTTAACTACATAACCAATGTGTTCCGCTCCAACACCTCAGGAAACTCGTATATTTTGTTTCGATCGATTTGCTTCCAACCAAACTCGGTAATTAAATCTATGTGCAGTATGACAATCAAAGCTTAACTGATGCAATAATCTTGATTTATTAATAATTAACATTCATATACATAACTTACAAGTATCATTATTTAGAGAGAGCATAAGCTGCTCTTCTGGTGTTCATTTCCAGACAACAAACCTATTTACAACTTAAAATTGAACAAGTACAGAGAATCGATAAATACCTGTTTCGTTTCCTTGGAAACATTTTATTAACATAAATATACATTTGTAGCTTCGCCGAATCAAGCATCAGCCTCAATGAACTTACTTGAGGCACAAGTCTTTGCTGCATCCGATATCTTGCTTTGCTCAACCTGCACCTCTCTCAGCTGAGGAGAATTGAGCACCAAAAACTCAATCGCCTCGGCTTGAATCCCACGACAGTGCATGATATCAACACTCTCCAAACGCTTACAGCTCTTAAAAATCGAAACCATGGCTGCAGTAGTAAGCCTCCTACAACCTCTCAGCCTCAAATCAACCAAATCATTACACGAAACTAACATCGACATGAACTCTTTATCCACCAGCATTTCGTTATAAGACAAATCCAACTTCCTCAATTTCCTCAAATTCTGTCCTAATGTGGCCAGCAACCCCGGCTCTCTTTCAACCACATCACAATTCACCAGCGCCAATTCTTCGAGGCCTGAACTCGCGGCGATAGCAAGAGCTCTGAGGCCTTCACCGCTGACAAGACAGCAACTTTGAAGCTTAATACTCGAAAGGCTTCTGAAATTCATCGCCACAGCCAAAAGATGATCGTTATTAAGGTCGAGGGGCAATCGAAAATCGACATTTCGCAAGTTACAACGACTTTGGCTAAAGAATCTGAGCAGGCCCTCACTGCTGCCACCATCATAAACCAAAAGGGAAGTCAGAGAATCACAATTCTCCGCCACTTTCAGCAGAACACCGTCGATTATTGCCCTACAAGTCCGGAGCTCCAGCTCCTGAACACCCTGCAAACACCTTTCAAATGACGAAAAGGACCCTCCATCCCCAATCCCTTCACAGCTTTTCAACTGCAATTTCCTCAGCTTTCTGCAGCTCCTCCATAGCCAGCCAAAACCCCAATCGCCGGCTCCGATTCCAGATAAACAGAGACTATCCAAACCCAATTCTGCAGCAGAATCCTCCTCTGCAGAAAACCCATTTCCCCAATTGGGGTCAACGGCATGGTCAGCGCCGTCCCCGGAGCAAACCATGACTGACAGTTCCTTCAAAGACGGAAACTTGAGGACCCACATGAGGAACAGAGGCCTGGAGAGATTGATACACAGAGAGGTGAGCCGGGTACATGATGAGGAGAGAGAAGCGAGGGAGGAAAGAGAGACAGGGCCGGCCAAGAACCTGAGGCTGAGAAGCTGGGGGCAGAAGGAGGAGACTAGGAAGAGGAGGTGGTCCGCGAAAGCGGTGGTTTTTGCGGTGGCGGAGGTGGTGGGGTCGGGAGGTAAGAGGAGAGAGAGGGAAGAAAGGAAAGGGTAGTGAGAGAGGAGGGAGGAGAGAGAAGGGAGGGTGGAAGGATGAGCGGTGAGGCGGAGAGAGAGGGTAGTTGTGGAGGTGCGGTAGATGCGGAGCCACCGCTTGGAGACCAGAGAAACGGGAGGAGGCTGATGGTGGCAGCCTTTGGAAGATTTCTTGGACAAGTTCATCACATAGCAACTTGTCCATTTCTCTGTTCTGAGGGCTCAATTTTTCATAATCTGCATCTTCTACATATATTCTTCTATAAAACTTTGGAGTCACCACCTACCAAAATGGAAACGAGTATCTTATTAGGAGAGCAACTTCGTAGTTTATCGTCATTGTAGCAACTCGTGTCAATAAAATAAAACAATTCTATATAATGAAATTAACACAAAACATCACTATGATACATAAATAATATATTATTGACATGTAACGTTATAATAGTTGTCCAAGTCTAAAGGCTTTTTAGCACGAATTTGATTTTTTTTCGCACTTTAGTATCGAAAACTTAAGACCAGAAAATATGGGTCTTTGATTTGTGAAAGAGAGAATGAGATAGGTTAGTAAGATGAGTTAACAGAGACTATCAAATTTAATTTGAATGGTCTAAATTACCTGATCTTTATAAGATCGAACAATGAGATTCGGAGAGGAACTCTCTCGTTTTAGCAACATTGACTATTTGGTTATTTGATTTGCTTTGCTGGTGCTTTGTATTCCCTTGGTTTTGCTTTCTAAAGATTAGGGAGTTTGCTTTAAGCGCGGTTCCAAGTTTCAAGCGCGTACAGACACATACAAACATTCTCGAGAGATTATGTGATTCACACGCGCTGCAAGGCGTGTGAAGTGGAGGGAGTGGGGCCTAGAAAAGTAACCAATGACATGAAAGATTCAAACGTCATCCAACGGCAGCCGCTCGTTCGGCGGTCACCATTTTGTACTTTTTAAAGATTTATGATCATGATTATCAAGTAGGCCGTCACAAGCAAATTCAATCACCGAAAAGGAAAGTGTACAAAACGGAAGTATGATCAAGTCCGGAAATTCTCTTACCTTGCTAATTTATTACGTGTTAATTGTTTATTATACGAGTAGTACATTTTTTCAAATTTATCGTATCGTTTTTTCTTGGATTAGCATCTCGACAGGTATAAAGAAATCATATTGGTAGCAAACATCAAATCTCTAGAGCAAGGGTTAACTCCGCAGACATAGACCATGTACATATAGTACGAACATTGTCAAGACTAAAATTTGATTGTATGTAAAAAAAAAAAAAAAAACCTCTCTAGATAAGAATATGTACAATACATAATATTTACATGAAACTTGTAGCTCAAACGGGTAGTAGCGTTTAACTTACCCCGAAATGCAGTACTATTTCCAATTTTTTATTAAGGCAGTGGAGCAATCACAGCCGTCGAACTCTTGAAAGGTGCACCAATGTATCTAAAGTGACACTTTAACAATAAATACAAAAAGAAGAAAATACCATACCCATTATCCGTATTGGGTAGGAATTTCGAATCACAACCATCTTTATTCTATGGCATAAATTCCTTTACCTTTGGCTTTGGGTGAGTCTCAAAATATGGTCCTTAATTAATTTGTAGCATCTAATTATGCAAGAAATATTACTCTTAGAGATGGGATACACATGTTGGTGGGCCTTATATTTATTAGATAGATAGCATAACTGTGATATAAAAAATGTAATAAGTGTAGCCTTACTCAACTTTTTAACAATCAACAATAGGTCCTCATCAGTTTGTTTTACTTCATTTAATCTCCCATCCTATTTGTTCAACAGAGTTATTAGTATCCCAAGTCAATCACACGTTGACCTGGCCGATGAGAAAGTTCAAACTCATTGTTTTGAGTGATTGATGTGGGATGCCGGCACAATGGCATCCCGTTCCAAAACTAGCCTCAATTTTATGCCCAATGATGCATTCTCTAAACCCATCCCGTACTCATATAACAGTCACTATTCTCTGCAGGTCTAACCAACTACAAATTCATGTGAAAGTCGTTTATAACGTGTTAAGAACGATGAAACAAAATATGAACACACAACGCCCAGCATGGCAGGTGAACCATACCTATGTAGAGGTAAGTAGCACTATTCCAAGCCCAGAGAGACTCCACCCAGGACCAGTAATCACCAACATTAGTGCTGCCAAAACCTTCAAATGCGCCTTTCAGCACTATAAAAGCAACTGGTGGGAACCCAATAAACCCCAGGACAAGATTGCAAACCGCCCTTGAAAGTGTTCTCTTGCTCCTATCTTTAACATTGGGCTTCAACGGATGAGCCATCAAGCACATTGGTACCATCAGTAACCCCCCAATTTCTGCTGTAGCAAAGTTAACGACTGACATGAGACACAAACCAATGAAGGCAGCTGAAAGAGTCACTGATTTCAAGAGGGGCCATTCTACTCTTTGAGGTTGAGATTCATTGACGTGAGATGACGGAGAAGCCAAAACCATGTACCTAACCACAAGGCTGAGTACTGAAAGCAAAACCCAGATTATAAAGCTGGTTGTCGAGGTGCAACTCGGTATTTGACAGATAAAACACGGGAGTAGTGAAACAACAGGACCCACAAGTGGACAATAAAAGCTTTCTTTGCTGCATATAGCTATTTCCATGATTCGCGAGTGATGATGGCCGAAGGAGAAGGTTTCTCTTTTTTCACACTAGAATCAGAGTTACTAGCATCAACATAGAGAGAAGCTGCCACCAAGGGGAGTGGTGCAACTAAAAGTGCAAAAGCAATCATGTAGACTCCCACCGACACAAATTTACCAGGAGACGTTAATAGGTACAGAAAAAATGACTGGTGAAACTTCTCTAGAAGGTTGTTTACTGACCGAATGACTCCTTCGATTAATCTGCGTAGAGAACAAGAAAACCTCAACCAAAGATATAAAAGCAGTAAGGACACTAAAAAACTTTAAATACCAGAAAAATTCTTCAAGAAAACACATCAAATGAAACTGAAAACGTGACTACAAAAGAAGATGTTAATGCGAGTACAAATTTTCATGGGAAGAGATATGATCAAAGCACTAACCGGCCACTTCGTAGAAGTAAGTCATTTCGCCTGGCTATGTTATCCAACAAAGAAAACTTAGGGGAAATTTCCAAAGTAATTGCATCAACTTGGTAGTCACGAAAGGCACCATGGGGGCCAGTGGGGACACCCAAAGCCTGATATCATGAAGAATAGGTGACATAAGTGAACATACCTTTGTTTTATATTCTTATTCATCCAACAAAAATTATAAACAAATCTTCTGAGCTACTTAATTTTAAGTACCAAAAATTTTGAAACAAAAAGAAAAGTAGGCCAACCTGGTTGTACAATGAACTTGCGAGTGTAGCACTGCCCTCGATATAATCAGTAGCTGGGATAACAAATTTCCAATCGGGATTCAAGCTTCTAGCAAAATGTCCGAGTGATTCAAATATTTCACCCAAAGTATTGAGCCACTTCATGCCAAGTATAGACCAAAATTTCTCCACCTTTACCCGCAAACCTTGCTTATGTACTGCTAAGTAATTCACAACATTGATGAGGTCAAGATTTGGCATTTGCCCATTGGATGCCTCAGCATAGATGCTTAGACCATCCTCAAATTGTTCACTTTGATCTGCAACCTTGATGACAAGAGCTGCAGCCATGGTTCCAGCACGTTTAAATCCATCATAAATCGCCCTTCCTGTTGACGGGTTCTCATTCATTCCATAAAGATTATTGTTTTCGGTACACATTTCTGCATCTAGCGTGCCCAGTCCGCTAAATACAGGTGTGTGATAGTCTCTTAGCCAAGCAGAAACTGCAGCATACTCTCCAAATTGGGAATCAGCAACAAGCCATATAACATCCTTGGCCAACCAAGGAACTCTGTTGAGAAAGGAAAATACTGAGTATGTAATGCCCAAAGAAAAGGCCTCATTCGGGTTCACTTTCGCTGAATTGAAAGGTGTAACCAAGACAATAGCTTCCTTCCCATCACCACGAGGTGCTCTTATAATTCCAACAGTGTTGACACCGTGCATTGAACCACTGACGTTCTGCTCAACTCTTCCAGAATCAGGCTAGAAAAGAAGTGGAGTGAGTGCAATTGATTGCTCTGAGAGTGGAACTTGTGAAAACTAACTTCGGCACCCAAGTTTGACATATGCTGTGCTAAGATTCTTTGACTTCCTCTGAAACATACCATAAAAATTTAATAAATTTGACACAATTAACTAATCTATTTTCAAACTCTAAAACTTAAGATGTGATGTGCCCGAACCAGCACCTACCATTGTACTTAAATCACCCTATAAATATTAGACAAGATTATCCAGTGCCAGAGCCAGAGGCAAAAAGTTTAAATTTTGCGTTTTTGCATAACATTGAATGTTAAAACAGCAAAGCCTACACTCTATAGACTAGAACCAACATAAACAACAAAGTTCAGCCGAAATTCGAATAAAGGACATACATTGCTGAACAGAGAGGCTTCGAATTCGAAGAGGTCAAATCACTAACCAATCTGCTCGCCTCTGCAACCTCCTGATCTGAAAGCATAGACGCCGCGGAGCCTGCGAATTAAGCAACCGTCAGCAGCAAGCAACAGAGCAATGTTAATAACTGAATATTAATTTCAACAAATAATAACACAAACAGAAGTGAAAATTAGACAAAAATGGAGAAATGACCAGGCATGAGGGCATTCTCGGAAATGTAAGTGTTCTTAGCGAGAACCGGAAGCAGCAAGAGAGCCACCACCCCGGCGGCGGAGAAAACGACACTGACAAAAGAGAAAAACGACCGCCAACTCATCACTATCAGTGCTCGCCGGTAATAATGTACTATCAAAATTTAATAAATTATATTGTATTAAATTAAATTAAATTACCTGAAGAAGAAGCTGTGGGAGATGAGGAAGATCCCCAGCCATACGATTGGTTTTCGTTTAGGTTTAGCTCCGGCGGCGGTCTCGCTCCCACTCTCCGCCATTGTTCTCCGAGTGGATTCGAAATCCGATGGCGGTTGGGATCGGTTGTTTCTGTTAGGGGAAGTGTGAGTTTCTCAGTCAATCAGTCGGACTCCATTTGTCGGGAGCGACCCAACAGGATCCTCTCCCTTTGGTGAGGATCTAGGTAGTGAATCGTGTTGTTCTCCGTATGCTCAGTTTTTGTTAATTATATTTATTTTTAAATAAAAATATTTAAAATAATTTTTAACCGTGTAATATATAATTAACGACACAATTCGCGAATTTTTAAAATTTTCCTAGGAGGATCCGGACACGGCGGCGACGAGGCTGAAAGCGGATAATGAGTGAGTCAGAGACGACAAGGTCCACGTGCGGGTGGATTCGAGGACTTGGGGAAGTTATGGGCTTTGGGCTTCTTTGTTAGCTAGAAGACGTGAAAGCGGATTTGGGCTTGGATCTCATCTAAAATGGGCCTCTTGGCAAGAAGCATGATCAGCAGTCTTTGGTGCGGCGCATTTTGTCATACAAGCGACATTCTATTTTAAAATTTTCTAAAACGTAAAAAATGGAAGTTAAAACTCGGATGCGTGAAACACATACGATATAATTAATGCTAGTCTAGCTCAATATAGAGGTGACATGAATTTCGATCTAAGTTTGGTCGGCTTCCATTTTTTATTCAGTTTTTCTTCTCTCCTCCCGTTCCCTCATTTTTCTTCTACGTTTTAGAAAACAACATCAGCAAAACAGAATTTTCTAACATCCACCGGAGTATAAAATACCCCGGCAACCGTGGCCAGATCCTCGGATGCAGATCCCGCGATAACAATCGTCAACTTCTTGACGAGCAATTGATCGATCACCAAACTACATTCACATCTCATGAAAACAGCAAAACAAGACTACATGTCAATCGGATTACACGCTGATGCTACGGTCACAACACTAAATCAATCATCCAAACACGCAGCAGCAACGGTTATTCACTTTGAGAAGAAAAACAGTAACCCATCCTCGACGGGTTCTGATTCAGGACATCAGATTCAGATGAATTGTAAAATTAGAAAAAACGACTTTTACAAACGTGTGTAATGCATATAAAGCAAGTAAAAAGGGCCTCAACACCAGCTCAGGGTAGAACCGAGAAGTACATATCCCATTTAACTTACGCATATACAACTGCGTAATACTTCAAACAACGAAATAGATGCTCAAGCAAAGAAACCGTACCAAGAAATCAGAATGCAAACATAAACGAACCGATTTTTGAGTGATAGCAGATCACCCCTATAGCACCTTAGCAGATCACCCCTATAGCACCTAAACAATAAACTCAGTCCCATACAGTTCCTTAGGAACAAAGATCAACCACGAGATTGACAATACAGAAACACTAATAGTTTGCCAGCAAGCACCGGATAATCAAAACTGACTAGCAATGACGGTTAAAGACAAGCATCGCCAAGATGTCTCATGTTCGTAAAGCAAACACGAAATCACACATACAATCAACAAATTCTAAATCGAAATACGAATTGAGTCCTTGCCTATTGCCAACCTTAGAACATCACGAAGATGTACCCATCCCGAAGATGTACCCATATCTTAAGATATCAATCATTTTATTTTCAAGTCATACCTAAATCCAGCAAGCAAACATATAATCACACACCCAATCAAACACCCGTAATTCGAAACGAATTCGAAATGCAGGTAAAAGATGGAGTCAACAAAATCAATTTCATTCTCTGTTTGCATGAACAACAAAGAAGATCTAAAATTAAGCAATAAAGTTTAGTACCATATCTCAAAAATAAAGTAGCACACTTTATAAGATAACGAAAACTCGGAAAAACGATCAGAATTATCAAATCGGTTTAATAAACCTAAGCGGTGAGGACGACGGCGCCACCAGCCTCCTTGATCTTCTTCTCGGCAGTCTTTGAAATCAGCTTGGCCTTCACCACCAATGGCTGTGACGGTAACACGCCCTTCCCCAACACCTTGAAGTACCCGAACTGAGTGACGTCGAGCAACGGGGCCTCGCTTCCTCCCTTGGCGGTGGCGGCCTTGTCCTTCACCTCCTGGGGTACAAGCGACCATAGCTTGTCGAGGTTGACGATCGGGCAATGGAACTTGTTGCGCAGCCTGTGGAAGTACCTCATACCGACTTTACCGAAATACCCTGGATGGTACTTGTCGAAAAGGATCCGGTGGTGGTGCATACCTCCGGCGTTACCGCGACCGCCGGGGTGCTTGCGGTGCTTGCCGATACGCCCGTGGCCGGCGCTAACGTGGCCTCGCTTCTTGCGGTTCTTCTTGAACCTCGTCGTCATCGTTGTCCGGCTAGGGTTTTTGGGGAGCGGCCGCTGAGGAGTGAAATGGAGGGGATTTGGGAGCTAGGGTTTGTTTAATGGAAGAATAAATAGGGAAGAAAGGAGGAAATGGATTGTCGAACGAGGGGAAACGCTGCGTTTTGAGTATGGGCCGTTGCTTATTCCATGTGAGGCCCAACTTACGTTCTCACGTGTTTTGAAGTCCCGGCACCACCGTCACTACCTCCTGCCTGCCTCTCCCCTGTCCGGAACTCAATCTCTATCTCAACAGCAAACGGAGCAGAGGACTTCAGCAGGGATTCCGAGTGGACCAACACAGCTAATCAGAGCTCAGGTGAACACGGGTTTGTCTATGTCGCGTTTAGTTCCTCGATTATTGCTTGATGCGGTGCGTTTTGATTCCCTGCCTGCAAAGTGCAAACCCCATGAATATCACCAACTTGCTTTGATTAATTGCTTGTTTCCTCCTTAATTTAATTACATTTGAGTTAATAAAGTTAAAAATTTTCAAGTGAGAATTTCATAATTTGTGTATTTGTCAATGTTTAAGATACGTAACTGCATGCTAGCGTGAGCTTAGCCATATTGACTAGAATGGATGTGCTCCATTGCAATGGGGTTCGAATTCCTCTTCGCACAGTTTAGATTCCACTGTAAATCGTTCGTATAAAATAAAATACGTTAATACATAGTTTGTATCAGAAAAATGACAACTTTGAGATTGAATTATTGAATTAGGCACATTTTATCATGTGTTCAATCGATGTTTATGTTTTTTCGGTTGCAGATTTCTGAGATTTTGATACCAAGTACATATTTTCGGAATCCGTATTTTCTGCTGAGAGTGGTTATGCTGTGGTTTTCTCTTGGAACTCAAAGTTTTTAGCTTCTGTGTATCATTTGGGGGATATGCAGGTGAGTCCTCATATCTGAAAATCCAATCTTTTCTTTGTGTGTAATAGATTTGTAAATTTTGGAATTGTGATGGCTGATTAGCTCCTGTACATTTGCCCTTGAATTCCGTTCCAGTTTCCATGGACGTGTTCCAGTCAAAACCTCTGCACTCTCAGTCGCCCTTATCTCCATAACGGAAAGCTCTTCCTAATCTCATCGTTAAATAAAAAACAAATCCCAATTTCCAGCCTCGGAAACTTATTGCAGGCACGCAGGTTCAGCGTGCCAAAGAGCAAATTTGGTGTTTCAGAGGCTGTTGGAAAGTGGGTTGGGACTTGCGGGTCAGCATTTCCAGGGGGTAGTTGTAGCTGGTGGAGTTTAAGCGAGCATGAGGAAGAGCGAAGCAGCACAGCAGCGGAGCCCGTTACGCTGCTGCACGCTCTTTGTCGAATGTGGGATTTGGTGGAGACTCGTAGCTCAAGATGGGTTATCTTCATTGCGTTTAGCTCTTTGATTATCGCTGCAGTGCGTTTCAATTCTTTCCTTATTTTGAGTGTGTTTATGTTTCTATTGTTTAAGTGAGGATTCATATTTGGGATATTTGTGGTGTTTACGATACATTAGTGTGTAGTTTGTATCAGCAAGATATCAAATTTGAGATTGAGTATCGTTTTGCAATGTTTTTGTTATAGTTTGTGTCGACACATTTTTCGTGTTCGTTGTTTTTGTTACAGTTTCATATTTTACCTATCACCCCTTGTTCAAGTATCATTTTGCAATGTTTTTCTGCTGCAGCTTTCTGAAATCTCAATGCCAAGTATATTGACGGAATCCATATTTGCTGCTCAGAGTGGTGATGCTGTTGTTTTCTATAGGAACTCAAAGCTTTTGGCTTTTTTGTGTATCACTTCAGGGATTTGCAGGTAAGTCCTCATATTTCTCTTTGATTGCAAAATCTGAAACAATAATTTTTTTCTGTTTGTGCCAGAGTTGGAATTCAGATGCCTGATTATTTACTATATCTCGTTTAAATTTCAGCGGCCTGCGAAGTGGTTGTTTTGGAATTGCCAATATTATTTTGGTGAGTCATTCTCTCATTCCTTCTCCATTTGCAAGAATGGTTATTTTTGTCATCTAATCTTTATCGTACACCATCTGCCACTTGAATCATGATACGGCAGGTGAAACGCCTCAGGGAAACTCTATACTCGGTTCTTCTTTCCCAGGTTTGTGTTCCAATTAGCAATTGGTGTTTATCTTTGATGTAGGATATTGACTCACTTGATCCTCGTTTTTATTCGATATCGTACTCTATTTTGCTGTTATCTTTCATGTAGGATATATCCTTTTTCGACAGAGAAGCAGTTGGTGATTTGACGAGCAGACTCGGGGCTGATTGTCAACGATTATCGCTTGTTATTGCGAATGATATTCATTTAATATTACGCAATGTTCTTCAGGTTGTTACTCTTACCCTCCTTCCCTTTCCTCAAAGTGTGCATTTGATTTTGATAGTCTAGCTAAGTTGCAGGTTTCTCTAAATATTCAGGGGACAGGTGCATTGATCAATTTGCTGATATTATCGTGGCCTCTCGCATTATCGGCATTATTTATATGCTGTATCTTATCTCTGATTTTTCTTCGTTATGGCCTGTAAGCTCCTGTACCATCAGTCTACTTGATATACGATTGGATTCGAAGCTATATATTTGATTATTTTTTATATTTTATAACTATATATAGGTACCAAAAGAAAGCTGCAAAGTTAGTCCAAGACTTCACTGCTGGTGCCAATGAGGTATATAGGCAGACAATTGATCCAAATTGCTCCGAAATTTGTTGGCAATCTTCCTACGTTGATCGTTTTCCTATTTGAATGTAGGCTGCGCAAGAAACACTCTCCCTAATGAGAACCGTCCGAGTTTATGGAACTGAAAGAAAAGAGTTTGGAAGGCAATTTTACTGTTAATTTCCTGTCAGCCGTCTTTCTTTCGTTTTACCGTTGTTGTTCTAATAAACATAAGGAACTATGAAATTCTGACACCCAAAGCGTGCATTTCTTTGTGTTAATAGGTTCGAGCAATGGCTAGACAAGGTAGCGTTTATAAACATTCGAGAGAGCGTGGCTTATGGACTCTGGAGTCTGAGTTTCAGTACTCTTTATCGTGCGACGCAGGTTTGTCCTCTTTTCTGGTTAACTAAATCCCAAGGTTTTGGGTCTTAAGTTAACTAAAGGGAAATGTTATTAGCACTCCAAAAATCTCATTCTACACTCCTCGTAAGTGTATTTTTCTTTCTAATTATAGCAAGTTTGGAGTGCAAAATGAGATTTTTGGAGTGCCAATAACAATTCCCTAACTAAATTGTACTTCGCATGCTGCAATTAAACGAAAATCTGTTCTTTGACGCCACTTTCTCGAATCACATTTAACAGGTTATCGCAGTGGTGTTAGGAGGGATTTCAATCATGAGTGGTCGTGTATCAGCTGAGCAACTGACGAAGTACGTACTGTATTGCGAGTGGTTAATTTTCGCAACTTGGAGGGTCACGGATAACGTATCGTCGCTAATGCAGTCAGTCGGAGCAAGTGAAAAGGTTCTTCAGTTAATGGACTTGTTGCCCAGTGACCAAGTCCTATCGAAAGGTAGTAGTAGCACTCCATCTCATGAAGGGGGAGGTATAACCTTTTAAATCTCAGGTTTTGTATATGTCGTTTAAAGTCAGTTTTGGCATCTCTTTTTCATCGGTTTCATGCTTCCGGATATCACAGTTGCTCTTAGAGATATAAACTTATCTGGAATCGCCTATATCTTCAAATGATTTCATATAACCCCGTTTCAAATGTCCCACTGTGTACAGGTGTGGAGTTGCAGAGGGTAATGGGACATATTCAGTTCGTAAATGTTTCTTTTCGCTATCCTGCAAGAGCGAAAGTGTGTCTTTTTTCGGCCTTAATAATCCGATTCATCTCCCATTGTGCTACAAATGTTCATCAGATAACCATTGACATCTCTCGAAAATTTTAACAGGTCCCCGTACTAGAGAACATAAATCTTTCCATTCAAGCACATGAAGTCGTCGCAATTGTAAGACATACCTTTGCTCTTTCGTTATGATCCCTCCTATAGGGCAAGCAACTTTAAGGACTGACTTGCATCTGATGCCAAGGTTGGTCCGAGTGGTAGCGGAAAGAGTACGTTGGTCAATCTTTTGCTTCGTCTCTATGAACCAATTGCCGGTCAGGTAAGCTTCTTCTTCCGGCAGGTTTCATCCATCGCTCGAAGTACATTCTGTTTCGTAGTATATTTTCTGTATGGACTGTCATCACATTTTTCTGAAGCTAATTTGATCTGCAGATTTACATCGACGATTTTCCGCTCAGAGAGTTGGATATCAGGTGGCTGAGAGGGAAGATTGGATTTGTTCCACAGGTTAGCATACACAAACTGCAAGATTTACTTAAGCTAACTAGAATCGTAATCTAAGTTTTCGTCTCAGACAGGAACCTCATCTTTTTCGTATGAGCATCAAGTCGAACATAATGTACGGATGCTCTAGAGAAATCGAAGACGAAGATATAGAACTGGCTGCAAAGCAGGCCTATGCTCATGAATTCATCTCCTCTCTCCCTGACGGCTACGAAACCATCGTTGATGATGGTTTGCTCAGCGGGGGTCAAAAGCAGCGAATTGCTATCGCCCGAGCGATTCTCAGAGACCCGGCCATACTGATCCTTGACGAAGCCACCAGCGCTCTAGATTCTGAAACTGAACATTATGTCAAGGCAAGTCCTTTTATCCCCATGCAAGTCCTGAAGCTGGCTCAGTGTTCCTCATGTTCTTTCATCTGCAGGGGATTCTTCATGCAATGAGGAATGACATTAAAGCAAAACGAACTGTCATTGTCATAGCACACAGGTAACTTACAACCAATGTTTTAAATTGCGAAGGCGAAGCCAAGTCGTTTCATAATTATATATATAATTCTTCAAGCAAATTAACCAACAACCAAATATCTAGAGTCGAAATCATTTGGCAAGTTTTTGAAGGAGAAAATGGACGTGCGGAAACCATTTCCCCGTCCACATTCTTCTCTTTTGTTTTCGAAGGATCTTCTGCAATATACTGAGTATTTTTTGCAGGCTTTCGACCATAGAAGCTGCTGACAGAATCGTTGTGATGGACGGCGGTCGAATCACCGAGGTCGGGCGTTATTTATTCATTCATCTAATTGTGGATTAAAAACAAGATTATTCGCTAATTTATGAGCTGTGTAATGGTAAAAATGCAGATGGGAAAGCACACAGAGCTCCTCAAGATGGATGGATTATATGCAAACTTGGTTAAAGCTCGAACAGACGCCTTGGCTTGACTCGTCAATCCGATATTCTAAGCTACTGTAATTACCTTAATATCGAACTCAAAGTAAAAGGCGGCACACTGTCCTCGCCAACTAACGCATTGCCGCTGTCAATTATTTGCTAAATTTCCCAGTTCAAAAAGTAAAAGATAGAAGTAGTACATTTTTTCTTGTTGAAATTCTTGCCATCACAAGAAAATAAAAACTAAAAACGAAATAATTATTAAACGAACCTGGACGAGACTCGCTAGAGTCGCTCAAGGGCTTCAGTGTTGAATCCGGGCTGGGGAACTTGTTGGTGAGGAAGGCCTTTTGGTTCTCCATGCTTTTCTTCGTTCCCCGTCTTCCTGTTGCTCGTCTCTTCGTCGGCTACGCCTTTAATTTCCTTGGCTACCTTAACTTTGCTTTCAGCTTCCGACCTCTGCGTAGCTTTCTTCTTCTTCTGCTCGTCCATGGAAGGACTACTAGTAACTCGCATGTAAAGGCGAAAACTGGAAAGATATTTACGAGGACACTAAAGAATGAAGTATGCATATTAAAGCCATCAAGGGGTGCTACACGTGGCTTAAGCGAGGAGGTTTTCTTGCGCCACGTGTTCCCATAGTCGTCGTGTTTTGCACATTGAGTATATCTGCAATTATGACACGAAAGTAACAAATTTTGAGTCAACATGTTAATTTTCGATCATTGTCACATTAGCTGTTAAAAGATAATATATTGTTTGTTAAATTTAAAAATTACACTTGATAATTTTTGTATGATTCGTTGATCTGGCACGAAATGACATGATCTATTAATGAACCGAATCGTTATCGGCCCATCTTTTAAAAACACGTTAAAGATAACATGCTTGACATGATTTGATCCATTAAAAAGCGAAAACAACACAAACGTAACAAACACGACCATTTGCCAAGCCTATGTGTAGCGTGGAGGGTTTTGAAATCAAGTAACTCAAACACAAACGTATTGCTTCAAAATCATTTCCAAATCTTTGACTATTTAATTTTAAGAGTAAATTGTAGTAATAATCCCTCAACTTTAAACAAATTAGAGCAATAGTCACTCAACTAAAAATCCATTACCATTAGTCCCTTAACTCATCAAAATGTGTAGATATGGTATTTTTCATCAATTTCGTCAAAATTTTAACAAAATGAGTTACGTTGGAATGACCATTGCTACAATTAGGTTAAAGTTGAGGGACCATTTCTTCAATTGGGTTAAAGTTAAGAGATCATTTCTCCAATTGGATTAAAGTTGATAAACCTCGGTCCGCATCCACACTCCCTCCAAAAATAGGACAAGAATTGTTTGTCCTTCCACTTCCGGTGCCCTCCTGTGTCCTCTTGTTTTCTGTGATCACGGTTAAACCACGTCAACATTTTATATTACTATTTATTTTTATCTTATTATCTCTATAAAAAATAATATAAAATATTGGCATGATTTAACAATGATCACACAAAACAGGAGGCTAGGAGGGCATCAAAAGGGAAAGGGTAAACAATCCTTGTCCCCAAAAATAAACAGACATCTCGATATCCTTCCCATATATAAACCACTAACCTGACAGTTCTTAGCGTCACCACCAATCCCTCGTCGCCACGTCTCCCACCACCTGAATCAAGTACTTTTCCCTCACCCTTTTCCACTACACTAACCCCCCTAAACCCTAAACCCTTCGATTCTCCATTTTTCTACGGTCCATGATTGCTCACCTCGAATACAAGCTCCGACTCTGGCCATCTCTCTGGTGAGTTTCACTAGTATGCGAGGCTCTCTGAAGCTGAAACTTGGAGCTTTCAGATGGATTCAGTGCGGCGGATGAACATGTTGAGATACACTGTTTTGCTCGGTTTGTCTCTTCTTCTGGTGGCGGGCCAAACGGCGTCGCATTTAGGCTCCGGTCCGCACATTGCAGACGTCAACATTCTGCTGCCTCCCAGAATGACTCATCCGGTCGAGTATCGGCTCCAGGGGAGCGATGGTTGCTTCAAATGGTAAGCCACTCTGCGTATCTATATGTGTGTATATATGTATGTATATGCTCATGCGTACTTACAGTATATGAATTCGTCATTTTTCAAGCTTGTTTGTGCTAAATTGATGTTTCTGGTAATATATATGTGTATATAAATGTTGAAATTTATGAAAATTGGTTGCAGGTCATGGGATCACCACGACATTCTGTCTGTTCTGCCGGAATATAACTCAACTAGTCACTGCTCGACGAGTGCACTATTGAGATCAATTGCTCCGTTTAGTGGCCGGAAGGAAACTGCTGTTTATGCTGCTGATGTAAATACTGGGGTTGTGATTCGCTGCAAAGTTTTTATTGACAAGCTTTCTAGGATTCAGATATTTCATAATTCTGTTAAACTTGACTTGGATGGGCTTGCCACGCTTCGAGTTCGCGCCTTTGACAGCGAAGGTATGTTTTGAAATGCTAATTATCACGAGATATTTGGGGCTTACATTTGTTCTATCTTTAGTTTAATTGCGCTGGTTCTTAAATTTTAAGAGATTTGCCGATATGCATTGCAGAAAATGTGTTTTCGTCCCTGGTGGGATTGCAATTTATGTGGCAGCTGGAAACCAATGAACTGCCTCACCACCTTGCTCATGTTCCTCTAAAGGATTCTCCCCTGAGTGACTGTGGTGGGTTGTGTGGAGACCTAGATATCCAAATAAGCCTTGAAGATAATGTATGTCTATACTTCAATTGGGTGTGATTGAGCAATATCAGCAGGTTACTGCATTTTCAATTTGCATCTAACCTTTTTATTTTTCAAATGTATGGTGTGCAGGGTGTATTTTCCGATCTGTACGTTGTAAAGGGAATCGAAATTGGGCATGAGATTGTTTCTGTAAATTTGCTTGAGCCACGATTCCAGCACATGACTGACAGAATTGCTCTTACTGTGGCAGAAGCCATGTCACTTGATCCTCCCTCACCTGTTTTTGTCCTCGTTGGTGCTGCTGTTCAGTATAGTCTAAAAATTATCCGTGGGAACAAGGCTCAAGGTTTTTACTCCCTCTTTATGCGTATGCTCTAAAGTAGCAATCTTATTTTCTATTGTTGTATGTTGTCTAGGAAACTTGCTTTTATTTTATAAACTTGTGATTGCATAAAAGTGTGGCAACCTTCATCGGTGAGGTAAATCTAATTGATGGATGCTTGTTTTGGAGCTTGTTGGAAGCTTCTTTTGTGAATAGATACTCAAAACTGTAAATTGCTAGTATGGTAGGTTCTGGGAGCTTCCAGAAATAAAATAAAACTAGTGCTAAAGCTCAACCTTAGAGTTCAAAGAGATTTTGTTATTAAACCATTGTGAAAAATTGCACTATTTGATCTAAGCTATCTTTCTTCATTGGACCTTTGCAGTGGTAACTTTGCCGTCTCCACATCATCGATGGTCTGTTTCAAACTCTTCTGTTGCTCGTGTGGACTCTATGATGGGTTTGGCTAATGCGTTTAGCTTAGGAATTACAAACACCATAGTTGAAGATACAAGGGTTGCTGGCCACATACAAGTGTCGTCACTTAATGTTGTTCTGCCAGATTCTTTATCTTTATACATGGTACCTTTGTCTACTTCTGGCAATCTTGTTGAGGGAATTGAAGCAATTCCATCCATGACACGTTGGTATGGTGTTTCTGGCCGTCAGTACCTCATTCAAATGAAGGTTTTCTCACAAGGTCCAGATGCACAAGAAATCTATCTTACAGAGGTAACCCATGCATTCTTCCAGTATCTTCTTTGAACATTGATCTATCCAGTTAATTTGCACTTTTGACCTTTCCGTTTTTGTTTTCCTTTCCACAATGTGAATTATAATTGTCTTATCGAAGGTAGTGCTTGTCCTATTGATTGTTTCTCTCTGTTGAATAATGTTCTAGCATTCTATGTTTTCTTGTCCATTTATACTTCCTTTCAGATGTCCTTCGTTCTCATTTGATGCAAAAGTTTGTCTTGTTTTATATTATAGCTTTGATTTACTCTGATATGGTAGCTTGTTATGTTTTTGGCTACCTTCCGCTCTGAAGTTCCATCCCTGAATTGCAGAGTGATGATTTAAAGTTGTCCAGTGACCAGTCTGACTACTGGAGACTTTCTCCTGTATCAAATGATATTGCAATCAAACATGGCTGGCAGAATTCTATGATCCTGAAGGCAACTTCACAGGGACAGGGTAAATTGGCAGCTTCTTTGACTTACTTTAGTGCATTAAATGAGAAGAAGGAGGTAATGACTTGATCTTAATTGCCATTTTCCTAGTTCCTGATCGGTTTATTATGCTGTTAAGTTTTGTTCTATTCGCTTTTTCCATTTTTCAAAATTTTATTTTGCTTAAAGGCGTTCATTTCCCCCTTGCAGGTTCTCAAGGTCATGCAAGAAGTCGTGGTTTGTGATCAAGTCCAGTTTACTTTGGATAAAAGTGGTGCATCTCCAACCATTCTCCTTCCGTGGGCCCCTTCTGTTTATCAGGAGGTGGAGCTAAAGGCTACAGGAGGTTGCTAGCTTTTTAGATAATTGTTTTATCATTTGACTCTAATGTTAGGCTTCTGAACACCATCAAATTATACAGGTTGTGCTCAAGCATCCAGTGACTACAAATGGTTCTCTTCAGATATGGGTATCGTGTCTGTATCTGCTTCTGGGGTTGTCCAGGCTAAGAAGCCTGGTAAAGCTACCATTAAAGTGCTATCCAGTTTTGATTCATTTAATTATGATGAGGTACAGGGTATTCATATGTTGTGATTCTTTTCTCGTCTTCATATAACTGAATGCCTACTGACCTGCCTTCATACTTATTATATCTTGTGCTTAATTGGAATCTTTTAAACTTATGTACTCTGCACATCGTACATTTGAACCTCAAGATTTTACATCCAAACCCTCAGATGCTATACACTGTTTACATAGAAATTTATCTCTCTCTCTCTCTCTCTCTCTCTCTATCACAAGCCTATTGTCTGTACCAGTTTTTATAGTATTTAGTCTGCTGTGATAGGTTGCCATTGAAGTCTCTGTTCCAGCATCTATGGTCATGCTTCGTAACTTCCCTGTTGAGACTGTTGTAGGAACACATCTTCAAGCTGCTGTAACAATGAAGCATCAAATGGTAATGACATATGAATTATGATATACCAGAAGTGTAGGGTACTTAATTTCTGTCAGTGGTGTTTGACCTTTTAAACTTTGATTTTTTTTAATTTGCAGGTGCCTACTTTTATAGATGTGATGCATTCAGCTCCTTCATAAAGTGGAAAGCAGGGAGTGAGTCTTTCATTATTGTCAATGCAACAGTTGAGGCACCCACTTTAGACATTTAGGGAATGCTGAGTTCTATGCAACAAGTTCTGGTCCCGCATGTTCACGGGCATATTTATATGCCTCGGCTTCTGGTCGGGCAACCCTTCATGCTACATTATCAAAAGAATATCACAACTTGGATAGCTCTTTTAGTGGGCCCGTTGTTTTAAAAGCATCTTCACTTATTGCGGCATATTCACTGCTTAGCATTCGTCAGGCAGGTGATGGAAACCATTTTGGTGGCTACTTTTTTGATTTGGCTCAAACAGAAACTGATAGGCAGTTGGTAAATTTGGACAAAATATACCTTGTCCCTGGAACGCATCTGGATGTTATGCTTCTTGGTGGACCTGAAAAGTGGAACAATGGTATTGACTTTGTTGAAACTATGGATATCTTAAATGAAGGACATGGTCATATTGACAATGGGGCTTCTGTGCAATGGTTATCTGATAGCTATAAGAGTCTGTACAGAGTTTCATGTCAAAAGCTGGGAACCTATGTAAATTTCTTCTCTTTATCTTTCAGTTGCTTTCTAAATTCTAATATAATTATCTGTGTGAAATATTATTAATATAATATCTCTTTATCTTGCAATGACTCAGAAAATTGTTTTCAAACGTGGTAATCTGGTTGGGGATGGCCATCCTCTACCTGCAGTAGCAGAAGTTCTGCTGTATCTTACGTGTAGCATTCCTACCTCAATTGTTCTGCTAGCTGATGAACATGGTATAAATGATTTCCTTGCGTTAAAACTACAAGTTGTTAAAATTTACTTTCAGTGATATTGAGATCCACATTTGAAGTTATTGGTTAATGACCACTCTGCAGTAAATGAACGTGAAGTTATACGGACTGCAATTCAGGCTGATCGCAGTTCTGGGAAAATCCGTGTCACCCCTGTTACCGTGGCAAATGGGCGCACCATTAGATTAGCTGCTGTTGGTATTAGTAACTCTGGAGAAGCATTTGCAAACTCATCTTCTCTTTCCTTGGGGTGGGAACTTATCAATTGTGGCGAGATGGCTAGTTGGGATGATGCTGATGATTTAGAGAGGTCGAAGCACAGTTGGGAGAGGTTATTGAGCTTGAAAAATGAGTCAGGCCTGGTACTGCCTAGAATTTCATTGTCCTTCGTTTTATGGTATCTTGTTAATTATGCTTTTTGACTCTCAAAACTTTGCTCCTGAGCTTTAACTCATCAAGTGAAGCCTCGTCAACTGAATTGTTTCTAGACTCATGATGTTAAAGTCTCAAAATTCCTTCGTTTTGGATATTAGGGTTTCTTTTCAGTTCTAGAACACTTCATAGTATAGCAATGCTATATGAGCTAACAGCGTTGAATCCTTTGCTTCTTAGTGTATAGTTCGTGCTAACTGTCATTGGTTTCAGAGATAACATGGGTGCTCATAAGTCTGTTCCACTGCTTGAGGATTCAGATAATGTTCTTACAGATGCAATTCGTCTACAGGTATATCATGTTTGGATGTGATGAATATTTAAAGTTTTGCTACTGTAGGTATATGGTGTTTGGTGTTTGGATGGGATGACTTTAGATTCAGGGTTTATGGTCCTTTTTTTCTTTTTGAACTTGCTACTAAAATTTCTTAAATGCATGCTATTTATATTGGTCTTTTTAATTTTCTAAAACTGTAAAATCTCATGTTTAGATTTGTTAAAACTGTGCAGCTTGTTTCTACATTAATTGTCAGCCCAGAGTTCAATCTGGTGTATTTCAATCCCAATGCTAAGGTAGGCCCTGAACTCCTCATCAATACTCTATCTCGCATTTTATAAATTTTTGTGTGCTTACTTTTGGGCATATAAACTACAAAATGCATTTATTATCATCTTTCAGTTAAACCTGTCAATTACTGGTGGGAGCTGTTTCTTGGAAGCTACTGTGAATAATTCTCGAGTACTGGAAGTCGTTCAACCCCCAACAGGTTTACAGTGCTCACAACTGATCCTGTCTCCTAAAGCTATGGGGACAGGCACTTGTGACAGTTTACGATATTGGACTTGCTCCTCCCCTTGCGGCTTCTGCTGTGGTAATTTCTTTCTTCTGCTGAAGTGCCAATTGTTTGATTTCGGTGATTAACTTTTGAGAGAAACAAATTTAGTTTCAGTTTGGGTGATCTTTCAAGGAGTGTAGATGCACGATAAATTTCCTCGACTAATACGTTCTATGAAATGGAACTGTTGATTCAATGTATAATGGATCCTAACTTGTGATTCTAAGAGAATGGTACGACATGTATCTCGTCTTTGGGTACTTCACAACCGCACATACGTGAAATATAAACTTAATCAGATTCTTGAAACTTGAAATTGTGCCATCAAACTCTTAGTGCCCATTGTTTCATTTTCTTTTCTCATTTGTTATGCTTTTTTCTGGTCACAAGCCTTCATCTTTCATGTTAAATATTGCTTGCTTTTGTAGGCTAGTTTCTCATGAAGGTGTGTGTATTCTTTAGGTACAAGTTGTAGACATTGACTGGATAAAGATTGTGTCACCAGAGGAAATAAGCCTTATGGTATGTTTTCCCATTGTAACTATTTTTCTGGTTCTCTGGTTTTTTATTTTTTATTTTTTGTTACACTGCAGAGCTACTGGGCAATTAAAAGAATTCAATATGCATCCATTATGGATCTTACCGTATCCTGCTTTGACAATTTCAGGAAGGGAACTCGCAGACTATTGATTTGATGGCTGGGATTAGTGATGGGAGGACTTTCGATGCTTATCAGGTTTGAATTGACCTGATTTATTAGGCTTCTCTGTTGCGTGTTGACAAGCGACTTGTGGTGAACACATCAATGGTCTATCTATGGTCTAGATGTTTAATTGTGTAGATCTTGACCTCTTTGGCTTCTTGTCTGTGTGTAAGAGCACATGGTCCAAGCCATATTCTTGCTTTATATTTTGCATGCAAGTGGCTTGATGATTTTGAACCTATTGTGCAGTTTGCCTACATGAATATTCATGTGCATGTTGAGGATCATATTATTGAGGTGTTAGACATTAATGATATCTCAAGCCCAGGTGGTGGATTTGTTAATGTCCCGAAATTTAAGATTTTGGCTACACATCTTGGGATCACCACTTTCTTTGTAAGTTCACCGTTCGCGTGATACCTATGTGTTACCATCTTTAATTTTCTTCACATTGTCAAATCTTTTGTTGCATTTATGAATGTTGAAAGTTTTCTAAAAGTACTTGAAATTAGGTGAGTGCTGTACAACAATCTGGGCATGAAATTTTGAGTCAACCAATAATGGTGGAAGTTTATGCACCACCTGTAATCTACCCACAAGAAATTTTCCTTGTACCTGGAGCATCTTATGTGGTATGTTTCCGATATGAATCTGACCTTGTTACTTTACCCTTTTCGGCATTTTTTTTAAACAATGAGTTGGTGTAGTTGCTATCTTTTAGCTGTCTGCAACTACTGGGGATGAAGGTGGATTTTGATTATGCTAATTTTTTTAATTGTATGTCATTTTTAATGAGGAGGAAAGTATTTTTGAAATGTACTAATATTCTTTTTGCTTTTAGGCACACACACAAACACACTATTGTTCACTGCCGATTTCATGTTTAATTTCTGTAATGACAAGTTAATTCTTTTATGCTTAGCTTACCGTGAAAGGAGGACCAACAGTTGGTGTATATGTTGAATATTTGAGTCTGGATGATGCAATAGTGACAATGCATCGATCTTTTGGACGGCTGTCTGCTATGTCACCTGGAAACACTGTAAGATAAATAGCTGATTCAAGTTCACTGTATTCTTTTTAGCTATTCGCATATGTTAATTATATGATTTTACCTTTTCAATTATAATAAGAAAAGGGTGTGATGTCTAATACTTTGAAGCAGCATTGCTGGGAATGCAAAAAATTTTCCTAATCAAATGCATTTTTTATGCATGACCAGACTATTCGTGCCACATTCTTCAGAAATGGAAATATTGTGATTTGTGAAGCATATGGCAGTGTTAAAGTTGGAGTTCCTTCTTCGGTGACACTGAATGCACAAAGTGATCTGCTTGGTGTTGGCCATGAGATGCCAATATATCCTTTATTTTCTGAGGTAAAATTTACAAATGAAGGGTTATGCTTGAACTCTTATCAGATACTTACTTGTGCAGTATCATCAGGGTGATTTGTTTTCTGTTTATGAGCTCTGCCAAAACTACCGGTGGACTATAGAAGATGAAAAGGTATTCTTTCATATTCTTGCTACACGTAAATCATTCCATGACACATATATTATGTCATCAAATTACAAAGAGTGTCTGTTTTTGTTGTCTAGGTTTTGAGCTTTTATTTAGAGCACTTCACTGGTGAGAAGTATGGTTCTCAGTTGGAACGTTCAGAAAAGATTCAATTCCCTAGCCATATGAATGAGGAAGAGCTTGGTTTTATCAAAGTCGTATCTGGAAGGTATACATTGTTTTCTGTTTCTGTCGTTATAACCCATATATGCTTTTGCCATTTTCATTTACAAAAAATACCTGTGGCTTCTTCTTATTAGCATTTGTCTTTCAATTTTCAGATTTGCAGGGAGAACAAACGTTGCAGTCTCATTCTCATGTGAATTTATATCTTCTGGTTCCAAATCATGGAGAAGAGTTTACAATGCATCTCTATCAATATCGGTGGTGCCTGATCTCCCTCTTGCTCTTGGAGTCCCAATAACCTGGGTTCTTCCTCCTCATTATACTACAACAAGTATTTTACCTTCATCTTCAGAATTGCATGGCCAAAGGGATAGTCAGAGTCATAAAGGAATTATTATCTATTCCTTATTAAAAAATCTCCCTGAAAAGAATGAAGGTGTGGAAAAGGATGCTATTTCCATCGACGGAGACAGAATAAAGACATCAGAGAGTAACAATCTTGCATGCATTCAGGCAAAAGATCGTATGACGGGTAGAATTGAGATTGCTGCTTGCATCAAAGTTGCTGAGGTATGAATATAATCTCTGCTGATTGAAAACTAAATATAAGGTAGCAGCTTTATTTCAAATACTACTCAAAGACAAGAAAAAGGTTTAACATCTAAGAGAAAAACATATTACATATTTTGGTCAGGTGTCTCAAATAAGAATTACGAACAAGGAGTTACCATTTCACTGGATCAATCTTGCTGTTGGTGCTGAAATTTCTCTTCCAGTAGTCTACCTTGATGTGATAGGTATCAATGATTCAGTTATTTAATCAATATTGGTACTTGATAAGTTTCAAATTTATTCTAAAAGTCTTGTGTTTTTCTTGGACTAGGAAACCCTTTCTATGAAGCACACGGTGCCACTCTCTTTGATGTTGCAACCAACTCTCCTGATGTTGTGTCCATAAACAACAGCAGCAACACGCATGGTGGCGGTGGAAATATCCATCTCAAGGTTTGCTTCACTCAAATAATTCCATGCAAGAAGCTGTGTTAAGGATTTCTTCTGTTTGTCTTTCAAAAAGGAAATATAGTATTCAACAAGCAACATGCATTTGTATAGACAAGATCTAGACTAGTGAAAGGACAGCAGTATATTTTAGTATTCATTTGATTTTCCTGAGCCGTAGACTGACTCCTGTTTTCTAATTTCTGGTTGAAGACGATGCGACATGGTAGAGCTCTTGTGCGAATATCCATCCATCATATGCCTCAGAAGTCGGACTATATCCTGGTAGAGCTCTTGTGATATTTGTTTTCGTTAAACTGCTGTGTGCTTGTTTAAGATCAACTGAATACTTGATTTCTTCAGATATCAGCGGGTGCTCATATACATCCTCAAAACCCAGTTCTTCGAACAGGAAGCCATATTAACTTCAGTATAGAAGGTAAGTTATGGTAAAAATTTACTTTGAAATCCATTTACTATATATCGTGTAGGCAAGTTTCCCCCTCCGCTCACCACCATGTTACAATTTTTACCTTGGTGGATAGGCTTAAATGATGAAATTTCTGGTCGTTGGGGAACTACAAATGGAAGTGTCATATCTGTATCCCCATTGTCTGGGGTGGCTGAAGTAGTTGGGGAAGGTACAACTCAAGGTAAACAACAATTTTACGTTTTGTTGAATCAACCATTCTAGACAAAATTTTGTAAATTTATCCTATCCCTGTAATTTTTTGTGAATAATATATAATGACACAAGATTTCATTCGTGGTTTCATTCTTGTGAACAGTATATTTTGAAGCTTCAAGTTTGAAGTTGCGAACAACAGTTATAGTGCCAACAGAGGATATTATTTCTGTGGATGCTCCAACTGAGACACTAACAAATGTTCCCTTCCCAACTAAAGGATATAACTTCTATGTGAAGATCAGGTTTGTAACCATGAATGGTCTATATGCATTATTTGGTTGTTACATTATGCTTTCCGGGACAGAAGAACACAAGTAATAATTCTGTAGGAGAAGACTAATGTTTTCATTTTTTCCATTTGATTCCAAAGCAGTACCGACAACAAGTTTAAGGCGCTTGGAAACACTAAGGAACTCCAGTATGACTGTAGAGTTGACCCGCCTTTTGTTGGGTACAACTCTTTTGCTCTAGCCTCACTCGTTCATAAATATGCTGAATAATCATTTTTGTGTGGTAATATTCCTTTTCTCTTCATGAACTAAAGGTATGCAAAACCATGGTTAGATCTTGATACCGGTAGCTCATACTGCCGCTTTTTTCCTTACTCTCCGGAGCATCTGGTTCGTTTGGTACCCAAGTCAAAGGATATGAAATCAGATATATCTGTTTCCATCAATGCTTCACTGAGAGAAGCAGATCATGTTTCCGGATCTGCTTCTGCTCTTTTTGTTGGAGGGTTTTCCATTTTAGAGATGGGCAAGGTAGCGACATATCTCGCAGCATGTATTTCATATTCTTCTGAAACATTGTCGTATGGTGCACCTATAAGTTTTTATACCGGGACTCCCCTTGAACGAGATCATAATGTTAATAGTATTTGATGTGGCTGTTTCTTGAAATGTTTCAGGATTCAATGCAGTTGAAGCTGACCCCAGACTCTAACAAGACTACTATTACAATCCTGGGAAACACAGGTAAGACCTAAGAAGACGGCGCTTTGGCCATCTCTCTCTCTCTCTCCTCTTGCTCTGGACTCTGACATGATCGGTTGATTTGTTCTAATTGTAGATGTTGAAATCTATTGGCATGAGCGGGATTCTTTACTCATTACTCCCATCCATAAAGAAGGTTCTGGGATCGGTGGGCATGCAAAATATGAGGTGAGTACTGGTAAAACTTGTCCTTTAGGTTGGTGCGTGAAAGTTTGAATTTGAAAATGTTTAAAAGTAACATATAAGCGTTTCCTTGGTTCCATATCGTATTTCCTTAACTGAGTCCATCCGATTGATACAATAGTTTGATTTCATTTTCGTATATTGAATTTTGATATCTTTCACGGATTATGCAACTTGTCCATTTCAGGTCAGAATGCTAGGATCCAAGAGATTCAAAGATACAATTTTCATTACACTTCCAGCCAATGGTGAGTCTTTTTTATCCTAAATCTTCATATTACACTCCAGAAGAAATTTTACAAAAAGTAATTGAAGCAGAGAAGATAAATCTTTAGGTACTCTCTCAAACGAGATTCTATAAAATTTTATATTGTGTATGCAGGTCAGAGTGTGGAAATTGATGTCAACGGCGACCCTGGAGATAAAACGGCATCTGAAACTACCATCAATCATACACTTTGGGCAACGGTGCTTGGATGTCTTGCTCTATCGGGTTTGACAGTTGCTTTCACCATATGTTATTCGGCAAACAGACTGGATAGATCTCAAACATCCATTAACGCTCCAGCCCCTCCAAGCACTGCAGGCCCAGCCACACCCGAACGTACTAGCAGCCCAGCTACTGGGAGCGAACAGTCTCCTCGAACACCTCAGCGTTCATAGATTACGTTAGAAGAACAATAGACGAAACTCCATACTACAGGCGAGAGCCGCGGAGGAGAGTTAATCCACAGAATACGTTCTAGTTTCTTCGACCGTCGTTTAGAGTTTAGCTAGGGAACTCTCTCACTCGGAAAGACGTACCATGTAACGATGTAAATTCAAGTCCTTCTGTGACTCTGTTGAGAGCCAAACAAGGCGTTTCTTGACCAAATTTTGGTGTATGTCACGTACATTGGTTCAGTTAGTGTATTTATACGATGTATTTCTACGGATTAAGTAATCGATTAAGATTTTGAAGCCTAAGATTATGCTGTGTTGTTATTTTGTTCATGCCAAAAGTAGGTGAGTGTATAGGAAATTTCTGTTTGACGAAGATATCCAAACGTTTTCCACTACGTTTTTCACATTTTTTCTAACGCAATTCTTATACTTTTCTTCGCGACCAACTCCTTTCACTTTGTTACAACTTACAACTCGAGTGATTAAGAGTATTTATTTTTCACAGTCTGAAACTTCAAATCTACTTTTTCGATACTACTTGTGTGAAAAAAAGTCGTACACGACCAAAGTTTTACCTTTTTTTTTTTTTTTTTAAATAAATGTAATTTTATATCGAAATAACAAATCTTTATATCAAACATGTATCTCATACTCCTAATCTTGTAAAAATTTCATTACAAGCCTAATAGTTAGGCTCATATCGGTCACCCGACTAGCTCCTAACGGATTTTAAAATTCGATATTGCTTCTTCATAAATATATCGGAGATTTATTTCTTTCTTTAAAAGGAAAATAATTAAAAAAAAAAAAAAGAACATATATATATATTTAGTTCGTGAGAGTTGAGAGGTTTAAGATCCTCGGCAGCCAACCCTTCTTAGTACTTCCTCTTCTCTGTCTACTTGCTAGGGCTCAAACTTCTTCTTCGCTCTCTGTAGTTCTTCCTCTCAGAATCCGATACCCCCATGGATTTTCGGACGAACGATCCCAACCTCGATGGCGAAGCTCAGGACAATAACCAGCCAGACCATAGACACGAGACGGCGGAGGATGACGACTATAGCAGGTCCCAGCCTCAAACTGGCGACGGCGCCAGCCCCGGGTAAGCTCTCTTTGTCCTCTAATTTTAACTCCGTTTGGTTCCCGAGAAAATTTAGGGAAAACCCAGTTAAAAAACTACTCTCAGCTTAGCTATTTTTCTGTAATTCCGTAGGAAAATCTTTATAGGGGGTTTGGCAAGAGAGACTACTACAGGTAGGAATTTCAATTTTCGTTTCTGCTGAGTTGATTACTGTAATTTTGTAGTTTTTAGGGTTTCTGATTGGGGATCTGTTTCTGGTAATGCAGCGCAATTTATAAAGTATTTCGGTGCGTACGGTGAGATTATAGATTCGGTGATAATGAAGGACCGGAAGACGGGGCAACCCCGTGGTTTCGGGTTTGTGACGTATGCAGACCCCTCTGTGGTTGATAGAGTCATTGAGGAGACTCATGTTATCAATGGCAAGCAAGTAGGTATTTTCAAGCTGTATGCTTCTTTTGTTTGTAAAAAAGGAGCTTGCTTTTTAAATTTTTTTTTCATACTTTGTAGGTCGAAATCAAGCGAACAATACCCCGGGGAGCAATGGGGTCTAAGGATTTCAAGACTAAGAAGATATTTGTGGGTGGAATTCCAACAACCGTAAATGAAGGTGCCCTTTTTTGGTTGCTTTTTCCCTTTTCCGTTTCTAGTTTTTCTTTGAGTATAGTTAATGAGGTACTTTTATGTTCTTTGTAAATGGGCAGAGGAGTTTAGCGACTTCTTTTCACAGTACGGAGAGGTTAAGGAACATCAGATTATGCGGGACCACTCCAGCGGTCGCTCCCGTGGATTTGGATTTGTCACCTTTGATACAGATCAAGCAGTTGATGAACTCTTGGACAAGGGGAACAAGCTTGATTTTGCTGGAGCTCAGGTGAGTTGTCTACTGATAAAAGGCTGTGCTTGCATTTGTCTGTGCCCTTATATGCTTTATGATTATGCCACATGGAGCGAATTCCGAAATAGTTATCATATGCATTATCTGTTGCATTGGTTGTAGTTTAGAATTATGGTGTGTCGAACTGTACAGTGTTTATTAGATATGTCGCTCAAATTAAGTGTTTGCTCCCTCTTTTTAATTTTCTGCTTTCGCTGATCAATGTGCAAATTGGAATGGTTTTGTAATGGGTTGCACTAAATTATTGCTTGGTTAGCAGTGCCTATAGATTACTTAAAGTTCTTATTGCTTTAAAAAATGTTCTTGTTTGCTTTAAAAAATGTTCATATTGCTTTTTTCACTTTTGAAGTGATGAGTAATGAAACCATACGCTTGATCAACAAAACTGAGTTGGAATTCACTTATGTATAAAAAAATAGTTTACATGTACTCAGACGGTCTGGCCATATAGTAAATGCATCTATGATCACTCAAGAAGCTTGATAATTTAGGTTCATCTGTTTTTTCTTGTAGGTGGAGATCAAAAAGGCAGAGCCAAAGAAGCCAAACCAACCTGCACCACCATCGAAACGTTATAATGATTCTAGACCTGCATACGGTGGTGGGTATGGAGAAAGCTATGGTGGATATGGAAGTGGCAGTTATGGTGGTGCTGGTGCTTATAGGTCAGCTGCTGCCTATGGTGGTAGAGGTAGCGCTTATGGAGGATATGGTGGCAGTGAATTTGGCGGATATGGAGTATATGGTGGTGGCGGTGGTGGTGGTATAGGGGCTTATAGGGGAGAATCCTCCATGGGATATTCAGGCCGCTATGGAGGAGCCTACAGCAGAGGTTATGATATAGGAGGCGGTTATGGTGGAGCTGGTGAGAGTTATGGGGGATATGGAGGTGCTGGCGGGGCAGCTGGTGGCGGTGGTTACGGGAGTGGCTATGATGCAGCAGGTTTTGGAGGTGGCTACGGAGGTGGTAGTGGAGCTTCCTTTTACGGTAGTAGAGGAGGGGGATATGGTGGTGCAGGTAGTGGTCGATATCATCCATATGGGAGGTAAGAGGCTTGTTGTATCATAGAACAGAAGAACTCGGCAGCCAAAATGCGAACCTAACCTTGTAGCTCTTGCCTTCAAGTCGACAGGCTTACGTTTTCAGTTCCTCTCGTGGTCTCATTTCTCTCTCTCGTTCAGACTTTCGCACTGCCGGCAATAGAGCCTGAGCAACCTTGTGTCAAAGATGTTCCATATAATTGTTTGTTGAATTCTTTATATTTCTTTGAAGCTCTTTTTTGTACCGGGACTATGAGATTAAAGGGACCTGGCAATTGACATTAACTGTCTGCACATTGGTGCAGATGTTTGCATTCCCGCACTGGTTTTTATTCCTTGTGACTGCATTGAGAGACTGCCATGAGTTATTTTCTTCAGTTAGTTTTTGCAGAATCCGCTGTTGGCTTAGCCATTTTCGTTATTACTTTCCTGGTCCGAAGTATTTTTCGTTAAAAGCACACGAGCACGTCCCACAAAAAAATAATAATATGGGAAGATCTCAAGTTCGAATCACTCATCTTCCGTTGACCAAAACAGAGGCAGGGTATTTCGTTGCTCAAAACAAAATAAAATTTTAACATCATGTCATGAGGGTGAAAAGGTTTTTACTCAAAAGCCGCTAGACTTGGTTATAGTTAAGGGTTTGTTTGAAAATGTTTTTAAAATTGTTAAAAGCGTTTTTGTGAAATGGTTGGTATTTCTTACAAGAAGCACTTCAAATGCTTTTAAAATTTAAAAATATTTTCTCTAAAAGCATTTTCAGTTATTTTACAAACACTTCCAAACAAACAATGTCTTTTACTCTGCATTCAGATTTGAATATTATTCGCATGGTTCAAATTGATATTAGAATAGAAAATGCTATAGCATAGGTGCAGGTTAATAGTTGGATATCTTCTTTGATGATTTAAACAAGGTATTCAACCATCAGCTATTACATCTCATTATCTCTAAAATATAATTTCAGTAAATAAACTCTCTAGCATCGAATCAAAAATCCGAATCTTCTGTTTAAAATTGCTAAAGGAAGATGTATAATCGTATTGGTCAGATATGAGTGTCCAAAAATTGTGGTGTCCAATTGTAAATAAACTGAACTTAATGGTGCCTGTCAAATTAATCCAAAATTAAAAAAGAAAAACTAATAGAAAGTGTTTGAAAATTTTAAGTTTTAATAATAAAGATAAAATAAAAGGTAAAGTAAATAGTATCCATGATTGACTTTTTAGTGTAAAAATATGATTTTTTATTAAAGTAAACAGTACCGTGAACTTTTCGTTAAAACTTCTAATAAAAAAAGATAGAAATTATATTTGGAAATAGATTATTTTCCGATCTCTTCCACTACTATTATTAGATCAAGTGATTCAGACCTTTTATTTATCTCACTGTAAAAATTATTATAATTTTTAAGTAGATGTTTGATAAAATTTGAAAGGCTCGAATCAGATCTCTGTCCATTATATTTCTGGCAGGCGTGCGTTTTCTCGAGCTGGTCTGCGTCGGGTATTAGCCACAGATAGAGAAGGCGCGCGCGCGAAAGAGAGAGAATGGCGATGGCGTCCTGGAATCTGAGCCTGAGTCCACGTCCAAAGGTGCACACAGATTCATAGATTTTTTTCTTTCTATTTATTTATATAGTTATAAATAAATGGCTAAAATCTCCATTTTCTGTGGCCATTGTTTGTTCTTGTAGCTGGTTCAAGTCTCCTGCAGAAAGAGGGAGAAGAATCGAGATAACTATGACCCTTACAAAGTCATCGAAATTACTCCTCCGCCCAAGAACCTCGGCGTTCGTTGCTTCCCATCCGTAAGTCCTTAAATTTTTGCTCGGATATTATTGCTCCAAATTACTAATCCTTTTCTGCGAATTATTTTTTATTTATTTTTTGTTTGAGGAATTGCAATTGCGTGGTTGGATAAGAAATTAAAATATAAAAAAGTATTTAAAATGTTAGACAGATTGGAACTTGTGGCAAAAGGGATTCAAATAAGTTTATTTTACGTTGCCGGGCCTGGTCCCAAGCCCGGATAAAGGAGGGGAGGACGTTAGTTAGTCGACAGTAGGCACTCCGTTCTTACTTCAAATCCCTATGATATTAAAAATGTTAGACAGATTGGAACTTGTGGCAAAAGGGATTCAAATAAGTTAATCTTATGTTACCGGGCCCAGTCCCAAGCCGGGATAAAGGAGGGAAGGGCATCAGTTAGTCGACAGTCGGTACTTTGTTCTTACTTCAAATCTCTATGATATTAAAAATATTAGACAGATTGGAACTTGTCGCAAAAGGGATTCAAATCCAACTAATAATTTTGGGGATCAGTTCTGAATCTGTGAATGTCTGTTGAGTGGGGAGTATGCATGTGCTGCTGCTGCATTTGCTCTTTGTTATTATCTTAATTGTATTATAAGCTGTTTAAACTCGATTAGTGTAATGATTAAGCGCGAATGACGTCAATTAGGATGTTACAGATGTACAAATTGACTTTATAAAAGGAAGTTTTTCGAGCGCCAATTTGGTAGAAGCTGCATGATCGATGTATTGAAACTTGAAAGAGTTGGTAACTGAAAGCCATTTTGCTCTAGGAGTGGCATATACGCTTGTTCCGATGGATTGGTGTTGGCGATGATTTTGGGAAGTTTCCCGAAGAGGAAGCGCTTTATAGTTTCTGGAGGAGATTGAACCCCAATGCATCCCACTTTACGCATCTCTGTGCCGTCGAGAAAGGCAAAACCGTACTGAGGCTGTGAGACGTCCACTTTTAAATGTGTATCGACAGCTTGGCATGTTGGTATTAGTCGGATTTTGAATGTGTGAAAACCTTTCCGAAGTAGTACTTCTCTTGGGTAAAAACCTGGTCTCTTCCTATAACTCATATAGGAATAGCGTAGACCCTTTACTGAATCGACTTAGATCTGTCAAAAACTGTAAGAAGCTGGAAGAAATAAGTTTCAGTCCTTATTGCACACGCTTAAAGAACACAAAGACATAGTTTGCCGATTTCTGCAGAGAGATGATGAGGTGATCAAAGTCTTTGCCTTGGGTCGTTTTTGTTTCTTTTTGTGTCTTTTTTATCTTGGAAGCGGAAGAACCATTGTAGCTGTGCGAAACTGTCATAAGGGTTTATGTACAAAGGACAAGCAAGCCCTTCTTTGTTGTATCCGAAGATATGGACGCCATGTTATCTTATTGTCGCACTGTTCAATCTTCATCACATTTATCCGGGGAGAGGACGCCCCTATGCACTAGTTCAGAAAACCAGGAAACTGCACCGGAACTTCCCTCAAACTATACGTGCGTCCAAACTGATTGTTTCTGTCTGTCATGCTGTCGCTATTACTCTGTTGTGTTGGTTTCACTCATGGAAATATATATGATTAGTTCGATTAAGTGTGTCTTGTTGTCTATATTACTCTGTTTGTTCATCTATGGGGGAGCAGCAGGCCCTACAGATGCATGATTAGTCGAATTTGCTGCTGAGGTAGCAATTTTTTTCTCTTGATTTTCCTTGTGTATATTCTTATTGCACCTTCCATGCTGCAGAACCTACATTGTGGGGACAGTGTGACAATAGAAGGCCAAACATACACAATCTCAGCCGTAACTCATCGGTACCAGCTCCGGAAGGGGAAGTATGAACCGAGCGAGAAGAGGCTCGATGTTTTGTCAACAGCGAGATACATCTTAAATTTGTACCTAGATAATTTGCTAGAACAATCTTGACATCTTTCGTTTAAGTTCCATCCACACAATCTCAAAATAATTGAACTGGATTGTTCTTTAGTTTCCTCATCACATTCCTTGCCCTCCATTTACAGAGAGGGAAAGGAATGTTTATAATGTCATCAGAATGCAGAATGTTTCTTTATTAATGCTTCTAGTTTGTATGGAGATTTTTTTTTAGTGGGATGTACATCGTAATGTTACTAATTCACATGCTACAATACAATTTTTTGTTTTCCTTCAAAAGGGGACCAAGCAGTGGCTTCACCACTGCAGTCTACCCTAGTGCGCAACATCATGAATTGAACTCAGGATGTGTCTTGTAGAATATGGGCTTGATATTTGTTCTCAACCACTGGACCACTTTGTGGTGGCTCACTTGCTACAATATAATTGATCATGCTGAAATTTCATAATTGTGTATGTTATAACATATATGGATCGGTATACCGCATGACAATGTGAGTGCCTGAAAGAAAATTACTTGTTTGTATGCTAAGCATGTTTGGTCAATGAGTTTCAAACATGAGTCAATATGTTCTGATGCTAAGAAGGAAGTTAAGATTTTTTAGTTTGAAAAAAGTCTATGCATCCTCTATATCACTCATAAATTTTTATGCCTACCAAAAACGCAAATCGTGTGGTTTACTATTTTATATATTATAAGTTAAAAAAAAAATCGCTGTTGTAATTTGAACAAAATAGTGACATCACGTGACTTTATTAGATATTTGAAAGATTCCTAATACCAATCCTTATCAAGGAAATGGATCCTCTTAGGAGTCATTCCATTAAATTCATTCAATCAATCAATCTGAATCCTTAAAATTTAATTCAATGGTTAAAGTTATTATAATTTTTAAAAAAAACCTCGTGTCTGTAGTATTTAGATCAAATTTTTAAAATCCGGATTAATTGATTGAGTGAATTTATTGAAAGAAATTCGAAGAGAATATCTTTTCCCCTTATTAATCGGAGAAAATTGAAAATGATTTGCCCAAAGCATGTTGGTCCCCACTGGTTAAGATCCTGTCTAAATTCCCTCCTAATAATTACACGTGTCAAGAACCAAGTGTTCTGCATCACATAGAGTTTACGGTGCAAAGCATCCATCACTGTCCTGAAGCAATTAAAACCGTCCGATGTCCGATGGGAATCAAAGTTTGTGGAAGTGGGTTTCTCCCGGGACCCACATTTTTTAGGAAAGCATGTTACGTGTATCTGGTCACCATCATGTGGCACCCACCCAACTAACGTATGAAAAATTTATGAGAATGACTTACATAAAATATGTTCCGAAATACAATGTCAAATATAAATTTATCTTCAAATAATACAATATGATACAGTATCGTTTGACAATTTCCATATCTATTTTATGTAAGTTGCCATCAACCTCCATGTGTGCTTACCGTCTAAAGTACATAAAATCATCTTACCCGCGAATTTAGTGTGCTGAAAATATAGTCCTAAACATGAAATATAATAATATAATTGGTTGAAATTAAATAATTAATATAACGTGTCATGCTCTCGATACACTGAAAAATTTCCCTTTGTCCACCATGTGCTGAAGTAGTGGGACCCAGCGGCGTGGCATTGTGGGCACGCATACCCGAAGCTCGGTAACATTTGATAACGGGCGCCCTTGTCCTTCCAGATGAAACATTTTTATTAGTTTCACCGCGGGCATACCGTAGATTCATGCGCCGGGCGTGACAGCCGTCCACGTGCTTTGTGGCTGCAGTTCACGTGCATGCATGTGGAGCCTCTCACCTGGTTCCCGCGAAAGAAATCAATGGGATTTGTGATGTTACTTAACCCCCATGTGATTACGACTAATTACAATTTAATTTAATTATCTTGGACCTAAATAATGTTTTAAAAATGAAAATTATGTCCTCCATCTCCTCCCTGGATTTTGGTGTCGCAGCCCAATCAAAACATTGTCCAATTACATTTGGCTTAACGTTTGACTCTCCTCCTGAAAATTCAATAAAATTAGACGCATATTTCTTTTATTAGAAAAATGTCGGTTCAAATTTTCAACTTCTTAATTATTTGACCACGTGTTCATTTCTAATTGGGCATTATGCATTTCAGGAGGCCTTGCTGGCCTTCTTTCGGTAGCCAAGCATATGTTGGATTTTTTCCACTCTTTAGATTAGATTTAATTAAAATTTAATAATAAGCATTGTATAATTAGAATTTAGGGAGAAAATAAAATAATATTTGAGAAGAAAGAACGCTTGATAATGTAACAATGGTGAGGACCTATGTTCTATCATATATTGGATAAAATGGATGATACAATTGTCTTTAAAAAGATGTATGAGCTGATGTCTCTTTACTGCAGTGATTGAAAATAATTGTGTTTATGCATCATGATGCTGGTTCAAACTCCAAATTTCTCTATTCCTACCAATTAAATATTTCTATTTAACTCACTTACGCATTTGTTTTTTTTGATAATCACAAATTAAAAGTGGTGACCCCAAAATCAAAAAGGAAGGTGCCCAAAATCAGAAAATAGTAACCCCAAAAGTTGATTTTTTTTTTTTATTTTTTTTACAAAAACAAGAACAAGAAAAAAAAAAAAAAAAAAGCAGAGAGACGTTCTTTCCTCCATTTTTTCTTTATTTTTTTTTCTTGGAGAACAAAAAACAGAGGGAAAAAAAACAAACATACGAAGACAAAGACGGCTTTTTAAGCTCGTACGCTTTGCTTGCGAATTTTGGCTTCGTATTTCTCTCAAATCCACACCGCGACGGAAAAAACAGAGAAACTCCAACTTTCTGCTCTCCCCAGAAATTAAAAATTCATAAGTTTATTACTATATTTTTTTCGCATTGTTGCCTTGTTGCTTGATTCCTCTGGATTTCTTGGTCGATCGGATCTGAAGCTCTTCAGTGAAATCCAAAAGATAACAGGATAACAGCCAGAAAGCAGAGACCCCCTCAAAGGTGTTTCACTTTCTCTGTGAGCTCTCGCTCTTTGGGTCTCTCTCTCTCCTCTCCCCCTCTCTCGCATTGTACCCACCAGCCAGCCATGCAAGATTGCTTTCTCTCGTCTGCTTTCTCTCTCCTCTGATCAGGTAATTTTTCTAAGCACTCTTTGGCTAATTGGGTTCTTTTGCGTTGCTGTGCTGTTTGGTTACCGAGATACTGTGGGAAAAGAAAGAAAATGAAAAGTCGGGTTTGGTTTTGGAAAGAATCAAAATTAGAACTTGGGTTCAATCACTGGAGAATTTAGGTTTCTGGGTTTTCAAAAGAAGAGAAATTTGTTCAAAATTTTGTCAATTAATCATTTTCTTGCAGCCTTGGATTGTCAAAGGAATGGATTTTCCTCCTTTTCTTGCTGCCATTGATTTGATTGTGAATTAAAGCTCGTATCTTGAATTTCGGTTCATCTGGGATTTTAATTAATTGTATATATTCTTGCAGATTTTTTGTTGATTATGTTATGTTTTAATTTGCATTCTTTGTTTCGAATCGACGTCTCTGATGTAATCTGCCTTGTTAATTTGACTTTTGGAAGACATTTAAGTTGATGATTGTGTAATTAATGCCCTTAGTAGAGAGATAATTACATCTCATATAATCACTGTGCTCAGTTGGAATTTGGAGTGACAGTGACTGTGTGAAAGCCATGGAGTCACTGGTTGATGGGGTTAGTTCTTTGCCGAAGATTCGCTATTCTGCACCGCCGGAGGTAGGCAACAACCCTCCTTCCACAACTGGGACTGCTCGTCCTTCTCAGCCCCCATCTCCAAAACAATCACGAAGTGAAGGGGTTTTGTCGCCATCTTGCGTGACTGCGCATACTTATTCGGTAAAGACAGTTAGCTATTCAAATGGTTCTGTAAATATTCTAAAGAATCCCAACAAGGCAACTAATCATAGCATGCAGCAGGAAGAGTTTCTCCATATGGGGAAACATTACCACAGTTCGCATAAAGGAAAACTCGAACATGGAGGCCCAAATGATGTTCTTAACAAATCAGCCGAAACTTCTTATCTGAACAAGGTTTCCATGCTGGAAGCAAAATCAAGTGACAAGAATCCGGTTAATGATTGTGATTCGAGTAGATATCTGGAATCTAGAAATCACGGTTTGGTTCCTTATAAAGTAGTGGCCGGGCAGAAAAATAGCCACTTCGCTTCTCACTGTGCAAGCCCTCAGAACAGTTTATATTCTGCCTCTCTGTATTGTGAAGCCAAGCAGAGTTTCACCAACACAGAAGTCAGTGAATGTACCAGCAGTGTGGAGAAGTCTGTTGAAAGCGGCGAAGTTACTAATTCGTGTGATCTTATTGAGAGCAGGACGACCAGCATCTACAGAGGCAGCACTGGCAGCGATGTTAGCGATGAGAGCAGCTCCAGTAGTTTGAGCAATGCCATGAACAAGCCCCACAAGGCAAATGATATTAGATGGGAAGCGGTGCAAGCTGCACGATCTCATCATGATGGAACGCTAGGTAAGGAGCATTTCAAGTTGCTGAGGACACTGGGATGTGGAGATATAGGCAGTGTTTATTTAGCTGAACTGATTGGCACTAAAACTTACTTCGCCATGAAGGTTATGGATAAAGCATTACTGGCAAGTAGGAAAAAGCTTCTTAGGGCTCAGACAGAGAGGGAGATACTGCAATCTCTGGATCATCCTTTCCTGCCAACGTTGTATACACACTTTGAGACAGAGAAGGTATCTTGCTTGGTGATGGAGTTTTGTCCCGGGGGTGATCTTCATGCACTCAGACAAAAACAACCCGGGAAGCATTTTCCGGAGCATGCTGCCAGGTTAGAAATTCCTTCATACTTATCCATTCAGTTTTCTCAGTCTAATGACTATGTATAGTAAACCACCGAATTACCTTATATGCTATACGAATGAGCAAGAAAATGAAGAAGCACACGCATTATTGACTAAACCTTTACGTTCTTACAAATATAGAAACAGTTGTTTTAGCCAAGGAAAATATTTGGTGGAAAAACAAGTTAAACTGGAAACCATGCTGAAAATATTGTATGGACTATCAACTCGTATATGTTCTGCCATTCCAAAAGATACCTCTATGCAGCTCCCCGTTGTAACTTGTTTGAACATATTGTTCGGTGTCGTTTCTATCATAAAAGGAAATTTGTGGCATCTCGGTGATTACTAAGGTTTTGTAGGACTGATGGTCCAGATGTAGAACTCTCCCGTCATCCCTCCCTCCCTCACTGAGTCATGTACACGTTTAATTTAGGACACATGTACACAGTTCAGTTTAGATTGCAAGAGGAATCATATTTTAATAAAAGCCTTGAGAGAAAATGGAGGAGTAAACCTGTAAACTGGAAGGTCATCAAGTGTTTGCACACATTTATTTGCCAGGGCTGGAGACATGCTAATGATAACAATTCTAGTGTGTTAATTTCCCGTTTGTTTTTGCAGGTTTTATGTGGCTGAAGTTCTTCTTGCATTGGAGTATTTGCATATGCTTGGGATCATTTACAGAGACCTCAAACCAGAGAATGTTTTGGTGAGGGAAGATGGACATATAATGCTTTCAGATTTCGACCTTTCTTTAAGATGCGCCGTTTCCCCCACCCTGGTAAGATCTTCAAACTTAAGCTTGGAGACAAAGAAGTCAGCATATTGTGTACAGCCTGCATGCATCCAGCCGACTTGTGTGATGCAGCCAGATTGCATTACCCCCACGTGTTTTGGTCCACGCTTTTTCACGGGCAAGCCCAAAAAAGATAAAAAGACCAAAGTGAAGAAGAATAACAATGATGTACACAATCAAGCAAGCCCTCTCCCTGAGCTCGTTGCAGAACCAACAAGTGCTAGATCAATGTCCTTTGTGGGAACACACGAGTACTTGGCGCCTGAAATCATTAAAGGTGAAGGCCATGGCAGCGCTGTGGACTGGTGGACATTTGGGATCTTTCTCTACGAGCTTTTATTTGGAAGAACTCCATTCAAGGGGCAAGGAAACCGGGCTACTTTGTTTAATGTGGTTGGCCAGCCGTTAAGATTTCCAGAGTCGCCTTCTGTCAGCTTTGCAGCGAGGGACCTGATCAGAGGTTTACTCGTAAAAGAACCACAGCATCGTCTTGCATATAGGAGGGGAGCAACAGAAGTTAAACAGCATCCGTTTTTCCAAAGCGTGAATTGGGCACTAATTCGCTGTACAACTCCACCTCAGGTGCCAAAGCACTACATACTCGAGACTCCTGACACTCCGAAAGAACCCATGAACGGGAAGATGCCGGGTGTTGATTTGAAGCCATCTGGTAATTATTTAGAGATCGATTTCTTTTGATTCTTAACCTTTGTTTCCCTTGGATGAAAAACAAGTCTCCCAACTGATTCCTGTGGTTGCTACATGTACACAATGGTTCCTTTCCATTGCAAGGATTACAATTTGGTAAATTCCTGAGATTGAAGAAATGCAATTGCATTGGAAAAATGAGGAATGAATACCTAATTCAATTAATCTGTTACCGTATTGTCCTTCTTTCGGCCTGTATACTGCTCGGAACAGTCAAATAGGTCCGGCGAACAAGATGTTTTCCGATTAGGGTTGTAATTTGACACTGCTAATACTATTTCCTTGCTCTCAACATAAATAATTGAAAGAGAAACTTAAACAACACAAAGGCAGACGTTGCTTTATCGCAGCAGCGGAAAGCTATAATGTCTATGCATCTGATGCGGGGCTTCAACTAACATTTAACAATTTAACTCACTAATATTACTGTTTGTCAGAAAAGAAAACACGAAGATATAACAATGATTAAATCTTACACATTATTTAACGGAAATGATATTTACGCATCTCTTTCCTTTCATAGGCATACATTCTTTACAATCCCTTAAATGTCGACCATCCCCTATATTTTATTGAATTATTGTTGAAAATAACAAGAGAGAGTTCAACAACGGCAAGGATAGGAGACTGACCTTCTCCTCACGTCTAATATATATAATATATTACGGCTCGAGTAGGGCCTTCTAGTATGCTTCTCTCCCCGTTATCCTTTAAAGCGAAATGAAACCTTCGGAACAAGCTTTGCCCTTCTCCTCACGTCTTACTTGGACTTTATCGCACCAAATTGAGACAAGATCCTGAGCATCCAAAACTCAAACGTGAAAAATCAAAATAAAAACGTCATTGCATTGACAAATTAAATTGAATATTAGTTCACCAAATAAACAAATTAAATCGAGTATTAAAAGTCGATCTCAAGAAATAAATAAAAGAAACAATTAGAAGTTGTCCACGTTGGGCTAAGGGCTCGACTTAATCAACGAAATGACCGGGCTGTTTCATGACAGAATGTGGAGGCCCAATTGCTGGTCGCCACGTCACCAAGGAATCTACAGGCAGCAGGGAATCACAAAAATATAATTGGTGGTGCACCGTTGGGTGATTTAGACCGACGCGCTTGTACGCCACTGCCCCGGTGTAGACAGTGGGTCCTCCTCCGTTTGTAGGACCTTCCATTTTTGCGTGCACGAAATATCTTTTAGCTCCTTTTTATATAATCTCGGAGAGATTAAAAGGAGGAATATACATCAACATCAACAACAAATCAAATGGGAAGTTTAAAGGTCTATAGATCAAGTTTACTTTCGAGTAAATTAGCATTCCGCAAGTGGTTCTTTTTATTTATTTATTTATTATTTTTGTTAGTTGTGTTTCAAATCTTTACGTTGGTATATGTCAATAGTGGCACGTGAGGCATAACAAATTATTTATTTAAAACAACCTCATTTTAAATTGATAAAAGTTACAAACGCTTGTAGGGGTCTCACAAATACTAGTTAATAATTGAAGAAATTGTACTAATGGTCCATCAATTTTAATCCAATTAAAGTAATGTTCCCTCATCTAAACCATTTGTCCTTTAACTCATCAAAACGTACAACTATGATCATTTTTATCAATTCCGTTATAACTTCCTTCAAAATGAGTCACGTGCAACACACACAAAGCTGAATCAAGGAGCAAATATGAAAAACCAAATGAAAAGAATTGAAGCAATAGTTCCTCAACTTTAACTCATTTAGAAAAATAGTCCCTCAATTTTATACCAATTGGAGTAATGGCGCCCCAACTTTAACCTAATTGTAGCAATATCATTTCAACATGACTTATTTTGATGAAATTAACGTAAATGACCATAACTGCACTTTTTAATAAGGTAAAATACCATTTTTACAAATTTTTCTTAATAATTGACACGTCTCAGGCCCGACTCCACCGTAGCAAGATATTGTCCGATTTGGACCCTGACTACGCCATCACGGTTTTGTTTCTGGGAACTCACACGAGAACTTCCAGATGGGTCACCCATCCTGGGAGTGCTCTCGTGCGCTACTCGCTTAACTTCAGAGTTCTCATGGAACCCGAAGCCAGTGAGCTTCCAAAAGGGCTCGTGCTAGGTAAAGATGAGAATATACACATAAGGATCACTCCCCTGGGCGATGTGAGATGTCACAATCCACCCCCCCTTAGGGGCCAGATGTCCTTGTCGGCGCACATGCAGCCAGGGTTAGGCTCTGATACCAAATTGTCACATCCCGGCCCGGGCGGGATCACTTCCCAGGCCCAACTCCACTGTATCATGACATTGTCCGCTTTGAACCCCGACTACGCCCTCACGGTTTTGTTTCTGGGAACTCACATGAGAACTTCTCGATGGGTCACCTATCATGGGAGTGCTCTCGTGCGCTACTCGCTTAACTTCGGAGTTCCCATGGAACCCTAAGCCAGTGAGCTCTCAAAAGGCTACGTGCTAGGTAGAGATGAGAATATACATATAAGGATCACTCCCCTGGACGATGTGGGATGTCACAATATATATATATATATTACTATTTAATATTTATGCTGGTATATGTCAATAGTGGCACGTCAGGCATAACAAATTATTTATTTAAAACAACCTCATTTTAAATTGATAAAAGTTACAAACGCTTGTAGGGGTCTCACAAACACTAGTTAATAATTGAAGAAATTGTACTAATGGTCCATCAACTTTTAATCCAATTAGAGTAATGTTCCCTCATCTTAACCATTTGTTCCTTAACTCATCGAAACGTGCAACTATGGTCATTTTTATCAATTCCATTACAACTTTCTTCAAAATGAGTCACGTGCAACTCACACAAAGCTGAATCAAGGAGCAAATATCAAAAACCAAATGAAAAGAATTGAAGCAATAGTTCCTCAACTTTAACTCATTTAAAAAAACGGTTCCTCAATTTTATACTAATTGGAGTAATGGCGCTCCAACTTTAACACAATTGTAGCAATATCATTTCAACATGATTCATTTTGATGAAATTAACGTATATGACCATAGCTGCACTTTTTAGTAAGGTAAAATACCATTTTAACAAATTTTTCTTAATAATTGACACGTGTTAGCGACAATCACTTGAATACGGCTTATTCAAAAAAAATGACTCGTATCGTATACGGCTTTTTGACTATTTATTGCATTTTTAATTGAAACCGAAAATTCAGCAATAATTGCTATTGGCGAGTTGTGTACACGCTCTCATACACTATATCACGCGCTTGATCCCCAAGCACAGTACCCCACTCCCATTCACCGTCCAGTCCCACAGGTCCCGATCCCGATCTTCAGAAACCTCATCGTGAGCCGTATGCGCACTGCGCACCTACACCTATACCGCACTGCGCACCTACGCCCATACCGACACCACCGTTCCCTCCTCAGCCTCCTCATATTATCCACACCAACAACCAAACAACAACGCTCTTTCTCTCTCATCTTTTCCCTCTCTACTCCTCCAACTTCAACCCTCTCAAAACCCCTTCCTCCTCCTCCGCCTCCTCGAACTGTAGCAATGGCCTCCGACGACCTCGCTGCCGCCGTTCCCGCGGCAGAAGACGAGACGTACGGTTTCAAGAGATCGGAGATGTTCAAGGAAAAGCTTGCCGGCACAGTCAACGCCTACGACCGCCACGTCTTCCTCTGCTACAAGAGCCCCGAGGCCTGGCCGTCGCGCGTCGAAGGCTCTGAGTCCGATCCGCTCCCTAAGTTCTTCGCCTCCGCTCTCAAAGCTCGCAAGAACGACATCGCCGTTAAGGTCCGTTTTCCAGCTCAATTCGTCGGCGTTTGTGATCGTTTTTTCTTGCCCTTTCTTATTTCCTGGAGATACTGTGTTCTGCTGTTGAGCTGAGTTGACTCCATCACTCAATTTGTTTCTTTGTTTTTGATAGACGTTGCTGACGGTAATTGAAGGACGCGAAGGAACTGAGTTTTCCGACGGCGATGTGCTGATTTTCCCGCAAATGATCAAATACAAGTAAATTCACGTTGATTTCTTGAGGTTTTTGTTCTGTATTGCTTTAATTTTAATCGGAATTTATAGGATTTAGATAATTAACCAGTGCGTGGTGTTTTGATTCTCAGATTTGCTTTATTTGACTTGGAGATTTCGATGATTGCTAGCTAGGATTAGAGTTTATGATTTTCCGATTTCAAGTCTCAAATCGACCTAATTTAGTGTGTTTTGGAGATTTTTCATGGAATTGATTGAATGCAAGTTACGATCGCATTCAGTGTTTCATTTCTGTTTCGACTTTTCTTTTGATTACGAAATTGTGCCGAATTTACTGAACTAAATAGATAATTAGATATATTAGCTTCTGAAATTAATTCTAGAAATTGAATTTAATTCTAAGTTTATGACTAATTCCTTGTCTTACAAGGAATTGAAGAGTTTTTCGTTCTTGTTTCTGTAAATTCCTTTTTGTGATTCTGAGGTTGCTTTTGTTTCTTGATCAAAGGGGCTTGAAAGAGTCGGATGTGGACAGCTTTGTTGATGATGTCCTTGTGAGTGATAAACCATGGGCTTCTGGAGTGCAAGAGGCCTTGACTGGCTCCCATGTATTTGTATGTGCACATGGTAGTCGAGATAAAAGATGTGGTGTTTGTGGACCTGTTCTGATTGATAAGTTCAAAGAGGAGACTGAGTTGCGAGGACTGACGAATCAGGTGTTTGTTATTCCTTGCTCTCACATTGGAGGCCACAAGTATGCTGGAAACTTGATTATTTACAGCCCAGGTTCAGATGGAAGCATAACAGGCCACTGGTAATATCCGGATCATAACAATTTAAAATTTATCATATTGGACTGGATGAAGGAATTTGAGTAGTCTGTATTACAAATTGCAGGTATGGCTATGTCACTCCTGATGATGTGCCGGAATTGCTTGATCAGCATATTGGGAAGGGAGAGATCATAGAGCGACTTTGGAGGTTTGTGTGTTTTTAATTTTGCCTACTGCCTTCCGATGAAAATTTCACTGAAACTGAAGCTTCTGTTATATTTTCTACGGCTGATTATTTCTAGTCTTGTATGATAGATTAGCGATATAGAGTTACATTAACATGGAGGAACTTTTATGGATTGTAGCATTCCTCTGGGTATTAGGTATATAACATTTGACTATCATGTTACTGATTCTGTGAAGATTAGAATCGTAAGGAAATTTAGGTAAGTGAACTTGTCAGAAGTATCATCACCACACGTTTAAAAACAAACAGTCAAGGAGACATTTGTTCTTATTTCTATTTCATAGGATGAGTGCATTTTGTTTAGATTCTCATATGCAAGGAAATGGTAACGTTTTTCTTTCTGTCAAGGTGTGTGTTACCTTCATGGGATGAATAGTTGATAGCGAGATCATCTCGGTGAACCAAATCAGACAACTTTTTTTATTAATAAACCAAACCAGAGTGGTTTTCAGGAAGGGGAGATGGGGTCAAGGAGGCACTAGACAGAGATTGGGAAAGCAAAGCAGATCTAGTCTGCGTTACTTAATTGCTATTAACGAAACTTAGAATTGAATCTTTAAATAGCTGAACACGAAATTCAATTTCATTCATTACAGGGGCCAAATGGGAGCATCTTCTGATGAAGCTATAAAAGTAAATGGCCAGAGGCTTCCAAATGGAGGAGAAAGTAAGAAAATCGAGGAGAAGCCCCAAGAAAATGGCAACCAGACTCACCAAGAAAACGTCGATCAGATTCAGAGTAATGAGAACTTTTCGGGCTGTTGCCAGGGTGCTGATAGTAATGGATTTACATGCTGCAAAGAAGTAAGTTTGGAGCAGAAAGGTGGAAGTGAGGAAAAGAAGCTGAAAGAGACCACAGAGGCGTGTGCCAGGAAACATGCCTCGGGGAAGCTGTCAAGCTTGATTGGGAAATGGGAGCAAAGTGATGTTCTTGCAGCTGCTGCGGTGGTTGGAGCAGTGGCAACAGTGGCTGTGGCCTACAGCTTTTATAGAAGGTCAGGCTGAAACGTAATCAAATCCTTGTTGGGTTTTGCCACCGGCATAGAGACCCTATTTTCTTGTAGAAAGATGTTATAAACGTCAGTTAAATAATCCTCCGAGCCATTCTCTTATATGAAAGGAGAATGTACACTATACGTTATTTTTCGGAGGGTGGGATGAATCCCCGAAGCTAAGCCATATACAGTAACAAAAATATTCACTGTTCTTTTCCGTAGATTGCTTACACAACTGAAATTCGTTGTTCCAATATACTGTTGAATGGTTTTGTCTTAACAGTGAGATATTTGTATGAAACTGCTTGCTAATTGTTGATGCGGTATTTTCTATGTTGTGATTGTTTTCGATTTGCCTGCTAGACTTTTAATTCAACCGTCAATTCTGTCAAATTTTCTGTTAAATTTTAATAAAAGAGATAAACGACTGTGTGTTAACATCTTAATCTGGTTGAACTATTTTTTCCGGCTATATTTACATCGCTAACGGCAAAGCTCAGGGTTTGGTCGCGATCATCGTCCGATGCTGATCTTTGAAAGCATCTCCTCCACCAGCCTCTGTGCCGATGTACTTGTCCCCGCAACTCTCTCACCTTCAGGCATCGATTTCCTCCATAATCTGCTCTATAACCTTGTTCCTCGACTGCTTGTTTCTCGAACCATAGTTGGAACAGTCTCTCAAAAGAAACAGCAACTCCCGTGCCGTGGTTTTAGCCTGTCCACGACCCATCGACGCTCATCTGAAGCAGTCCCGGCATTGCTCCTTCCCTCAGTATCAGTCCTCTGTACTTTTCTCTGCAGCTCTGGCATATAAGCAGGAGGATTCTCGCTGCGTGCTCCTTGGATTTCGTCGATCCCTCTTCAATTGTCTCAACTAGTGCCTGGATTGCACCGCACGTAGCTGCAGTTTCCTCGAGCGCAGTCTCGGATGAAGAAACAATGTCGTCAAGTAGCGCGATTGCCTTCTCAACCAGTTGGTTTGATTTTTCCAAGCCGTGGAATATTTGTTGCAACGAAAACACTATGCCCGAAGAAACCAAAGACGGAATAATCTGATGGCAGGTCGAGAGGTTGTGCAGCGTGGCTATGCCGTCAAGTCTGGCTTGCAGGCTGATGCCTTCAGCATAGTCTTGATTGAGAAGTTCAACTATTAGTTGGATGGCTCCGGCCGATGCAATCGGTAGCTTGTTTCCCTTGCAAGACGAAAGGATCAAAAAAGCCGCTATCGTGAGCTCGATCACCGCCTTGCTTTCGCAGCGGAGGAGGTTTAGCAACGCCGGTAAAGCCCCGGACTTCACAATTCTACTCTTGTTTCTGCAAAGTTAGAAAAGTAAAGGAAAAATTCAATCTTACAGCACAAGGAAGAGTCCCCATTAAAAATCATACATAACAGAGAAAAGTTTTAGGCTTTTTCACAAATTTTACTATCCATGAGACTTTAAGAAAAAATATGAAATGCTTGAAGTTAACGGAAAACTTGGCGCAACAATAACGTTGTAGGATTCATACAGTATATAGGACTAACCTTTCACTACCAAAGGCAAGACTAAGTAGAGAAAACAGAGAAGCTTCAATGGCTTCGGCGTCCTCCGAATGCAGCATCGAAATCAACGGGACCATAACGCCCCTCTCTGCCAACTTGTGCCTCTGCTTGCTCTTCAGCTTACCCAGCTCCGTCGCTGCCTCAATCTGCGCCGCCCGGTCGCCGGAAAACAGGTTGTGCAGCACCAGCTCCTCCATGATCAGAGCAAGCAGTAAAGCACCAGTTTCTCACCAACTAGGTAGGTTAATAATTTGGCATTGGGGATTGGGGGGATTGGTTGCTTCAAGAAGCGGTATTAATTGGGGCTGTGCGAATCCATTGTTTCAGTTAGAAGCAAACTCAACAATTCTTTTTTTGTCACCCTTTCTTTCTTTCTTTCCTTTATTTTTCTGAGTGTTTCTGATTTGGAAATGCAAAAAAACGATTCCTTGAGGATGAATCTTTAACTTTCCTTTTATTTGAGGCAAACGGCATCACCTTTTTGGGCAAAGTAAATTAGTTATTATCCTTCTTTTTTGGCCAATAGGAATTTTTGACCAACGAACACCTTCTGTGACAAAAAGTTGAGGAAAATTAGAGAAATTCTTGTGTCTGGTCAGGACACCACGTCATCTGTATACCACGCATGTGATCAAAGAAGACTCTTGTGTATTGGAGTTTAAAACGAACTCGCTTTTATTGATTACAACACTAGTTATGTGTAGGCGTACGGATGATGAGGTTCTCTGAAGACGTGCAACTTCATTTTTTTACGATATTGTTTAGTGATTACATGTTTTATTATTATTTTTTAGGGTTTTATGGTGAATTGATATTGATCCCTAAAACGGATTCAAATGAAGTAATATTCATACCCCAAGTACTCTTATGATATGGTTGTGGATTGTAATCCAAGGCCATCTGGTAGTTCATTTGGATATAGTATATACAAATGTGACTTCTTTATCTTTACTTTTCTTTTCGATAAATGTTACTGAGACTCTTTTAAAAATGGAACTACTTCATAGATTGTCTATCACCTTATATCTTTTGCATAATATTTTATAATATTATTATGAAAATTAACATTAAAATGTGAAATGACATAAATCTATGGAGAATCCTATTAGTCTCATTAGCATTTCTCTTTTTATTTTTTAGTAGAAAAGAGAACATGACCCTTAAAAAAAAAAAAAAAATCTTAATGAAACATTTTTTATACTGTTTACTTTTAACGTTAAAGACATTTTTACCTTGAAAAATCACTTCTGGTACTATTCACTTACATTTTTTTTTTTTTTATCATTTTCATTAAAAACATGCAGAATAGCAGAAAAGCAATGATATTTCTTTTTTCTTTAAAAAATGTCTGCCACTAAGAACGCATGATTAGATTCGATTTTCAAATTACGCAAGAAATTTGTAAATAATAGCATATAATATGTATATATTTGTATTTTTCTAAAGTGGCACTGTGGCAGTGAAACAAATTGAATTGATAATGTTTTTGCTTTTGCTTTCCCGCTATACGGCGGGATTTAGATTTACTTTTAAGGCAACGCACGAACTTTTATGTTTATTCTAATTTTGTTCTAAGTGAGAGAATATTTGCATTCATTGTGATCGGTGGTGAAAATTTTCAATATCTTGTACTACGAGCGATACATCATATTATATAATTAGAGAAAAGGTTTTTGTTTTTTCTTTCATGTGTTTATCAAATTATATAATGATATGTAGCGTTCTGTATCATGTTTTGGATCTTAAAAAAGTTGTTCGTCACTTGTATTATTTGTCTATGATTTGGGATAATGTATTGTTATTGTATAATTTTACAATATAAATTGTTTATTTTTCATCAGCTTAAAAAATATTTACAAAAAATTACTCAAATGTGAGATATTTAGTAATTTATATGTACCAATTATGTTGAACATCTAGACAAGTTTACTATCAAGTAACATATTAATGTTGAATCGTCAACTTATTTAATCCATATATGAGTAAACAATCTCCAATTTTATCGAATTTTATAAAAATAATATTCACATGATAATTTAAAAAATAAACGATATTAAAATTTGTACTTGAAAAATATGTTAATCGCAAAAGGTGGATATCAAAATTTGATTCAATGGGGATTTTGGTCATTTAATTATTTTTCAAACTCAGAACCAATAATTTTGAGTTCATTTTATTTTTGTTTTTTAACATTATTTATTTTTTTTTTTCAAACATATGAAGCTCTTAGCGCCTTCGCGCGGGAAGCTGAACACTTGTAGCGACCAGGAAACAATAGACTGTCCGAATTCTCCCCATTAATCACCTCCTTAATTAATTAAAAATTAAACACATGGCTAATCACCCTAACCTTACTCCCTTAATCAAGATTACCAATGTCATCAACCTCTAATCATCCGATTAATCCTCCTCCTCCTCCCACAAACCTCAATTGCCACCGCCGCCACCGTCGCAAGAAGAAAAACACTCACCCCATCCTCGATAATCCCGATCCCGACCCGCATTCCGAACCCGAATCCTCCCACCCTCCACCACCAGCCGCACCAGAACCCGAACCCGAACCCAAACCCCAAACCGAACCATCACCGTCGTCGCCATTGCCGATCGATGACCCTCACGTTCGGATCGCGATGTACGTGGCGATGGCCCACGCGGGCCTCGCCTTCTCGCTGGCCCTCCTCTACGGCGTCACAAAGCTCCTCCAAGGCTACTGGCGGCCGATCCACTGGGCGATCCTCTGCTCGATGCCTCTCCGCGAGCTCCACACCGCCCTCGTCTCCTTCTGGTCCCACTCCCTCAACCTTGGCCTATTCGAAACCCTAATTGCCATCCCGATCGCCGCCCTCCGCGCCACCACCGCCTCCCTCAGTCGATTCCCACACCGCCATCCAGTGCTGCCTCCTTCGCCGCCGCCCCAACTGCAGAAAGAGGCAGATCAGATTCTCCAAGCTCGTTCAATGGATCATCTCTTTCGCTCTCTTCGTCATCGTATACGAGAGCATTGGCATTATCTCCGTCCCGGCTTTTGCCATGGCTTGCTTCGTCGCCTACGCTCTCGGTTACAGAAGCATTCTGATCGATCCAGGCGTCGCCACCACTCTCTCCGCCATCTCCTCTGTTCGCCGCAGAGGCAGATTAAAATTCAAAAATACCAATAATACTAACAGCAATAGTAACTCCCCCGCTAATTTTGGCGGGAAAATTAGCCGGTGCATAACGAGCATGATGCTCAACAGGTTGAAGACGGCGGTGGCGATTGGCCTGATCACGGTGATGATCGTGGGATCTGTGTTGGGATTCTTTTTCTTTTCGTATAAGATCGCAATTGAAGGGAAAGGAGCTGTGATTTCACTCAAAGCACATTTGGAAGAGATGAATTACGATTACGCCGGGAGGGTCGGATTAAAGAAATGGATGAATGCAAATCAGGTTCCGGAATTGATCGACGATTACGCCACCAAGTTCTTCGAAACTGTTTCGCAGAACATCGATTCTCTGGCGGCGCATTACAATGTGACGGAGGTTGTTGACAGTGTTAGGCATTACTTGAGTACAAATCAGGATCAGATTCATAATCCCATGTCGAATAGTAATGAATCGGGCCGCAATTTTTCGAGTAGTATTAGTACTAATGGTGATGATCAGCCTAATTTTTCGGAGAAGTTTCGTGGCATTCAATCCCGGGTGAGGAACAGAGAATGGGGCGTGATCCTATAGAGATATCGACGGCTTGTTTGGAGAATTCATGTCATCAATCACAAGGGAAGACTTAGCGGAGAAAACGAAAGATTTCTTGCTGCAGGGGTTAGACCTTTCCAGAAGAGTACTCGCTAGCGGAACAATGGTTGTGGCCGGAGGAGCAAATCTGTTGTTTTTCATGGCAGTCTCGCTCGTTTCAGGGGCTGCAGGATTGTTCAATTTCTTCTTCGAATTGACGGTGTTCTTCTGGCTTTTGTACTACCTAATCACTACTGATTCCGGCGGCGTTATGGATCATGTCCTTGGAATGCTGCCCCTTTCAAAATCCACAAGGGTTCGGTGTGCTCAAGTGCTTGATCACGCTGTCAGCAGCGTGCTGTTGGCCGCTGCAAAGGTCACATTCTTTCAAGGGAGCCTTACGTATCTCTTGTTTCGATTCTACCAGATTCATTTCCTCTACATGTCCACATCCCTCGCTCTTATGAGCGCTGTTTTGCAAATTACACCGGCTTGGTTCTTGTCCATTCCGGCTGTGCTGCAGCTGGCCATGGAAGAGAGATATGTCGAGGCAGTTTTGGTGACGGTGGTTCATCAGATTCTGTTGGAATACGGCACAGCAGCTATCCAAGATGAGATTCCGGGACAGAACGCCTACCTCGCTGGCCTTAGCATACTTGGGGGCATTGCTCTTTTCCCCTCCATGTTGGAAGTAATTTTCCTTTTTTTTCTAAACCTTATTCTTGTGAATTAATGCTTGCATTTATGTTAATTAGAGTGATCGGAATGGCGTTTTAATTGCGTTTTTCTGATCAAATTACAGGGAGCGATTATGGGTCCTCTGCTGATGACAGTGATGATTGCCTTCAAGAATCTGTACGTAGAATTTGTCCTTGCTTCTGGAAAAGAAGCCACTGCTCATTGATACAAGTAACTACTACATATTTTCATGAAATTGATGCAAGTAATTTGATAGAAAAATATCAGTCCTAGAGTCTGTCCATATCATTACGCCTTTCATGTGGGTCGAAACTTTCCCGGCAAGAAATTTCTCAACAATTAAAATCTAGTGTAGCAGGAGATCGACATTGGGAACATAACCTTCCTCTCTCATTTTCATTTCTAATTTTCCTAGCACTCCATAAATCTGATCAGAATCAAGGTGCAATCTATCTCCGGCAACAAAACTACGGATGTCACTCCCCACCTCGACAACACTCTGCCCGGACATCTTCTTTAACCCCTTCTCCTTTATCAAAGTTCTGAGATTTGTCACATTTTCCCATTTGTTATCCATGGCATATATATTTGAGAGCAGGATGTAATACCCTGCATGATTAGGATCCAACCGAAAAAGACTCTTTGCTGCAACCTCTCCAAGCTTTGTGTTGTTATGAATCTGGCATGCACCAAGCAAGGCTCCCCAAACATGCGGTGCAATTGGATTGGGCATTGTCTCAACGATTTCCATTGCCTTGTCCAGCTCTCCTGCCCGGCCAAGAAGATCAACAATTATCCCGTAGTGCTCAGGTCCAGGCTTAAGTTGGTATTCATGCAACATCGTGTTGAATATCTCGATGCCTTCTTCAACCAAACCTGAATGGCTACATGCAGATAAAATCGAGAGAAATGTTACATCATTTGGCTTGACATCTGTGTGCTTAACCATCCGATCAAATACTTTTAAAGCTTCTTCTCCTCGTCCATGAACTCCATAACCTGCAATCATCGCGCTCCAGATAACGACATCTTTGTCTGTTATCCCTTCAAATAATAGGACAGCATTGTCTATGCTGCCGCATTTCGAGTATAACTCTATGAGTGAAGCTCCAACATAGATGTTACTCTTGAAGGCACGTTTAATCACATAAGCATGGAGGCAAAAAGCTTGTTGAAGAATCCCTAATTCCGAACAAGCTGCAAGAAGCTTGACCATAGCAACTGGCATCAGGCTTAGTTTCGTATGATAGCATGTCGCGAAAGACCCCAATAGACTTGTATGCCATTCCGTTATGAGCATACCCACTCAACAAGGCAGCCCACGAAACCACATCTTTCTCTGGCATTCTATTGAAGAGATCAACTGCTTTTTCAGGTGCAGAGCACTTCATGTACATATCAATCAGGGCTGTAGCTACCTTGATATCTAACTCGAAACACTTCCTAGTAGCAATTTCGTGGATCTTCTTACCTTCCTCTAAATTACCTGCCAGCGCACATGCTTGCAATGCACTTACCAGAGTCACTGAATTAGGTTCGGTTCTCATATCAATCATTTCGTTGAAAAGATTCAACGCTTCTATTACATCCCCATTATGAGTGTAACACGCAATCATGGAGCTCCAGGAAACCACATCTTTTTCCGGCATCTTCATGAACAACCTAGCGGCAGTTTTGACAGAACCCGTCTTTGCATATAGATTTAGCAACGCATTACCTAAAGATAAATTAGAGTTGAACCCGTTCCTAATAGAAACACCATGCACGCAACTTCCAATTCTAAAATTTGATAACTGAGCACAAGCCGAAACAGCACTAACAAGCGTCACTCGGTCAGGATTAATGCGCCCCACCATCACCATTCGGGAGAAAAACTCCAATGCTTCTTCAGGATCACCATTCTGCTCATATCCAGTAACCATAGAAGTCCACAAAAACACATCCGGTTGTGGAAACTCGTCAAACGCTTTCACAGCCTCGCCCATTTCTCCGCATTTGGAATACAATTCAACCAATGCAGAACCTACAAACATATCCAATGCAACCTTCTCATGTTTCTTCACAAACCCATGTATTATTTTTCCACACGCTAGCACCCTTAACCTCGCACACGCCTTCATAGCAATGGGAATGGTGAAATTATCAGGCTTTTCCTCATTACCTCTTGACTCAGACATCATGCTACGAAATAGACATAATGTCTCCTCCCATCGGTCCTCTCTACAGTAGCTCCTGAGCATGGCGTTCCAGAGATAGACAGTTCTGTGGGGCGTTTCGTCGAACACCTTGCGGGCATGACCGAGGGACTCATATTTTGCGTAGAGAGCGTTGAGTTTTGTGGCAAAGAAGCTATCTTGGGAAAGGCCGACTTTGAGGGTTTGAGAGTGCAATTGCGCCACTGATTTCGCGCTGTTACATGATGCAAGCAGATTAGCAAGGACGTCCCTCCTTTTCATGCAGAAGACTCACTTGGTTACCCCAAAAGAATCTCACAATCTCATAAAACCAGATCGAATTTCGTTAGCAGTCACACTTGTGCCTATAAGTTGCCTGCGTCGAATCCAATCAAGTCGGTTTTCTTCGATGAGATGTATAGAATTGGTATTAGAATTTTATAAAATGCATAGCATTTGCATGAGAACTTCCGTCAAATTAAGCAAGTGAAACACATGTTACATGCTTCTTTTGTTATGAATATATAAAGGACAAATGCTCCACATTTTATCAAATTAAGATACGAATTTTATGAATTACGAGTCTATCTTTGTTTTGTTTCACTTGAGGAGATAAAAAGAGTACGATGAATTTAGACCATTCAACAAATACATGAATCACTTAAATATTTGTACAAAGTCAACTTGTAATATGTATAATTCATAGCTATGTGAACATACATACCATAGAATCATTCTACCAAAATACCACTTTCTTTTTTTTCACTAATTCTCTCACTTTCTACCAATTTTTGTTTTCCTATAGTTTTTTCGTTTAGGAGTGAATAAGGTGCATTATGAACGTGTACTATACAAAGCCCATTGAGGAGGATTATCATACTATATCATATGAGTTTGACGATAACATTGACGATGACGATGATTAATCTATTAGTGATAAATACAAAACAACGTACAACTCATGACTGATACGTTATTTCTTTGGTATATTAAGAATCTTTTGTATTTTCCACTACAAATTCTTAGGTTCATACTTTCTTTTATTAACTTAGATCAAACCTAATTATGTTTCAGGTCACAAAAAAAGAGATGTTAATTCTTAGTCATCAATCAAACCAGTGGTCATGCTCATTAGGGTCCGTAGGCTCTCATCCTCTTTCCACCGCTCATTTTTTTAGGAAGTTTTAACGAAAAGCACATAGTATTGTTCACTTTAATGAAAAACCATATTTTTATACTAAAAAATCAAACTTGATACTATTCACTTTACCCTTTATTTTGTCCTTATTATTAAAACTCAAAGTTTTCAAATCATTTTCATTAGTTTTCCTTTTCTCTTATTACGAAAAAATCTAGTAAAAAGCAGTAGCACGCACTTCACTAGGCTACTGCCTTTTACCTGCTTTATAGTTATATTTAGTTCCTCCCAACAAATCATCTCCAACATTGGTTGGTCATTTTTCCATTCTATGCTAAAAGTTTTGCGAAGCTCTTAAACTGAAAGGGCTTTCGTCGCGTGATGTCTCTCAAAAAATTATACGTACAATATTAAAACATTACGTGATTATGAACTCGTCACATGTGAATCATTATGATCAGATTTGAATGTTAGCATATCGAATAAGTGGCATATTACTATTATTATGTTTTGTTAATGTTAGAATTGGTCCTCGGACTTTGTCCTAATTGGATTATTGATTGCCAAACTCTGGCTCATCTGTCTGCATTTAAAATAGTTCAATCAATGCAAATCCCATAAACATGTGCCATGTCCAATGCAACCTTGTCTATGTCCAGTGCAACCTTGTAATGTTTGTTCATAAACCCATGACGTCCATCAACATCAGTTGAACCAACCTGTACACCACCTTTAAAATAGAATAAGGTCGTGAACTAAGGTGGATTAAATACAGGAAAAAAAATGAACGGAACACCGAATTGAAACCTAAAAAACAAACTGAACAAAAAATCAAATCGAACTAAAATCATTTGGTCTGGTTTCGGTTTCAATGATTCTAAAACCAAATCGAATATATATGAATTTTATTTATTTATTTAGGGAACTGTTATTAGCACTCCAATAATCTCATTCTACACGCCTTACAAATATATTTTTCTTTCTAATTATAGAAAGTTTGGAGTGCAAAATGAGATTTTGAAGTGCCAATAATAATTCCCTTTATTGGGGACATTTGCTAAGAGCACATCTAGCCTTCTTTCAATTTTAATGGAGACACTAGGTAGCCGTGGAGCAAGGATTATTTAATACTCTAACTTTCAATGTAAACGTTGCAATTCGAGTTTAATAATATTAGCTAGGGATTGAAGTACTTATTGCAATCATTTATTGATAGTCAAATATGGTCGTTCAATGCCATTACATTATATATGACCATTAATGGAAAGTTGTGCTAAGTACATGGACGGGACCTAGCCAAGTTCTCATATTCGATGTAAATGCAGGTTCTCAAGTAGGGTGGGCATTTTAATCGGGTCAACTGATCAATCCAAACAAAATAATGATGTACTTAGAAATTTTTAATAAATTTGATAACTGAGCACGTCTTGATTTATAAATTTCATGGCCTATATGAATATGTATTTAATTTTGCATCATGTGTTATGGATTAAATTTTTCAGATTAGGATCCTCTCCTGATCTAAGGATGAGGATCTTCTGTTCAAGGAATATGAGCCGTTAGATGAAAATCCAACAGTTAAAATTATTATAACTTTAAAAGGACTCCATGTTTGTAGTCGTTGGATATTCATTCAATGACCCACACTTCTTGATCAGGAAAATCCTCATTCTTAGATCAGGAGAGGATCCTAATCCAAATTTTTCAATAAGAACCGTTATCGTGCCTCTCGAACTCTCGTTTAATACGTCCACTAGCAATTATTCAAAACTATATTTTAATAGTTTGAATGTTTCAAACCAATAAGAACGGTAATCCACCTTAATTAAAAACTGATTATATGCTTTGAATAATGATCGCGTTGCCGTCGACAATGATAGCCTATAAGAATAATAAGGCACATTAAATATAGGCTAAATAGGCAAAATAGTTCGTGAGATTTGCGTAACACATCATTTGTTTTTTGAGAATTCAAATTAATAAAAGTGGTATCTGAGATTGTCCACCATCATTTTGGTCATTCCATTAAAAACTCTGTTAAATGATCCGAAGCTTTTGACTTGAAGTTTGGACAATTTTCAAAACTTCGTAACTTAATCGTTTCTTAACCAAATTCGACCAATAATATATCAAAATGAAGATAGGAAATTGTAGAATAAGATTATACCTATTTGGAAGTCCAATGGTTGAAGGAGATGGTAGGAAAATAGCCTCAAAATTGACTGGTGCGAGAAAAAATTGGAAAACTCACCGGAAACTGGGTAAACTTTAAACATTCACAACTTCTTCAATCCTCAACGAAATCAAGTGAGTCAAAAATGAAGATCATACTTATCGACGAGACGAAGAGCATGGTTTTCTATGGCTAACTCATCGTCGTTTGGCCGAAAAACAGCTCGAAAGTGACTGTCTTGATATTGTGTTAGCCACTTTTGAGCCGTTTTCCGGCTAAAACACGGCGAATTATCCATCAAAAAAGATACCATTCTCGTTGTCTCGTCGAGAAGTATGATTTTTGTTTTTGAATCACTGGATTTAGTTGAGTATTGAAGAAGTTATGAACATTTAAAGTTTACCCAATTTCTGACGAGTTTTCCAGTTTTCCCTTGGACCAATCAACTTTGAGGTTATTTTCCAGCCATCTTCGGCAACCATTGGGCTTCTAAATAGGTATAATCTTATTCTTTAATTTTCCTATCTTTATTTTGATATATTATGAGTCAAATTTGATTAAGAAACAATTGAATTACGACTTTGAAAATTGCCCAAAATTTCGCCCAAGAGCTTCGGACACTTTTTAACGAAAGGACTAAAATGATAAATGGTGGACAACCTCATGAAGCACTTCTATTGATTTATCTCAGAAACTAAAATAATGTGATATGCAAATCCCAAGGCCTGACTATTTAGCCTTAAATATAATATATTGGTATTAATCAATCAAGCCCATGTTAAGAAAATCCTTCTTGCAATTATTTTCTCCCTCCTATCATTTCTTACCCAGCCGCATCTTGCGTCTCTCCCTCTTCTATCTTCATTATTTTTTGCTCTCACATCTTCCAGCGATCCAAAACAATAATCAGGAGTTTCGCTGGGAATCTTGGGAGACACTTGTTTTCTTTAGACTGAAACGATCAGGAGTTTCACTTCTTTGCTTGAAATCAATGAATACCAGCAGCCTCGCCCTTGCAACCGCCGCCGCCGGTTCGTCTTCCTCTCGGCGTTCAAGCTGCTGGAAGTACGACGTGTTCCTGAGCTTTAGAGGCGAGGACACACGCACTAGGTTCACAGACCACCTCTCCATTGCGTTACGCAGTGCCGGAATCACCACGGTCATAGACTACAAGCTCAAAAAGGGGGAGAATATACAGAGAGAAATTGACCGACAAATCGAAGGATCGAGGATCGCGGTCGTCGTCTTCTCAAAGAGTTACGCGGAGTCCCGATGGTGCCTGAGGGAGCTGTCGATGATCATGAGGTGCCGAGAAGATCAAGAGGGGAAAGTAGTCTATCCTATATTCTACGACGTTGACCCTTCGAAAGTGAGGAAACAGAGTGGTAGTATTGGGGAAGCATTTCAGAAGCATGAAAGGGATGAAGACCCAAATGAGGTCGAGCAGTGGAGAAAGGATCTTAAGGCTTCTGCAGATTTGGTTGGCCGGAATCTTGAAACCACTGCGGACAGGTATCATTTCAAATTTCCTCTTTTACAAAATTCAATCGCTTGCAACATCTTGTACAATTAGCTTTTGGGACACTCACTAATCAGCCAAGTCGTGGTGCATAAGGCATTTAGTTCATATGAATCATGCTGTTGCATGATTAATCATCTGTTTGCATAATTTGGATTTCCAATTGGCAGGCGTGAAGGAGAATTTATCCAGAAAGTTGTTGGGGACATCAACGGACTACTAAAAACCAGCGACTTAAAAGAAGCCAAGCACTCAGTTGGTATAGCTTTTCGCGTGGAAGAATTCAGTATTAAATACTTAGATGTTGGAGGTTCACATGATGTTCAAATAATTGGAATTTGGGGTATGGGCGGCATAGGTAAAACAACGCTTGCTAGAACCATTTATAGCACATACCATCATAGTTTCCATGGTCAATGTTACCTTGAGGAGGTGAGGAGTAAAAAGAAAAATATGGTTAGTCTGCAAGAACAACTTCTTCGAGATATTTTGAAATGGCCTGACATTAAAATAAGTAGTGTTGCCGAAGGGACCAAGGAGATAGAGAAAAGACTTGGAAGCATGAAGGTACTCATCGTAGTTGATGACATAGATGATGCGGACCAATTAGATGAATTGGCGATAGAACATGACTCGTTTGGTCCAGGAAGTAGGATTATTTTAATAGCAAGAGATGAACAAGTGCTGAATATACAGAAGGTGCAAAAAAAATATAAGGCACAAACGATGACGGATGAAGAAGCTCTTGAGCTCCTTAGTTGGCATGCGTTTGGAAATCATTGTCCTGATAAAGAATATATTGAACTTGCAAGAGGTGTTGTTGATTATTGTGGAGGATTGCCGCTAGCTCTTAAAGTCGTAGGCCGTTTGTTGGCTACGAAAAAGAGTAAAAGCATATGGAAAAGTACATTGGATAAATTGAGAAATAGTTCCACATGAAAAAATTCATGAAACACTTAGATTAAGCTATGACGGGCTAAGTGATGATCATGTGAAGGGTGTGTTCCTTGACATATCTCATTTCTTTATTAACTGGCATGGAACTCATGTCATGGCAATATTGGATAGTTGCAGTGGCTTTTGTGTAGAATCAGAAATCAAAACCATTCAAGATCGGTGTCTTCTAGATTTTGATTCACCAAAATTTAGGATGCATGATTTGATTCGAGACATGGGAAGAGAAATTGTGCGGGCAGAATGTGCTATGGAACCTGGAAAACGTAGTCGATTGTGGCATCATGTAGACGTAACAAGCGTGTTAAGAGACGAATCTGTAAGTACTTTCCCAAATCCCAATAAAAAAAATGTTATGTTGAATGTATGTAAATAAACAGAAGCATATGCATATCCCACATCTAATGCATTGTATACGCTGCATTTGTAGTTCATTCACAGATAGTCATGGCTTTGCTTGAATTAGATTTGTTATTGTTTTCCCCCAACAGGGAACGGAAGCGATTAGAGGGCTAACTTTAGTGTTGCCAGAAAAATCAGATGAGCATCCCTTCCGCACAAAAGCATTTAAGAAGATGCGGCATCTGAAATTTCTCCAACTCAATTATGTAAAGCTCACTGGACGCTACCGTCATCTTTCCAAGGAGTTAAGAGTATTGCTTTGGCAGGGATTTCCTCTAGAGGTCATACCCAAAGATTTTGATTTACGAAACTTACTTCTTATTGACTTGAGCAACAGCAAGCTTGTCCGAGTTTGGGTGGATTCCGATCAGGTACAATACTACATATAATTGTCGTAACTTCAACCAAATTATTAATCCTTCCCTCGCCCGTGTTTTGTAAATACCAACATCAGTCGACAGTCATTCTCTCTCTCTCTCTCTCTCTCTCTCTAATATGGATTATGATTTTTGTTCTATCTTTTTGCCAAACAGTTGCCGAAGAAGTTGAAGTTTCTTTATCTCGATCATTCCCGTAACCTGACTCAATTACCTGACTTTTCAAAACTCCCACATCTCGAGAGTTTGGGCCTCAACAGCTGTAAGAGTGTGTCTGGGGGTTACCATTTATTTGCACAACTGAAGATGCTTCAGTATTTAGATCTTAGAGACTGCAATATAACGGATGATGCCATTGTTGAAAGCCTTCGGAGTCTATCTTCCTTATGCAGTTTATTACTAGATGGAAATGGTTTTCATAGGCTACCCATCCTCAGTGGCCTTTCCCAGCTTACATCTTTGTATCTAAATCATTGCACAAGCCTTGAGGCAATCCCAGGTTTGCCGACAAGTTTGCATACACTGGAAGCGAATTACTGCACTGAACTGGAAATAATGCCCGAGCTTCCAGAGATGTCGCAAATGATATACTTGCAAATGAAAGACTGCCGCAAACTCAAAGATATTCCAAACCTGGATAACTTCTTGTGCAACATGCGTACCCTTCATATGGAAGGGTGCACCAGTCTCACTGCTACTTTTAAGGAGAACATCCTATTGGTATGGAACTTTCGCTCTCCCTCTCTGATTTTCATATTGTTGCTTATACTTACTTTGCACCTCGTGTTGTAGAAATGGAAGGGGGATGTAATTGGTGGACTTTCTCTCTCTGTAAATGATATTCCTCGCCGGTTACCCTATGTTGCGCGAGCTGATGAAACTGTCGAAATTGAAATGCCGACTAATTTTGATTATAAAGGAGGGTTGGCTGTGTGCATCATCTATTCTTCGGACAACTCAGACTGTACTGGGTCCCTATGCCTTCATGTTGTTAATCGTACCCAGCGAACATGTTTTCACATTTGGCCAATGGTGACCACCGTAACTGCTTCCCATGAATGTTATCTTTGGCTGGGAAATCTTACAAACAAGAAGCTCAATCTGAAAGGTGGCGACAGGGTTCGTGTGCTTGCAGACTTTATTGAAACAGAGGATGATCATCAAATTAAGGTGAAGAAAACAGGAGTGGATATCGTAAAATGGGAAACCGTATTTGAAGATCTGATAGAAGTGGACTATAAGCGTGTGCCATATGAGTCTGATGAAGATACTGATGAGGAAGAGGACTATCAGACTACACCATATGAGTCTGTTGAGGAGCACTTTGACGACGATGAAGAAGAAACAATTGGGAAATGAAAGAAAGCATTTCAAAGTGTCTTATTTAGAAAGTACTTGAATTTTTAACAAGAGTTTCAATGTGGGTATAATAAAAGAACTTTTAGTTGAAGCGTTTTTAGCGAAGCAATGCTGAACGAGTTCTTAATTAAACATATAAGTAGCTTATTTTCTTATAAAATAAATTAATGATTTCTTATTTGATTCATTAGTGACATTAGAGAAATTTACGTGCAAGTGTGTGTCGTGTTTATCCCTCTCTTGGTCTCCCTACCCCATTTCTTTGAAACTAATTTCCCCTTTCACCCTTCGTCCACTCCCATTGTTGCCCTCATTTTCTCTCCTATAATTGATCCTAGTTGTTTGATGTATGTCGTTAACTCTAATTGTTACTAATCATACCCTGCAAATTCAGTATGGAAAATTTTCAAATCTAGACAGCATCCGCCATGTCGTGTAGCAGGAGATCGACATTGGGAACATAACCTTCCTCTCTCATTTCCACCTCTTATTTTCCTAGCACTCCATAAATCTGATAGGAATCAAGCTGCAATCTATCTCCGGCAACAAAACTACAGATGTCACTCCCCACCTCGACAACGCTCTGCCCGGACATCATCTTTAACCCGTTCCCCTTTATCAAAGTTCTAAGATTTGTCACATTTTCCCATTTGTTATCCATGGCATATATTTTCGAGAGCAGGATGTAATACCCTGCCGAAAAAAGAGACTTTGCTGCAACCTCTCCAAGCTTTGTGTTGTTATGAATCAGGCATGCACCAAGCAAGGCTCCCCAAACATGCGGTACAGTTGGATTGGGCATTGTCCCAATGATTTCCATTGCCTTGTCCAGCTCTCCTGTCCGGCCAAGAAGATCAACAATTATCCCGTAGTGCTCAGGTCCAGGCTTAAGTTGGCATTCATGCAACATGGTCTGAGTGCTTAACCATCCGATCAAATACTTTTAAAGCTTCTTCTCCTTGTCCATGAACTCCATAACCTGCAATCGTCGCGCTCCATATAACAGCATCTTTGCCTGTTATCCCTTCAAATAATAAGACAGCATTGTCTATGCTGCTGCATTTCCAGTATAACTCTATGAGTGAAGCTCCAACAAAGATGTTATTCTTGAACGCGCATTTAATCACATAAGCATGGAGGCAGAGTTTGGTCTGATAGCATGTCGTGAAAGACCCCAATTGACTTGAATTCCATTCCGTTATGAGCATACCTGCTTAACAAGGCAGCCCACGAAACCACATCTTTCTTTGGCATTCTATTGAAGAGATCACCTGCTTTTTCAGGTGCAGAGCACTTCATGTACATATCAATCAAGGCTGTAGCTACCTTTATATCTAACTCGAAACACTTCCTAGTAGCGATTTCGTGGATCTTCTTACCTTCTTCTAAATTACCTGCCAGTGCACATGCTTGTAATGCACTTACCAGAGTCACTGAATTAGGTTCGATTCTCATGTCAATCATTTCGTTGAAAAGATTTAACGCTTTTATTACATCCCTGTTATGAGTGTAACAGGCAATCATGGAGCTCCAAGAAACCAATCTTTTTCCGGCATCTTCATGAACAACCTAGCGGCAGTTTTGACAGAACCTGTCTTTGCATAGAGATTTAGCAATGCATTACCTAAAGATAAATCAGAGTTGAACCCGTTCCTAATAGAAACACCATGCACACAACTTCCAATTCTAAAATTTGATAACTGAGCACAAGCTGAAACAGCACTAACAAGGGTCACTCGGTCAGGATTAATGCGCCCCACCATCACCATTCGGGAGAAAAACTCCAATGCTTCTTCAGGATCACCATTCTGCTCATATCCAGTAACCATAGAAGTCCACAAAAACACATCAGGGTGCAAAAACTCGTCAAACACTTTCACAGCCTCGCCGATTTGTCCGCATTTGGAATACAATTCAATCAATGCAGAACCCACAAACATATCCAATGCAACCTTCTCGTGTTTCTACACAAACCCATGTATTATTTTTCCACATGCCAGCGCCCTTAACCTCGCACAAGCCTTCAGAGCAATGGGAATGGTGAAATTATCAGGCTTTTCATCATTACCTCTTGACTCGGACATCATGTTACGAAATAGACACAAGGTCTCTTCCCATCGATTCTCTCTACAGTAGCTCCTGAGCGTGGAGTTCCAGAGATAGACAGTTCTGTGGGGCGTTTCGTCGAACACCTTGCGGGCATGACCGAGGGACTCATATTTTGCGTAAAGAGCGTTGAGTTTTGTGGCAAAGAAGCTGTCTTGGGAAAGGCCGGCTTTGAGGGTTTGAGAGTGCAACTGCGCCACTGATTTGCCGCTGTTACATGATGCAAGCAGATTAGCAAGGACTTGCCTACTTTTCATGCAGAAGAACAACTTGGTTACCCAAAAGAATCTCACAATCTCCACGTAACAATAGACGTCATAACCAGATTGAATTTCGTTAGCAGTAACACTTGTTGTGCCTATAAGTCGCCCGTGTCGACTCCAACCAAGTCGGGGATTTTTTTTTTTTTTCCCTTCACTCGGGCGGCGTGTTTTTTTCTCTCTTTGACGAGGTGTGTAGAATTGGTATTAGAATTTTATAAAAAGTGTAGCATTTGCATGAGAATTTTCATCAAAATTAAGCAAGTAAAACTCATGTTACGTGCTTTGTTTGTTATGAATATGTGAATGACAAATGCTCCGCATTTTATCGAAGTTAAGATACCAATTTTATGAATTAAGAGTATATCTTTGTTCTGTTTTGCTTGAGAAATGAATAGAGTACATAATTTAGATTCATGAAATTGGGCTATTCAACGAATACATAAATTACTTAAATGTTTGTACAAGGTCAACTTGTAATATATATAATTCACAATTATGTGAACAAACACATCATTAGGTTATTCTCCCAAAATACCATTCTTTTCTTTTTTTTCATTAATTCTCTCACTTTCTATCAATTTTTATTTTCCTATAGTTTTTTCGTTCATAAGTGAATAAGGTGCATTATGAGCTTGTACTATATAGAGTCTGATGATATTGATGATGAGGACTATCATACTATACTATATGAGTTTGACTATGATGACGACTAATCTATTAGTGATAGATACAAAAGAATGTACAATCCATGACGATAGGTTATTTCCTTGATATATAAGAATCTTTTGTATTTTCCACTACAAAATCTTAGGCTCATACTTTCTTGTATTAACTTACATCAAAACCTAATTGTAAAAAGCAGTAGCATGCACTAGGCTATGACCCTTACCTGTTTTATAGTCTATTTAGTTACAACAAATCATCTCCATCACTGGTTGGACATTTTTCCATTCAATGCTAAGGTTTTGCAAAGCTCTTAAATTGAAGGGGTCTTCGTCACGTGATGTCTCACAATAAATTATACATGCAATATTAAAACGTTACGTGACGATGAACTCGTCACATGTGAATCATTCTGATTAGAATTTAATGTTAGCATATCGCATAAATGACATATTACTATTATTATGTTTTGTTAATGTTAGAATTGGTCCTCATATTTTGTCCTAATTGGAGCATTGATTGCCAAACTCTGGCTCATTTGTCCGCATTTAAAATACAATTCAATCAATGCAGAACCCACAAACATGTGCCATGTCCAATGCAGCCTTGTCATGTTTGTTAATGAACCCATGAAGTCCACCAAAATCAATTGAACCAACATGTACACCACCCTTAAAATAGAATAAGGTTGTGAACTAAGGATGGATTCAAAAAACCGAAAACAAAATGAAAAATCAAATTGAACACCCAACCGAAACCTAAAAAACGAATAAAAAAAGCCGAACTAAACCGAAATCATTTGGTTTGATTTTAGTTTCAATGATTCTGAAACAGAACCAAACTAAATATATGTTAATTTTATTTATTTATGTTAGGTTTTTAAATTTTTACCCAATTTCAAGCCCAATTTCTAAACCCAAACATCTTAAAAGCTAAACTTCAAGCCCATGTTAAGAAAAGCCTTCTTACCACAAACCCTAGCTAGCATATTCTTTCCTCCTTTTGTTCTTCTTTTTCTTTCTCAGCGGCAGCTTTGCATCTTCTCCCCATTTGTTTCTTCATTATTTTTCTCCTTTTCCCTCTCCGCTGCAGCCCCATCTTCCTTTCACCGCCAAATCTGACCGAGACCGAGATCGAGATCGAGATAGAGACAAGGAGCTGGAACTGGAAGTCATTAAAGAGCAGTATCTCCTCTCTCTACTATTTTCGACTTCAGTTTTGCATCTGTTTGAGATGAGTTTCAGATATACGAGGGTTTGCTTTTGCAAATCAATCTCACATCTTCCAGTGATCCAAAAGAATAATCAGGAGTTTCACTGGGGAATCTTGGGAGATACTTGTTTTCTTTAGACTGAAACGATCAGGAGTTTCACTTCTTTACTTGAAATCAATGATTGTCAGCAGATCCACCCATGAAACCGTCCCCTCTTCGTCTTCCTCTCGGCGTTCAAAACACTGGAAGTACGAGCTGTGCAAGAATCCTCCGCTACTTTTCATTTTTCTTTTTCTTTTTTCCCTTTTCTTGAAATCAGTGTATACCAGGAGCTCTGCCTATGCAAACCGCTGGAATTACGATGTGTTCCTGAGCTTTAGGGGCGAGGACACACGCACTGGGTTCACAGACCACCTCTCGATTGCGTTACGCAATGCCGACATCAACACGTTTGTAGACTACCAGCTCAGAAGGGGGGAAAAGATACAGAGCGAACTTGACCGAGAAATCGAACGGTCAATGATCGTTGTCGTCATCTTCTCGAAGAGGTACGCAGAGTCCCAATGGTGCCTGAGGGAGCTGTCGAAGATCATGAGGTGCCGAGAAGACCAAGAGGGGAAAGTAGTCTATCCAATATTCTACGACGTTGAGCCTTCTCAAGTGAGGAAACAGAGTGGTAGTTTTGGGGAAGCATTTCAGAAGCATGAAAGGGAGGTAGATCCAAATGAAGTCGAGCAGTGGAGAAAGGATCTTAAGGCTTGTGCAGATTTGAGTGGCCGGAATCTTAAAACCACGGCGGACGGGTATAAATTCAAATTTCCTCTTTTACAAAATTTAATTGCTTGCAACATCTTTTATAATTAGCTTTAGGGAGTCTCACGAGTCAGCCAATGTCATGATGAATAAGGCATTTAGTTCATATGAATCTTGCTGTTGCATGATGAATCATCTGTTTTCATAATTTGGACTTTCAATTTGCAGGCGTGAAGGATTGTTCATCCAGAATGTTGTTGGAGACATCATCGTACTAACAAAAACCAGAGACTTACAAACATGTCAAGCACTCGATTGGGATACCTTGTCGCGTCTGCAACAGTTCACTATTTTTATTATTTTGTTTTCATGTGTTTTTTTGAAATCAGTGAATACCAGCAGCTCCGCCCATGCAAACCGCTGGAAGTACGATGTGTTCCTGAGCTTTAGAGGCGCCGACACACGCAAAACCTTCACAGACCACCTCTTCATTGCGTTGTGCAATGCAGGCATCAACATGTATGTAGACGAACAGTTCGAAATGGGGTATAATATACAGAGAGAACTTGACCAAGGAATCAAAGGGTCGAGGATCGCTGTTGTCATCTTCTCGCAGAGGTACACAGAGTCCCGATGTTGCCTGAGGGAGCTGTCGATGATCATGAGAGAGGGGAAAGTAGTCTATCCTATATTCTACGACGTTGAGCCTTCTGATCTGAGGAAAGAGATTGGTAGTTTTGGGGAAGCATTTCAGAAGCATGAAAGGGATGAAGATCCAAATGAGGTGAAGCAGTGGAGAATGGATCTTAGGGCTTGTGCGGAGTTGAGTGGCCGGAATCTTGAAATCACGGCAGACGGGTATAAATTCAAATTTCCTCTTTTACAAAATTTAATTGCTTGCAACATCTTTTATAATTAGCTTTAGGGAGTCTCATGAATCAGCCAAAGTCATGATGAACAAGGCATTTAGTTCATATGAATCTTGCTGTTGCATGATGAATCATCTGTTTTCATAATTTGGACTTTCAATTTGCAGGCGTGAAGGATTGTTCATCCAGAATGTTGTTGGGGACATCATCGTACTAACAAAAACCAGAGACTTACAAACATGTCAAGCACTCGAGTGGGATACCTTGTCGCGACTGCAACAGTTCACTATTTTTATTATTTTGTTTTCATGTGTTTTTTTGAAATCAGTGAATACCAGCAGCTCCGCCCATGCAAACCGCTGGAAGTACGATGTGTTCCTGAGCTTTAGAGGCGTCGACACACGCAAAACCTTCACATACCACCTCTTCATTGCGTTGCGCAATGCAGGCATCAACACGTATGTAGACGAACAGTTCGAAATGGGGGATAATATACAGAGAGAACTTGACCAAGGAATCAAAGGGTCGAGGATCGCTGTTGTCATCTTCTCGCAGAGGTACACAGAGTCCCGATGGTGCCTGAGGGAGCTGTCGATGATCATGAGAGAGGGGAAAGTAGTCTATCCTATATTCTACGACGTTGAGCCTTCTGATCTGAGGAAAGAGATTGGTAGTTTTGGGGAAGCATTTCAGAAGCATGAAAGGGATGAAGATCCAAATGAGGTGAAGCAGTGGAGAATGGATCTTAGGGCTTGTGCGGAGTTGAGATGCCCGAATCTTGAAATCACGGCAGACGGGTATAAATTCAAATTTCCTCTTTTACAAAATTTAATTGCTTGCAACATCTTGTATAATTAACTTCTGGGAGTCTCACGAATCAGCCAAAGTCATGATGAATAAGGCATTTAGTTCATATGAATCTTGCTGTTGCATGATGAATCATCTGTTTGCATAATTTGGGTTTTCAATTAGCAGGCGTGAATTATTGTTTATCCAGAAAGTTGTTTGAACCACTCATTATGTCTTTCTTTGGAAAGATTAGTTTCGTGTAATAGACTAATCATCTAATAAACTAATCACAATTTCATTTGAGAAACTCCTTGAATAAAATTTCCTAATGATTCATACTTCGGTGAAAAATGATATAAACATTCGTTCCAAGAATAATCTATCATGATTGTTGCTCCTTCAAAAATTGTTAATTTCAATAACCTTTGATATGAGCTATGTCTATATGTCATCATGTCTAACCAAAGATTAAGTTGCAACCGTTATTAATTTATAAGCTATATGTATAAACCACAACCAAAGAATCCCTTTAAAGTCCCACTTTGGTGAAGACATGGGTTTATTTTTTGGGAAGTTTCATCAGAGTACTGATTCTGAAGAAGCCGAAAGATATTAGCGATATAACAACACACACACACACATATATATATATATATATATATACACCTTTGCGTTTGTCACGAACATCCTTTATCTGCAAATACTGAGGAAACCACACCACAATGATAATAACCATAGGGATCCAATTCCAGGATCATATTAGAAGAACAATATAATGATTAGTAATTAGATAAGCATCAGCATTTAACGGATTAATGACAAGCCAATATTATTGGCTCTGATACCAAATGGAATAAATATGGCAAACCCTAATTCATTACCAGACTATGAATCACATTTGTCTTGTAAAAATAGAAGAGTTGGAGAACAACCATTGAGTCTACATATATCTCAGGTAAATAACAAGAACTGTGTAAAGAAGTAGTCGAAGAACTACGTGAGGAAGCCATGGACGATTGATGAAAAAATTGAGGAAGTGTTTGATTCACATATTAAGTGTAATTAATTCTTAATTTAACATATATTTAACTTTATCATAATTAGTTAAGTCCAATAAGATCCAACATTTGGGAGTCTCACTAATCAGCCAAAGTCATGATGAATTATTTCATACCTGTTGCATGATGAATCATCTGTTTGCATAATTTGGACTTTCAATTTGCAGGGGGGAAGCATTCTTCCTCGAGAATGTTGCTGGGGACATCGTCGGACTAACAAAAACCAGAGACTTACAAACATGTCAAGCACTCGGTTGGAATCCCATGTCGCGTCTGCAACAGTTCATTATTTTTATTATATTTTTTTTCGTGTTTATTATTGAAAGGCCGCCCCATCTGAATTGTGACTGCTTTCCCATAGCCTAGGCAGCACTTTTTTTTCTTTTTTGGTTAAATGATTACCTTTGTTGAGTCCAAGTTTTCTGCACCCAAATACCCTTGTAGCCCCTCTGTGGCTCTTCTAAATATGCAACACCTGTCCGTTCCTTTAACCTAACCAAACACTGTTAAATCTTCTGTCATCTCCTAAAACAAACCAAGTGTCCCAACCCAAAACCCAACTTCCTGACCATATGTCTGCGTGGGGTTTCAAAATCGCGGCCATGGCTCCGGAAACTGCTGCGAGATCAAGTCCAACAGATGACTGGAGCTTAATTAGTCTGACATACAAGAGTGAGATCAACAATTTTGTTGATTTGGTGATGAAGGGATCGATATGATCCCGATTTAAATATGGTGCGGCAGCTACAAGGAAGAGATCGTACAGCAGCGGATTATGGTGGGTGTCTGCCGAGGTTTAGTGTGGGTGGTGGTTGTCGGTTTGGGGTGGCTGTTGTGAGAAAAATCAAATCACGGAGGAAGGTAAAGGGAAAATGCACGGGAAAATCTGAGCAACCAACTTCCAAGTGGTAACACAGCAGCAGCAAGGCCAAAAAGGAGCCTTTCTGGGTTTTCTTCGCTTTTGAAAATCCAACATTGGGCGCTTGGATCATGGTAGTTGGATGGTTGCATCCAACAAAAATTTACTTGTTTGTAATGATATTTAAGAGTGTTTTTAACCGTGAATTTTATTCCCATGTTTGTAAACTTGTGTGATTAGGAATGTGTCAGCTGTCATGGTAGTGATGAATTGTGTGCTACAGTCTGGTTTTGGAGTGATTTATGTCATCGATACATGTTTAAAAAGCTTATAATTTCATTGCTACCTTCTCATGTTTCTTCACAAGCCCATGTATTAATTTTCCACACACCAGCGGCCTTAACCTCGCACACGTCTTCAAAGCAATGGGAACGATGAAATTATCGGGTTTTCCATCATTGCCTCGACTCATACATCATGTTACAGAATAACCACAAGGTCTCTTCCCATCGAACCTCTCTAAAGTAGCTCCTCAGCATAGGCGTTCAAGAGATAGATCATTCTGTGGGGACTTTTGTCCAACACCTTACCAGCATGACCGACGGACTCATATTTTGCGTAGAGAGCGTTGAGTTTTGTGGCAAATAGGCTGTCTTGGGAAAGGCCGGCTTTGAGGGTTTGAGAGTGCGATTGCGCCACTGATTTGCCGCTGTTACATGACTCAAACAGATTAGCAAGGACTTCCCTCCTTTTCATGCAGAAGAACCTCACAATTTCCACGTAACAATACACTTCATAAAACCAGATGGAATCTCGTTAGGAGTCACACTTGTTGCGGCTATAAGTTGCCTGTGTCGAATCCAATCAAGTCAGTTTTCTTCGTTTTTTCACTTGTGGGGCGTGTTTTCTCTCTTTATGTGACGAGCTGTATAAATATAATAGGATAAGAATGAACACTTATTTATAAATAAGTTATTGGCACGACAAATTGTTTGGTACTAAGAAGTCCCGAAACCAGACCGAAAACATCTCGAACTGAAAAGTTCGGTACCGGATACTGGATTCAGGATCCCATATGCCTTTGTTCAGTAATTCTGAACTGAACTAACATTTTATAAAGCCTAATTTGATAAATGATCATCGTGGTAATATGGTATTTTGAGATAGTTTTTGTGGTAAAAAAAAAAAAAAAAGATTTAAACCCTTGTGGTGAAGTCCACTAGGAATTAAGCCCAAAATCCAAATTTTCGTTAATTTCTCCATTAAGCTTCCCTTTTCTTAAGGGATTAGGAATCATGAGTCTCTACATTTACGCTTCATACATTTCCCTGCATTTCACTACATTTAACTCATTATGTGCCGTTGGGTTTTGCTCCCCTTCATCATTTGTTACTTTCGTGCATTTTCATCGTGTTCCTCCTTTCACTGGTGTTCCTTCTCATGTTTATGACTCACTGGAAATTCACTCGTGGTTGAAAAAATCTTCTTCAATCAGTAATCATTGCCCCTCTTTTTCCATGTGTGTTTTGAATAGAAAGAGGGCCTTGATTTTTAATTGTTAAAAGGGGCCTTACTGGTTCTTCGATGTCATCTCACATCATGTAGAAACAGAAATGAGATCATAGAGAAGGAGATGGAGGGCCTGGCCATTACAGACAGATGCAGAGCCTCCTTCCTCTCCAAAACATGCACGCAAACAACTTAGGAATAAACAAACCACTAGGGATCAGTATAGAAGTACATTTTTAGTTGGAGCATTTCTATTAAAAAGCGAAAAAACAAAAAACAAAAAATGGGAGCACTTCTATTGAGCCACAATAAAGGCAGTTCAGAACTTAATAGAAATACGAAGTTTTGTTTTTGGGGTTAACAGAGATAACGAAAATTTGTTTTTTGGACTAAAATCTTAACGAACTTCATCACAAAGGTTTAAATCCGAATTTATTTATCATGGGGCTATCTTGCAAATACCCTATCACCATGAGGACTTAGGCCTTTTATAAAATATATATAGGTTTATATCACAAATAGTCCATGAAATTGATCCACATCATTCAGATGGTCCTTGAAATTGAATCGATCAATGTAATCCTTGTAAATAGGCGTCGCAAATCAAATTGGTTATTCCGTCCCAATTCTGTCATGTGTTGATCTAGCACATAAATGGTCTCACAAGTCTTTTTTTTTCTTTTCCTTTCATCACAAATGGTCTCTGAAATTGACCCACACCATCAATATGGTTCCGAAAATCGCAAATCGATCAATGTAGTCCTAAAATAGATGTAATAAATCAATGTGATCATGTCATCGTAATTCTGTCAAATATTTTCTTATGTGCTAATGTGGCACACTAACTCAATAAAAAAATGAATTAGAAATATTAATAATTTAATAATTAATTAAAAAGTTGTCAACCCAGAGACTCGATCCCGTAATCATCTTCGATCCCAACTGATACTCCTCTACCTTTATCTATGGTAGCCTTCAGTGTCTCTTCTCTGAAAAAGAAAATTCCCAAGACATCAATCTTTACAACCTTCAACACCCTTCATCGAATTTGACTAGAATCGAGACCACCTTTGATGACAACTTTTGTGGCTCTACAATTAATATTTGAGCGATTGACACTCTCAATCTTAATCTTGGAGAGCTTGTTGGGCCCTCCCCAATGATATTGGTGATGCAGAGAATGGCAAGCTTTGCTTTGAGATAATCTCAATGTGCAAAAAGATGTTTTCACAACTTTCTTAATTAATTATTAAACAACATGAGCACATAACAGAATTATGATGGAAATGACCACATTGATTTGCGACACTTATTTTCAAGGACTACGTTGATCGATTTTTAATTTCAGAGACCATCTTTGTCTTGTGGGGTAATTTCAAAGACCATTTGTGATAAAAACTCTTATTATCTTGAAGTGATGTAGTGAAGTTCCGTTCTAAATTGGTGTTGAAAGAATGGTAGTGGAGTTAAACTTCAAATTTGTGAGGATTGTGATGTCTCAATGCGTGTTTTGCATGCAAATTTGTGATTTCAGATTGAAGTTTATGCGGTGATTGTCTTCGAGAATGGTCGGGCAAGAGTCGCAGCATGCACGGAAAATCTGAGCGTCCAACTTCCAAGTGGAAACACAGTAGTAGCAGCAGCTGCAGCAAGGCCAAAAAGGAGACTGTCAGGAGTTTTCTTCGCTTTTGAAAATCCAACGTTGGGCGGAACATTGTAGTTGGATGGCTGCATCGCCATCCAACAAAAATCAACTTATTGTAATGATATTTATCAATGAATAGCTGTGGATTTTATCCCAATGTTTGTAAACTCGTGATATTTTAGCTGTTTTAGCAGTGATGATTTGTGTGCTACGGTTTGGTTTTGCAGTGATTTATGTCATTGATAACATTTCTAAAATATATTTGCTTATTTAAAATATGGTTCTTTGGATATAGGCCCTTAAAACTCCTATTTTCCAAATAAAAACCCATTTAAATTTAAACATACAAATAAAATCCAAATTTCAAATAGCCTACCATGTAGACAAATATATGACCAACTATTACAATACAATTACAACTTATGCCATAGAATCCTAATTTGGTCAATAAATGTTATTACTAATCCTAATTATGATGAGCAATTAAATCCATATGGATATTTTACCTTTCTTGTATCATAAATATTAGCAACATATATAAATTAATTTACCAAATTTAAAAGATGAGCAATTAAATCCATATGGATATTTTACCTTTCTTGTATCATAAATATTAGCAACATATATAAATTAATTTACCAAATTTAAAAGAGAAAGACAATCTTGTACGGAAATAAAAATAATATTGTTTGAATTATGTAATTACCTACATACAAATTAATTTACCTACTTATAAAATATTATACTAATAAACCTGCATTTTGAATCATGTAATTACCTACATACAATTATTATACTAATTTATCTACATTTAAATTAATTTACCTACTTATAAAATATTACACTAATTTACCTACATTTAAATTAATTTACCTACTTATTAACATTATACTAATTTACCTACTTATTAATATTATACTAATTTACCTACATTTAAATTAATTTACCTATTCCAAAAAAAAAAAAATAGTGATATTAGATAATGTTCGAATGTTGTGGGTTTATGCTTGTAGGAAATTAAATAAACTTTTAATCTAATTCACATAAATCATGTAGGTAAATTAGATTATTTTGAAAGTAAACTAGACCCTTTAAATTTTGGTTTGATGTAATAGGTAAATTAGACTATTTTGTAGGTAAGAATTGTGCGGAATATATAGCTTTTGTTTTGTGTATTAGGGATTGGAATATTAGCCGAAGCTGTTTTAGGTTTATTGTTGTGTTGGTAGGTAAATTAACTTATATATGTAATGCACAAAATTATGAAATTAGTATTACTATTTTTCAATTGGCATGTTATAACAATTTGAAAGTTAATACATTGAATATACAATGAATGACATGAATTATTTTGTAAAATATATAAAATTAATTAAATGGATATAACAAGTAACTGATCAAAAAACTCCATCCAAGTATTAATAGGGGTAGTTTAGGCATTCGAAAAATACACAATTTGAAAAGTCAAACTTAATTAAAGAATTTGTTTAGTTGAAGGCTAGTCAATGGGCTTTATTCAAGAAAACAAAAGAAGATGAGTTTTAGTAGAGGAAAATATAGTTTCAAGAGGTAATATCAAATTTTCAGTTTAAAATATAACCAAGTTATATTATTCTTCGTGATTGTGTCATTTCTTACCTATAATTTATCATTTAATTTGTAAATTTTATTTTTCAAAATTATGGATGAGGTTGTTATTAGATACAGGAATGTCGAGAAACGTGCAATCAAAGTGGAAATGGTGGGACCATGAAAAAAGAATGCCAGTCCATTTAAATTGAAAAAGAAGATGTGGTCCCCACAGGTCCATCATTTTCCTCCCTAGTCTGCAATATCTTTTACCCCAGATTCAGGAGACTTAACATACGGCCGTCTAGGCATGCATATTACCGCCTACACCTGCCTAATCTTGCTCGGACGTCCGCCTAATACTTTTACCAATTTTACGACCGATTAAGAACTAATCGCGACGGTCAGCCACCGTTCAGTTCCTAAGCTTCGCTTAGATGATCATCTAGACCAATTTTTATAGGAGTGTGTTATTCACACATTCATTTTTACTTCTCACACACCTTTTGTTAATTTATGTTCGTTGATTTTCGACAGCTGAAAACTAAAAAGATGTAAAATAAGTAAAAAATAATGTGTGGATATCACATCCCTTTTTATAACCCACCGCTTTTAAGGAATTGTCTTTAGTTTTAAAGGCATACTTCAAGTCACAAAAGAGAGGTTTTTTTCTTTTCTCTCTCTTCTTTCTTCTCGCGCCCGACGCCGCACCGCCCGCAACCACCGCCAATTCTGACTGAGACCGAGATCGAGATAGAGACAAAGAGCTGGAACTGGAAGTCGTCAAATAGCAGTATCTCTTCTCTCTAATATTTTCGTAGTAGTTTTGTATCTGTTTTTACAACAATTGGTATTAGACCTTAGGCAACGCTTGTTGAAGTTGAACAGCGAGCTCATTTGGAATTTGGTGCCCATGGTCAAGGTGGAACTCTATTTGCATTTGGTTCGTGAGACATTATGGCTTGAATCACGCCAAGATGGAGATTGGTGGTTTTAGTGGTTTAGATTTGAGCCAAGTTGTTAAGTCCCACATCGGCTAGTGAGGATGAGCGTGTAGTGCTTTATAAGCAGTTGTACCACAATCAAACCGCCGCTGCAAAGGTCACATTCTTTGAATGGGGGCTGACATATCTCTTGTTTCGATTCTACCAGATTCATTTCCTCTACATGCCCACATCCCTCGCTCTTATGAGCGCTGTTTTGCAAATTACACCAGCTTGGTTCTTGTCCATTCCGGCTGTGCTGCCGCTGGCCATGAAAGGTAGATATGTCGAGGCAGTTTTTGTGACGGCGGTTCATCAGATTCTGTTGGAATACGGCACAGCAGCTATCCAAGATGAGGTTCCGGGACAGAACGCCTACCTCACTGGCCTTAGCACACTTGGGGGCATTGCTCTTTTCCCCTCCATGTTGGAAGTAATTTTCTTCTTTTCTAAACCTTATTCTTGTGAATTAATGCTTGCATTTACGTTAATTAGAGTGATCGTAATGGCGTTTGAATTGCGTTTTTTCGATCAAATTACAGAGAGCGATTATGGGTCCTCTGCTGATGACAATGATGATTGCCTTCAAGAATCTGTATGTAGAATTTGTCCTTGCTTCTGGAAAAGAAGCCACTGCTCATTGACACAAGTAACTACTTCACATTTACATGAAATTGATAAGTAATTTGAAAGAAAAATATCAGAGTCCTAGAGTCTGTCCATATCATTACCCCTTTCATGTGGGTCGGAACTTTCCTGACAAGAAATTTCTCAACACTTCAAATCTAGACAGCATCCGCCATGTCGTGTAGCAGGACATCGATATTGGGAACATAACCTTCCTCTCTCATTTTGCCTCTAATTTTCCTAGCACTCCATAAATCTGATCAGAATCAAGGTGCAATCTATCTCCGGCAACAAAACTACGGATGTCACTCCCCACCTTGACAACGCTCTGCCCGGACATCTTCTTTAACCCCTTCTCCTTTATCGAAGTTCTGAATTTGTCACATTTTCCCATTTGTTATCCATGGCATATATATTTGAGAGCAGGATGTAATACCCTGCATGATTAGGATCCAACCGAAAAAGACTCTTTGCTGCAACCTCTCCAAGCTTTGTGTTGTTATGAATCCTGCACCAAGCAAAGCTCCCCAAACATGCGGTGCAGCTGGATTGGGCATTGTCTCAACAATATTCATTGCCTTGTCCAGCTCTCCTGTCCGGCCAAGAAGATCAACAATTATCCCATAGTGCTCAGGTCCGGGCTTACATTGGTATTCATGCAACATCATGTTGAATATCTCGATGCCTTCTTCAACCAAACCCGAATGGCTACGCGCAGATAAAATCGAGAGAAATGTTACATCATTAGGCTTCACAGCTGAGTGCTTAACCATCGGATCAAATACATTTATAGCTTATTCTCCTTGTCCATGAACTCCATAACCTGCAATCATTGCGCTCCAGATAACAACATCTTTGTCTGTTTTCCCTTCAAATAATAGGACAGCATTGTCTATGCTGCCGCATTTCAAGTATAACTCCATGAGTGAAGCTCCAACAAAGATGTTATTTTTGAAGGTGCATTTAATCACATAAGCATGGAGGCAAAGAGCTTGTTGAAGAATCCCTAATTCCGAACAGGCTGTAAGAAGCTTGACCATAGCAACGGGATCAGGCTGAGTTTGGTCTGATAGCATGTCACGAAAGACCCCAATTGACTTGTATGCCATTCCGTTATGAGCATACCCGCTTAACAAGGCAGCCCACGAAAACACATCTTTCTTTGGCATTCTACTGAAGAGATCACCTGCTTTTACAGGTGCAGAGCACTTCATGTACAAATCAATCAGGGCCGTAGCTACCTTGATATCTAACTCGAAACACTTCCTAGTAGCTATTTCATGGATCTTTTTACCTTATTCTAAATTACGTGCCAGTGCACATGCTTGCAATGCACTTACCAGCATCACAGAATTGGATTCGATTCTCATATCAATCATTTCGTTGAAAAGATTTAGCGCTTCTATTACATCCCTATTATGAGTGTAACAGGCAATCATGGAGCTCCAAGAAACCATATCTTTTTCTGGCATCTTCGTGAACAACCTAGCGGCAGTTTTGACAGAACCCGCCTTTGCATAGAGATCTAGTAACGCATTACCCAAAGATAAATCAGAGTCGAATCCGTTCCTAATAGAAACACCATGCACACAACTTCTAATTGCAAAATTTGATAACTGAGCACAAGCTGAAACAGCACTAACAAGCGTCACTCGGTTAGGAGTAATGCTCGCATCCATCACCATTCGGTAGAAAAACTCCAATGCTTCTTCAGGATCACCATTCTGCTCATATCCAGTAACCATAGAAGTCCACAAAAACACATCCGGTTGCGAAAACTCGTCGAACACTTTTACAGCCTCGCTCATTTCTCCACATTTGGAATACAATTCAATCAACGCAGAACCCACAAACATAACCAATGCTACCTTCTCATGTTTCTTCACAAACCCATGTATTATTTTTCCACACGCAAGCGCCCTTAACCTTGCACACGCCTTGAGAGCAATGGGAATGGTGAAATTATAGAGCTTTTCATCATTGTCTCTTGACTCAGACATCATTTTATGGAATAGACACAAGGTCTCCTCCCATCGATTCTCTCTACAATAGCTCCTGAGCGTGGCGTTCCAGAGATATACAGTTCTGTGGGGCGTTTCGTCGAACACCTTGCGGGCATGACCGAGGGAATCATATTTAGCGTAGAGAGCGTTGAGTTTTGTGGCAAAGAAACTGTCTTGGGAAAGGCCGGCTTTGAGGGTTTGAGAGTGCAATTGCGCCACTGATTTGCCGCTGTTACATGATGCGAACAGATGAGCAAGGACTTCCCTGCTTTTCATGCAGAACAACAACTTGGTTGCCCAAAAGAATCTCACAATCTCCACATAGCAGTAGACGTCATAAAACCAGACCGAGTTTCGTTAGTGGTCACACTTGTTGTGGCTATAAGTTGCCTCTGTCAAATCCAATCAAGTCGTCTTTCTTCGCTTTTTCACTTGTGTGGTATGTTTTTATCTGTATTTTCAAGTGATGAGAAATATAAACATTAAGAAAATTGTAGCAAATAGTTTTTGAATTTTGGCAAATCCATGGGTGTTGGTTCTGAATTTATTACTTTTGGCTAACTTCTTTATAATTTTCTTCTCTTTTTTTTGTCCCTCTGAACTCTTTAGGTTGAATAAAAATTTTAATGAAATTAGCCAAAACAACTATTGCTCTATATTACAACAAGTTCATAAACTAATACTCACGAAGTTTTTTTTTATTCAAGCCAAAACTTCAATTGAGTTAAAATCCAAAAACTCTTGCTCTAAAACCCTCATATGTAAAAGGATAAGAATGGATGCTTACTTATAAATAAGTTATGGATCTGAAAGCTTTAGGAGCTTAAAGCCAGGTTGAAGTTGCAAGGGTAAAGTCAAACATGATCCTAAGTTTGGGTAAGTAGGGTTAAAGTCGGGCAGAAGTTTCCCCCAAAACAATAAAACCTCTTTGGAAGGTTACTGGCCAACACTGAAGAAAGCAAAATAATCAAAATATATTGGAAGAAAGCAAAACAATAAAACTTGTCGCCAAATTTAACTTTCGCTCTTTATTTGTTTTTGTTCTTTAATTTTTTATGGTTCTCAAACTCTCTCATGTCGTACTTCAATCATTTCCGTCAGCTCAATAGATTTTTCTGTTAAATACGGGGGGTGCATAACAAGGATTTTGTAAATCCACTTCTTTTGCAAAGGCCACTGAGGACGGGTAGCCTATTAAAACCGTTTCCATCTAGAACTAAAATTGTTAGAAAGATAGAGCCCCAAGATCTTTAAGATTTGCATCATCCATTATATTGCCGTCGCTAAGATGAGATGACTAATTAAGAATTTTGGAAAGTGAAAAATAACCTTGAACACAACTTATTTGGATGAAAAACTTAATGAAGTTGAGATGACAAATTAAGGATTTTGGAAAATTAATATGACATTTCCAAAAGGATTTTGACAAGTTAAGATGAGATGAGAATGGTGAAACTCTTTAGACTAACACTGACAGTTGGAACCTACTTTGTAGCGAAGATTCTTATAACGCCGTCATGACGTCCACCAGTAGCGATTGAACCAAGGCCAGTCCTGAAAATTTGGCGGCATGAGCGTGCCATTGGAAAGAGGCTGAGATCCTTTCAATGACCTATGTTGTGTTGAAGGGATATCTATATGATCCGATCCCCTTGAGCTCTTGTGTTTCAATGTGTTACACATTCATTTTTAATTTGTATTTTTCCCTATTTAATCACAATAATGTAATATTTTAGCGGTCCAAACTATATAAGAATCGGAAAGAAGAAAAATACTCATTGAATTGATTTTCACTTGAAAGGATAATGCTAGGGAGACCAAAATTTTAAACTTAATTTTGTGAACCAAATAATGTGGTTGTGATTATCACTTAAGTGTTGATTAACGTGCTTATTATCTATTAATGATAGATAATTTGATTTGCAAATTTAATTTAAAATTTTGATATCCTTAGCATTATTCTACTTGAAAACCTAAATTTACGTAACAAATTAAAACTTTTAATTCATATTTACTCAAGTAAATATAATGGGTTTGTATGCGATTACCTCAAATTGGGATCTTCCAAACCCTTATATAAGAGTTGTTTCGCACCTCCATTGCAACATAGAGATTGAGAATACGAAAGAGAGGTGGGAGGGACGGGAAAGAGAATCTTAGGGTTTTAATTTTATTTTTTGTATGGCTTCTGACAAATTAAAATGTGGGAAGAAAAGCACTCACGCGTTATTGACATCATTGACCATTGCAAAAGCTTTAAAAATGCCGCCACGTTGAGGAATTTTGGAGATATCTGCACGTATATAGGGATAGAAAGTGTCGCCTGCATTGGAGAATCTTGGGGATATCTGTACGTATGTAGGGATAGAAACTGCCGCCTACATTATGGAATCGTGGGGATATTTGTACGTATATGGGGATAGAAAATGCCGCCCACGCTGAGGAATTTTGGGGATATCTGGATGTATATAGGAAAAGGATAGGATCATAGGAAGACTTCTTTTCTTTAGTCGGAAACGATCGGGCATTTCACTTCTTTACTTGAAATCAATGAATGCCGGCAGCTCCGCCCATGCAACCGCCGCCTCTTCATCTTCCTCTCGGCGTTCAAACCGCTGGAAGTACGAGGTGTTCATCAGCTTTAGAGGCAAGGACACACGCCTTACCTTCACAGACCACCTCTCCATTGCGTTACGCAATGCCGCAATCTACACGTTTATAGACTACCAGGTCAGAAGGGGGGAAAATATACAGAGCGAACTTGACCGAGAAATCGAAGGGTCGAGGATCGCCATCGTTGTGTTCTCGAAGAGGTACGCTGAGTCCAGATGGTGCTTGAGGGAGCTGTCGAAGATCATGAGGTGCCGAGAAGATCAAGAGGGGAAAGTAGTCTATCCAATATTCTACAATGTTGATCCTTCTGAAGTGAGGAAACAGAGTGGTAGTTTTGGGGAAGCATTTCAGAAGCATGAAAGGGATGAAGACCCAAATGAGGTCGAGCAGTGGAGAAAGGATCTTAAGGCTTCTGCAGATTTGGGTGGCCGGAATCTTAAAACCACTGCGGACAGGTATCATTTCAAATTTCCTCTTTTACAAAATTTGATCGCTTGCAACATCTTGTACAATTAACTTTTGGGACACTCACTAATCAGCCAAGTCGTGATGCATAAGGCATTTAGTTCATGCTGTTGCATGATTAATCATCTGTTTGCTTAATTTGGATTTCCAATTGGCAGGCGTGAAGGAGTATTTATCCAGAAAGTTGTTGGGGACATAATCGGACTAATAAAAACCAGCGACTCAAAAGAAGCCAAGCACTCAGTTGGAATAGCTTTTCGCGTGGAAGAATTCAGTACTAAATACTTAGATGTTGGAGGTTCACATGATGTTCAAATAATTGGAATTTGGGGCATGGGCGGCATAGGTAAAACAACACTTGCGAGAACCATCTGTAGCACACATCATCATAGTTTCCGTGGTCAATGTTACCTTGAAGAGGTGAGGAGTAAAAAGAAAAATATGGTTAGTTTGCAAGAACAACTTCTTCGAGATATTTTGAAACGGCGTGACATTAAAATAAGTAGCGTTGCCGAAGGGACCAAGGAGATAGAGAAAAGACTTGGAAGCATGAAGGTACTCATCGTAGTTGATGACATAGATGATGCGGACCAATTAGATGAATTGGCCATAGAACATGACTTGTTTGGTCCAGGAAGTAGGATTATTATAATAACAAGAGATGAACAAGTGTTGAATATACAGAAGGTGGATAAAAAATATAAGGCACAAACGATGACGGAGGAAGAAGCTCTTGAACTCCTTAGTTGGCATGCGTTTGGAAATCATTGTCCTGATAAAGAATATATTGAACTCGCAACAGATGTTGTTGATTATTGTGGAGGATTGCTGCTAGCTCTTAAAGTCGTAGGCTGTTTGTTGGCTACGAAAAAGAGTAAAAGCATATGGAAAAGTACATTGGATAAATTGAGAAATCTTCCACATGGAAAAATTCATGAAACACTAAGATTAAGCTATGATGGGCTAAGTGATGATCATGTGAAAGGTGTGTTCCTTGACATATCTCATTTCTTTATTAACTGGATTGGAACTCATGTCATGGCAATATTGGATAGTTGCAGTCGCTGTTGTGTAGAATCAGAAATCCGAACTCTTCAAGATCGATGTCTTCTAGATATTGATTCAGTAATGTTTAGGATGCATGATTTGATCCGAGACATGGGAAGAGAAATTGTGCGGGCAGAATATGCTATGGAACCTAGAAAACGTAGTCGATTGTGGCATCACGAAGATGTAACAAGCGTGTTAAGAGACGAATCTGTAAGTGCTTTCCCAAATCCCAATAAAAATTGTTATGTTGAATGTATGTAAATAACAGAAGCATATGCATATCCCACATCTAATGCATTGCATGAGCTGCATTTGTAGTTCATTCATAGATAGTCGTGGCCCTGCTTGAATTAGATTTGTTCTTGTTTTCCCCAACAGGGAACGGAAGCAATTAGAGGGCTAACTTTAGTGTTGCCAGAAAATTCTGATGAGCATCCCTTCCGCACAAAAGCGTTTAAGAAGATGCGGTATCTGAAATTTCTCCAACTCAATTATGTAAAGCTCACAGGAAGCTACCGTCATCTTTCCAACGAGTTAAGATTTTTGTGTTGGCATGGATTTCCTCTAGAGGTCATACCCGAAGATTTTGATTTACGAAACTTAGTTCTTATTGACTTGAGCTACAGCAAGCTTGTCCGAGTTTGGGAGGATTCCGATCTGGTATGATACATATAATTGTCGTAACCTCAACCAAATTATTAATCCTTTCCTCGTCCGTGTTTTGTATATACCAACATCAGTTGACAGTCATGCTAGCTCTCCTTCTTTCTCCCTCTCTCTCTCTCTCTCTCTCTCTCTCTCTCTCTCTCTCTCTCTCTCTCTCTAATATGGATTATGATTTTGTTATATCTTTTTGTCAAACAGTTGCCGAAGAAGTTGAAGTTTCTTACGCTCGATCATTCCCGTAACCTGACTCAATTACCAGACTTTTCAAAACTCCCACATCTCGAGGAATTGAGGCTCAATGGCTGTAAGGGTGTGTCTGGGGGTTACCATTTCTTTGCACAACTGAAGATGCTTCATGATTTAGATCTTAGAGACTGCAATATAACGGATGATGCTGTTCTTGAAAGCCTTCAGAGTCTACCTTCTTTAAGGACTTTATTACTAGATGGAAATGGTTTTCATAGGCTACCCATCCTCAGTGGCCGTTCCCAGCTTGAAATGTTATATCTAAATCATTGCACAAACCTTCAGGCAATCCCAGATTTGCCGAAGAGTTTGTTTTTACTGGAAGCAAATTACTGCACTGAACTGGAAATAATGCCCGACCTTTCAGAGATGTTGGAAATGACTGAATTGCAACTGAAAGACTGCCGCAAACTCAAAGATATTCCAAACCTGGATAACTTCTTGTTCTACATGCATAGCCTTCATATGGAAGGGTGCACCAGTCTCACTGCTACTTTTAAGGAGAACATCCTATTGGTATGGAACTTTCGCTCTTCCTCTTTGATTTTCGTATGGTTGCTTATGCTAACTTTGCACCTCGTGTTGTAGAAATGGGAGGGGCATGTAATTGGTGAACTTTCTCTCTCTGTAAATGATATTCCTTGCCGGTTACCCTATGTCGCGCGAGCTGATGAAACTGTCGAAATTGAAGTGCCGACTACTTTTGATTATATAGGAGGGTTGGCTGTGTGCATCATTTATTCTTCGGACAACTCAGACTGTACTGGGTCCCTATGCATTCATGTTGTTAATCGTACCCAGCGAACATGTTTTCACATTTGGCCAATGGTGACCACCGTAACTGCTTCCCATGAATGTTACCTTTGGTTGGGAAATCTTGCAAACAAGAAGCTCAATCTGAAAGGTGGCGACAAGGTTCGTGTGCATGCAGACTTTATAGAGGATGATCATCAAATTAAGGTGAAACAGAGGATGATCATCAAATTAAGGTGAAGAAAACAGGAGTGGATATCGTAGAATGGGAATTTGTAGCTTCAGATTGGACAAATGTGGACTATGAGCGTGTGTCATACGAGTCTGGTGAGGACTCATACATCATGTTACGGACTAACCACAAGGTCTCTTCCCATCGATCCTCTCTAAAGTAGCTCCTCAGCATGGGCGTTCAAGAGATAGACAATTCTGTGGGGAGTTTTGTCTAACACCTTACCAGCATGACCGACGGACTCATATTTTGCGTAGAGAGCGTTGAGTTTTGTGGCAAATAAGCTGTCTTGGGAAAGGCCGGCTTTGAGGGTTTGAGAGTGCGATTGCGCCACTGATTTGCCGCTGTTACATGACTCAAACAGATTAGCAAGGACTTCCCTCCTTTTCATGCAGAAGAACCTCACAATTTCCACGTAACAATACACTTCATAAAACCAGATGGAATCTCGTTAGGAGTCACACTTGTTGCGACTATAAGTTGCCTGTGTCGAATCCAATCAAGTCAGTTTTCTTCGTTTTTTCACTTGTGGGGCGTGTTTTCTCTCTTTATGTGACGAGCTGTATAAATATAATAGGGTAAGAATGAACACTTATTTATAAATAAGTTACTGGCACGATAAATTGTTCGGTACTGAGAAGTCCCGAAACCAGACCGAAAACATCTCGAACTGAAAAGTTCGGTACTGGATACTGGATTCAGGATCCCATATGCCTTTGTTTAGTAATTCTGAACCGAACTAACATTTTATAAAGCCTAATTTGATAAATGATCATCGTGGTAATATGGTATTTTGAGATAGTTTCTGTAGTTAAAAAAAAAAAAAAAATTGGATTTAAACCCTTGTGGTGAAGTCCACTAGGAATTAAGCCCAAAATCCAAATTTTCGTTAATTTCTCCATTAAGCTTCCCTTTTCTTAAGGGATTAGGAATTCTGAGTCTCTACATTTACGCTTCATACATTTCCCTGCATTTCACTACATTTAACTCATTATGTGCCGTTGGGTTTTGCTCCCCTTCATCATTTGTTACTTTCGTGCATTTTCATCGTGTTCCTCCTTTCACTGGTGTTCCTTCTCATGTTTATGACTCACTGGAAATTCACACGTGGTTGAAAAAAATCTTCATATTCAGTCAGTAATCATTGCCCCTCTTTTTCCATGTGTGTTTTGAATAGAAAGAGGGCCTTGATTTTTAATTGTTAAAAGGGGCCTTACTGGTTCTTCGATGTCATCTCACATCATGTAGAAACAGAAATGAGATCATAGAGAAGGAGATGGAGGGCCTGGCCATTACAGACAGATGCAGAGCCTCCTTCCTCTCCAAAACATGCACGCAAACAACTTAGGAATAAACAAACCACTAGGGATCAGTATAGAAGTACATTCTTAGTTGGAGCATTTCTATTAAAAAGCGAAAAAACAAAAAACAAAAAATGGGAGCACTTCTATTGAGCCACAATAAAGGCAGTTGAGAACTTAATAGAAATACGAAGTTTTGCTTTTGGGGTTAACAGAGATAACGGAAATTTGTTTTTTGGACTAAAATTTTAACGAACTTCATCACAAAGGTTTAAATCCGAATTTATTTATCATGGAGGCTATCTTGCAAATACCCTATCACCATGAGGACTTAGGCCTTTTATAAAATATATATGGATTTATATCACAAATAGTCCATGAACTTGATTCACATCATTCAGATGGTCCTTGAAATTGAATCGATCAATGTAATCCTTGTAAATAGGCGTCACAAATCAAATTGGTTATTCCGTCCCAATTATGTCATGTGTTGATCTAGCACATAAATGGTCTCACAAGTCTTTTTTTTTCTTTTCCTTTTATCACAAATGGTCTCTGAAATTGACCCACATCATCAATATGGTTCCGAAAATTGCAAATCGATCAATGTAGTCCTAAAATAGATGTAATAAATCAATGTGATCATGTCATCGTAATTCTGTCAAATATTTTCTTATGTGCTAATGTGGCACACTAACTCAATAAAAAAATGAATTAGAAATATTAATAATTTAATAATTAATTAAAAAGTTGTCAACCCAGAGACTCGATCCCGTAATCATCTTCGATCCCAACTGATACTCCTCTACCTTTATCTATGGTAGCCTTCAGTGTCTCTTCTCTGAAAAAGAAAATTCCCAAGACATCAATCTTTACAACCTTCAACACCCTTCATCGAATTTGACTAGAATTGAGACCACCTTTGATGACAACTTTTGTGGCTCTACAATTAATATTTGGGCGATTGACATTCTCAATCTTAATCTTGGAGAGCTTGTTGGGCCCTCCCCAATGATATTGGTGATGCAGAGAATGGCAAGCTTTGCTTTGAGATAATCTCAATGTGCAAAAAGATGTTTTCACAACTTTCTTAATTAATTATTAAACAACATCAGCACATAACAGAATTATGATGGAAATGACCACATTGATTTGCGACACTTATTTTCAAGGACTACGTTGATCGATTTTTATATAGTAATGTCATCCATAATTTATGAATACAAACAAATTGCAATTGTTGCTGGTGAGGTTTCATGTTATGAAAACGTCGCATAACAAGCTCATTATCAATAAAAGCATATACATCTCTCTCAATGTAAACAAGCATGCTATCACTTAACCATTGATCTCCCATTTTGTTAAGCAATGGTGTTTTCACAATCTTCATAGCAGAAAAAGCTCTCTCCACCGAAACTGTTGCAACCAGTAACACCATAACCAATATAAGAAGCTTATACACTAACATATAGCTTGCACACCTCCCAGTCTTCACTAACTCATTTGCAAGATTACTAATTCTTCTCAATGATGAAAAGTCACCATGCATCTTCATATTATGAATGTAATTGTCAAGTTAAATTGGAAGATTCATGAGTTCCATACGATCAAAATCTTTAGGATAAAGTTGGGCTATACGAACAATTTTTGCTTTGTCAAATGATATAAAATTATCACCGAACTCAAACATGCCATACAAAGAAGCAACTTGGTGTTTACCTTATTGAAGCGATCATTTAATTCCTTTAGTTGCATATCAAGGACTTGAAAATAGAGGTCCACACGATAGTAATGGAAGTTTGTGAATCTTGGAGCTTTACACCTTGATTTTCAGGTAAGAAATGCAAATCCTCCATTTTAGGAACGATAATCTCATGCTCCTCATAAAACTTTTGTACATCATCAAGCACGTCCCCAAAGTCATCATCTCTCAAGGATTGTAGTCTTTGTTTGCATACTTCCACTAATGCCATCGCATTCACAATATCTTGATCTTTATTTGGTAATGCTTGTGATAACTCATGTGTAATTTCCAATATAAGTCTCATAAAAAAAAAGATGAAACACAAAATCAAAAGTTTGTATGTCGTGGAATAACTTACTTGCTTCACTAAAATTGTCTTGGTTGCCATCATTTTTAATCCATTCAAGCACCTCCACCATGGCTTAAAACATAACAATAATACTAACTATAGTACCATTATTTGAGTTCCACTGTGTATCAAAAGGACACATGAGACTAATCTCTTGATTTAACCGTATATCAGTTCCAAGATCACCAATATCAAGAGCTTTCTTAATTTGTTCTTGTTGTTTCTCTCTAAATGCATCACGATGCTTACATGATGAACCAATAGTATTGTCCAAACTACTAGCATTGTTGAAGAAAATGGCAACACCATCAATTCTCCTTGTAACTACTACAAGAGCTAGTTGAAATTGGTGTGCAAAACAATGAACATAGATGCTTAAGGATACTTGTTCAAAATCTTTGTTTTAAGGCCATTTAGCTCACCTTTCATATTACTAGCTCAGTCATAGCCTTGTCCTCGTAAAACCAGATCCAGTTTCGTCAGTAGTCACACTCGTGGCTATAAGTTGCCTTTGTCAAATCCAATCAAGTCTGTTTTCTTCGTTTTTTTCACTTGTGTGGTGTGTTTTTATCTCTCTTTGACGAGATGTATAGAATTGCTATTAGAATTTTATAAAATATGTAGCATTTGCATGAGAATTTTTGTCAAAATTAAGCAAGTGAAACACATGTTACATACTTCATTTGTTATGGATATGTAAAGGACAAATGCTCCACATTTTATCAAATTAAGATACCAATTTATGAATTAAGAGTCTATCTTTGTTCATTTTCACTTGAGGAGATGAAAAAAGTACGATGAATTGGGACCATTTAGCAAATATATGAATCACTTAAATATTTGTACAAAGTCAATTTGTAATGTATATAATTCAAAGCTATGTGAACAACATACCATAGAATCATTATCCCAAAGTATAGAATCATTCTCCCTAAATACCACTCTTTTCTTTTATTTTTTATTTTTTATTAATTCTCTCCATGAACTAATTCTCTCACTTTCTACCAATTTTTGTTTTCCAATAGTTTTTTCGTTCAGGAGTGAATAAGGTGAATTATGGGCATGTACTATATAGAGTTTGATGATACCGATGAGGAGGACTATCATACTATATCATATGAGTTTGACGATGACATTGACGACGACAATAACTAATTCATCAGTGACAGATACAAAACAACGTACAACCCATGACTGATACATTATTTCTTTGGTATATTAAGAATCTTTTGTATTTTCCACTACAAATTTTTAGGTTCATACTTTCTTGTATTAACTTTATCAAACCTAATTGTGCTTCTAAGTCACACAAAAAGAGATGGTAATTCTTAGCCATCAATCAAACCAATGGTCAAGCTCATTAGGGTCCTTAGGCTCTCATTCTCTATCCACCGCTCATTTTTCTTATCAAGAACTATTAAACAGCAGTAGCACTCATTTCAGTAGGCTTAACCTTTACCTGTTTCATAGTCTATTTAGTTCCAACAAATCATCTCCATCACTAGTTGGTCATTTTTCCATTCAATGCTAAGGTTTTGCAAAGCTCTTAAATTGAAAGGGTCTTTGTCACGCAACGTCTCACAATAAATTATACATGCAATATTAAAACGTTACGTGACGATGAACTCGTCACATGTGAATCATTTTGATCAGAATTTAATGTTAGCATATCGCATAAGTGACATATTACTATTATTATGTTTTGTTAATGTTAGAATTGGTCCAGGTCCTCAAACTTTGTTCTAATTGGAGCATTGATCGCCAAATTCTAGCTTATCTGTCCGCATTTAAAATACAATTCAATCAATGCAGAACCCACAAACATGTGCCATGTCCAATGCAACCTTGTCATGTTTGTTTGTGAACCCATGACATCCACCAACATCAATTGAACCAACTTGTGCACCACCCTTAAAATAGAATAAGGTCGTGAACTAAGGGTGGGTTCAAAAAACCGAAAACAAAATAAAAAAATTAAATTGAACACCAAACCGAAACCTAAAAAACGAATAAGAAAAATCCAAACCAAACTGAAATCATTTGGTTTGATTTTAGTTTCAGTGATCCTGAAACAGAACCGAACTAAATATATATTAATTTTATTTATTTATGCTAGGTATTAAATTTTTTACCCAATTTCAAGCCCAATTTCTAAACCCAATCATCTTAAAAGCTAAACTTCAAGCCCATGTCAAGAGAAGCCTTCTTACTACAAACCCTAGCTAGCATATTGTTTCCTCCCTTCATCCTTCTTTTTCTTTCTCAGCGGCAGCTTTGCATCTTCTCTCCGTCTTCTTTCTTCATTATTTTTCTCCTTTTCTCTCTCCCCAGCAGCCCCGTCTTCCTTCCACCGCCAAATCTGATCGAGATAGAGACAAGTGGAAGTCATTAAAGAGCAGTATCTCCTCTCTCTACTATTTTCGATTTCATTTTTGCATCTGTTTGAGCTGCGTTTCAGATCTTCGAGGGTTTGCTTTTGCAAATCAATGATCAAAGAACTGGGGTCCTTAATTTGCTTTGCTCTCACATCTTCCAGCGATCCAAAAGAATAATCAGGAGTTTCACCGGGGAATCTGGGGAGAGACTTGTTTTCTTTAGACTGAAACGATCAGGAGTTTCACTTCTTTACTTGAAATCAATGACTACCAGCAGATCCACCAATGCAACCGCCACCTCTTCGTCTCCCTCTCGGCGTTCAAACCGCTGGAAGTACGAGGTGTTCAAGAATTCACCGCTACTTTTCTTTTTTCTTTGTTTTTCCCTTTTCTTGAAATCAGTGAATACCAGCAGCTCCGCCCATGTAAACCGCTCGAAGTACGAGGTGTTCCTGAGCTTTAGAGGCGTCGACACACGCAAAACCTTCACAGACCACCTCTACTCTGCGTTAAGCAAGACCGACATCTACACGTTTGTAGACTACCAGCTCAAAAGGGGGGAAAATATACAGAGCGAGCTGGACCGAGAAATCGAAGGGTCGAGGATCGCCGTCGTCATCTTCTCGAAGAGGTACGCGGAGTCCCGATGGTGCCTGAGGGAGCTGTCGAAGATCATGAGGTGCCGAGAAGATCAAGAGGGGAAAGTAGTCTATCCAATATTCTACGACGTTGACCCTTCTCAAGTGAGGAAACAGAGCGGTAGTTTTGGGGAAGCATTTCGGAAGCATGAAAGGGATGAAGATCCAAATGAGGTGGAGCAGTGGAGAAAGGATCTTAAGGCTTGTGCGGATTTGGGTGGCCGGAATTTTAACACCACTGCGGACGGGTATAAATTCAAGTTTCCTCTTTTACAAAATTTAATTGCTTGCAACATCATCAGTTCGCATCTGATTGGAGCATTGATTGCCAAACTCTGACTCATCTGTTCGCATTTAAAAGACAATTCAATCATTGCAGAACCCACAAACATGTGCCATGTCCAATGCAACCTTGTCATGTTTGTTCATAAACCCATGAAGTCCACCAACATCAATTGAACCAACATGTACACCACCCTTAAAATAGAATAAGGTCGTAAACTAAGGGTGGGTTCAAAAAATCGAAAACAAAATGAAAAATCGAATTGAACACCGAACCAAAATCTAAAAAATGAATAAAAAAAAGCCGAACCAAACCGAAATCATTTGGTTTGATTTTAGTTTCAGTGATTCTGAAACAGAACCGAACTAAATATATATTAATTTTATTTATTTAGGTTAGATATTTAAATTTTACCCAATTTCTAAGCCCAAACATATTTTTTGAAAGCTAAACTTCAAGCCCATGTTAAGAGAAGCCCTCTTTACAAACCCTAGCTAGCATATTCTTTCCTCCCTTCATTCTTCTTTTCCTTTCTTAGCGGCAGCTTTGCATTCTCTCCCTTTGTTTCTTCATTATTTTTCTCCTTTTCTCTCTCCCCAGCAGCCCCATCTTCTCTCCGCCGCCAATTCTGACTGAGACCGAGATCGAGACAAAGAGCTGGAACTGGAAGATTTTGATTTAAGAAACTTAGTTTGTATTGACTTGAGCTACAGCAAGCTTGTCCGAGTTTGGGAGGATTCCTATCTGGTATGATACATATAATTGTCGTAACCTCAACCAAATTATTAATCCCTTCCTCGTCCGTGTTTTGTAAATACCAACATCAGTTGACAGTCATTCTAGCTCTCTCTCTCTCTCTCTCTCTCTCTCTCTCTCTCTCTATATCTTTTTGTCAAACAGTTGCCGAAGAAGTTGAAGTTTCTTACGCTCAATCATTCCCCTAACCTGACTCAATTACCAGACTTTTCAAAACTCCCACATCTCGAGAAATTGAGCCTCAATGGCTGTAAGGGTGTGTCTGGGGGTTACCATTTCTTTGCACAACTGAAGATGCTTCATGATTTAGATCTTAGAGACTGCAATATAACGGATGATGCTGTTCTTGAAAGCCTTCAGAGTCTACCTTCTTTAAGGACTTTATTACTAGATGGAAATGGTTTTCATAGGCTACCCATCCTCTGTGGCCTTTCCCAGCTTGAAATGTTATATCTAAATCATTGCACAAACCTTCAGGCAATCCCAGATTTGCCGAAAAGTTTGTTTTTACTGGAAGCGAATTACTGCACTGAACTGGAAATAATGCCCGACCTTTCAGAGATGTCGGAAATGACTGAATTGCAACTGAAAGACTGCCGCAAACTCAAAGATATTCCAAACCTGGATAACTTCTTGTGCAACATGGATACCATTCATATGGAAGGGTGCACCAGTCTCACTGCTACTTTTAAGGAGAACATCCTATTGGTATGGAACTTTCGCTCTTCCTCTCTGATTTTCGTATAGTTGCTTATGCTAACTTTGCACCTCGTGTTGTAGAAATGGAAGGGGGATGTAATTGGTGGACTTTCTCTCTCTGTAAATGATATTCCTCGCTGGTTACCCTATGTCGCGAGAGCGGATGAAACTGTCAAAGTTGAAGTGCCGCCTACTTTTGATTATATAGGAGGGTTGGCTGTGTGCATCATTTATTCTTCGGACAATTCAGACTGTACTGGGTCCCTATGCATTCATGTTGTTAATCGTACCCAGCGAACATGTTTCCACATTTGGCCAATGGTGACCACCGTAACTGCTTCCCATGAATGTTATCTTTGGTTGGGAAATCTTACAAACAAGAAGCTCAATCTGAAAGGTGGCGACAAGGTTCGTGTGCATGCAGACTTTATTGAAACAGAGGATGATCATCAAATTAAGGTGAAGAAAGCAGGAGTGGATATCGTAGAATGGGAATTTTCAGCTTCAGATATGACATATGTTGACTATGATCGTATGCCATACGAGTCTGATGAGGAGGACACTGACGACGATACAGAGTTAAGCGATTACTCATCTGATGAGGTCCAACCTTGCAAAAGATTTAAGGTTATCTGATCTCAATATTGAAAGCTTTGACGATGAAGAAGAAACAATTGAGAAATGAAAGAAAGCATTCCAAATTGTCTTTATAAAGTACTTGAATTTTTAATAAGAGTTTCAATGTGGGTATTATAAAAGCACTTTTAGCTGAAGCGTTTTTAGCGAAGCAATGCCGAATGAGTTCTTAATTAAACATATAAGTAGCTTATTTTCTTATCAAATAAATTATTGATTTTTTATTTGATTTATTAGTGACATTAGAGAAATTTACATGCAAGTGTGTCGTGTTTATCCCTCTCTCGGTCTCCCCTCACCCCATTTCAAAGAAACTAATTTCCCCTTTCATCTTTCGTCCAGTCCCATTGTTGCCCTCATTTTCTCTCCTATAATTAACCCTAGTTGTTTGATGTATGTGATTAACTCTAATTGTTACTAATCATATCCTACAAATTCAGTATGGAAATTTTTTGAAATGTTATATGAACTTATACACTTTTTTTAATTTGTCATATGGATTAAAATTTTAAGCGCTTTGTCATATCAATAATTCGAAATTATTAATTTGTCATATTACTCTAACTTTGTTAAGTTTTCCATCTAAAATAAGTCATGCGGCTTGCACATGACTTGTTTTTAAGGTTATTTTGGACATTTCAACTCCTCACTTCAAGATTATTTCGAACATTTCAAGGTTTTGGACATTTCTAATCTTTTTTTTTTTAGCGACATGATTGACCATGTTGAAAGATTGCAACTTAGTTGCATGAAAAACTTAACGAAGTTACGTTGAGATGACAAATTAGTGAATTTGAAAAATTAATATGACAAATCACTTAAATTTTTAATTGTATGAGAAACTAAAAATGGCGTATAAGTGTGTATAACATTTCAAATTTCTCAACTCAATCTTCCTTCCGGTTGATGAATGTTGGGTTTGGTGGCTTAGATTTGAGCCAAGTTGAGTCCCACATCGGCTACTGAGGATGACCATGTGGTGCTTTATAAGCAATGATCACACGAACACGTTGCTGAGGCCTTTTGATAAAATTCATACCCCTTTTTTTTGGTGGATAAAGTAGGTGGAATATCGGCAATACCTACTTGTGTGTGTGGGACCCGTTGGTGTGCTTCTGCATAACAATTGGTATTAAACCTTAGGCAACGCTTGTTGAAGTTGAAGAGCGAGCTCAATTGGAATTTGGTGCCTGTGGTCAAGGTGGAGCTCTATTTGCATTTGGATCGTGAGACATCATGGCTTTGAATCACGCCAAGGTGGAAATTGGTGGTTTTAGTGGTTTAGATTTGAGCCAAGTTGTTGAGTCCCACATCGGGTAGTGAGGATGAGCGTGTAGTGCTTTGTAAGCAATTGTATCACACACGCATATTGCCGCTGCAACGGTCACATTCTTTCAAGGGAGGCTTGCGTATCTCTTGTTTCGATTCTACCAGATTCATTTCCTCTACATGTCCACATCCCTCGCTCTTATGAGCGCTGTTTTGCAAATTACACCGGCTTGGTTCTTGTCCATTCCGGCTGCGCTGCAGCTGGCCATGGAAGAGAGATATGTCGAGGCAGTTTTTGTGACGGCGGTTCATCAGATTCTGTTGGAATACGGCACAGCAGCTATCCAAGATGAGATTCTAGGACAGAACGCCTACCTCACTGGCCTTAGCATACTTGGGGGCATTGCACTTTTCCCCTCCATGTTGGAAGTAATTTTCCTCCTTTCTAAACCTTATTCTTGTGAATTAATGCTTGCATTTGTGTTAATTAGAGTGATCGTAATGGCGTTTTAATTGCGTTTTTCCGATCAAATTACAGGGAGCGATTATGGGTCCTCTGCTGATGACAATGATGATTGCCTTCAAGAATCTGTATGTAGAATTTGTCCTTGCTTCTGGAAAAGAAGCCACTGCTCATTGATACAAGTACCTACTCCATATTTTCATGAAATTGGTGTAAGTAACTTGATAGAAAAACATCAGAGTCCTAGAGTCTGTCCATATCATTACGCCGCTCATGTGGGTCGAAACTTTCCCGACAAGAAATTTCTCAACACTTCAAATCTAAACAGCATCCGCCATGTCGTGTAGCAGAAGATCGAAATTGGGAACATAACCGTCCTCTCTCATTTTCGCCTCTAATTTTCCTAGTACTCCATAAATCTGATCAGAATCAAGGTGCAATCTATCTCCAGCGACAAAACTACGGATGTCACTCCCCACGTCGACAATGCTCTGCCCGGACATCTTCTTTAACCCCTTCTCCTTTATCAAAGTTCTGAGATTTGTCATATTTTCCCATTTGTTATCCATGGCATATATATCTGAGAGCAGGATGTAATACCCTGAATGATTAGGATCCAACAGAAAAAGAGTCTTTGCTGCAACCTCTCCAAGCTTTGTGTTGTTATGAATCCAGCATGCACCAAGCAAGGCTCCCCAAACATGCAACATTGTGGTGAATATCCAGATGCCTTATCCAGCTCTCCTGTCTGGCCAAGAAGATCAACAATTATCCCGTAGTGCTCAGGTCCTGGCTTAAGTTGGTATTCATGCAACATCGTGGTGAATATCCAGATGCCTTCTTCAATCAACCCCGAATGGCTACACGCAGATAAAATCGAGAGAAATGTTACATCATTAGGCTTGACATCTGAGTGCTTAACCATCCGATCAAATACTTGTATAGCTTCTTCTCCTTGTCCATGAACTCCATGACCTGCAATCATCGCGCTCCAGATAACGACATCTTTGTCTGTTATCCCTTCAAATAATAGGACAGCATTGTCTATGCTGCCGCTTTTTGGGTATAACTCTATGAGTGAAGCTCCAACAAAGATGTTATTCTTGAAGGCGCGTTTAATCACATAAGCATGGAGGCAAAGAGCTTGTTGAAGAATCCCTAATTCCGAACAAGCAGCGAGAAGCTTGACCATAACAACTCATCTGATAGCATGTCGCGAAAGACCCCAATTCACTTGTATGCCATTCCGTTATGAGCATACCCGCTCAACAAGGCAGCCCACGAAACCACATCTTTCTCTGGCATTCTATTGAAGAGATCACCTGCTTTTTCGGGTGCAGAGCACTTCATGTACATATCAATCAGGGCTGTAGCTACCTTGATATCTAACTCGAAACACTTCCTAGTAGCAATTTCGTGGATCTTCTTACCTTCCTCTAAATTACCTGCCAGCGCACATGCTTGCAATGCACTTACCAGAGTCACTGAATTAGGTTCGGTTCTCATATCAATCATTTCGTTGAAAAGATTTAACGCTTCTATTACATCCCTATTATGAGTGTAACACGCAATCATGGAGCTCCAGGAAACCACATACCCAGCGGCAGTTTTGAACCTGTCTCTGCATATAGATTTAGCAATGCATTACCTAAAGATAAATTAGAGTTGAACCCGTTCCTAATAGAAACACCATGCACACAACTTCCAATTCTAAAATTTGATAACTGAGCACAAGCCGAAACAGCACTAACAAGCGTCACTCGGTCAGGATTAATGCGCCCCACCATCACCATTCGGGAGAGAAACTTCAATGCTTGTTCAGGATCACCATTCTGCTCATATCCAGTAACCATAGAAGTCCACAAAAACACATCCGGTTGCTAAAACTCGTCAAACACTATCACAGCTTCGCCCATTTCTCCGCATTTGGAATACAATTCAATCAACGTAGAACCCACAAACATATCCAATGCTACCCCCTCATGTTTCTTTACAAATCCATGTATTATTTTTCCACACGACAGCGCCCTTAACCTCGCACACGCCTTCAGAGCAATGGGAATGGTGAAATTATCAGGCTTTTCATCGTTTCCTCTTGACTCAGACATCATGCTACGAAATAGACACAAGGTCTCCTGCCATAGGTCCTCTCTACAGTAGCTCCTGAGCATGGCGTTCCAGAGATAGACAGTTCTGTGGGGCGTTTTGTCGAACACCTTACGGGCATGACCGAGGGACTCATATTTTGCGTACAGAGCGTTGAGTTTTGTGGCAAAGAAGCTGTCCTGGGAAAGGCCGGTTTTGAGGGTTTGAGAGTGCAATTGCGCCACTGATTTCGCGCAGTTACATGATGCAAGCAGATTAGCAAGGACTTCCCTCCTTTTCATGCAGAAGACTCACTTGGTTACCCCAAAAGAATCTCACAATCTCATAAAACCAGATCGAATTTCGTTAGCGGTCACACTTGTGCCTATAAGTTGCCTGTGTTGAATCCAATCAAGTCGGTTTTGTTCGTTTTTTTTCACTTGTGTGGCGTGTTTTTATCACTCCTTAAGACCAAGTCGGTTTTCTTCGTTTTTTTCACTTGTGTGGCGTGTTTTTATCACTCCTTAAGACCAACTCTTATGGTGGGCTAAAAGCTAAATTACCCTCTAAAATTTCTCCCCAAACCCACTCCAACCCAAGGGGAAATTTTGGGCTAAATGCTAAATGCTAAACCAATGCCAAATTTCCCCCAAAATTTAGCCCAAAAATTGGAGTGGACTCCACCCAATATTTATCGGAATTTAATTTTTTTTGGATTAAAATGTTCATAAAATTAATTTATGATAGTCTACATATTTATTTTTTTTTAAAAAAAAAAATTAATTTAACAAAAAAAAAAAAGCATAAGTTCATTCTTTAATAATCCCGCGCTAAAATTTTAGGCTATAACGATTGGAGCAGAAAAATTGTTTCTGGGCTAAAAGCTAAATTTTCCGGGCTACAAAATTTGGCTTTTAGCCCAACCATTGGAGATGGTCTGACGAGATGTACATAATTGGTATTAGAATTTTATAAAATGCGTAGCATTTGTATGAGAATTTCCGTCAAAATTAAGCAAGTGAAACACATGTTACATGCTTCGTTTGTTATAAATGGATGAAGGATAAATGCTCCACATTTTATGAAATTGAGATGCCAATTTTATGAATTAAGAGTCTGTCTTTGTTCCGTTTCGCTGGAGGAGATGAAAAAAGTATTATGAATCTAGACCATTTAGCAAATACATGAATTACTTAAATGTTTGTACAAAGTCAGCTTGTCATATGTATAACTCACAACTATGTGAACAACAGACCATAAATTATTCTCCCAAAATACCACTCTTTTCCTTTTTCATTAATTCTCTCATAGTCTGCCAATTTTTATTTACCTATAGTTT